ATTGTCAGTCCACTGCTGGATGGTGTAAGTTGGGGGTACAGCCGTGCAGAACACCATCAATGGATTGTGCTGCATTGCTCTCTGCTGTCCACAGCGGATACCATCCATCTGTGTTGTGCACGGTGATCAACCGGTCTGAGTGATCACCAGCCTGATCACCCAGACCGGGTGATCACCCATATGCAACACAGAGGTAGCCGCTGTGGGCAGTAGAGAGCAATGATGGTGTTCTGCACGGCTGAACCCCCAACTGACACCATCCAGAAGTGGACTGACAATATGTGCTGTCCATAGTAGAGATTTTTTGGGGGTTAAATCGCGTAAATATAAATGTGTCGTTAAACTCGCCACAGCCAATTAGTAAGATTTGTGTACTTAAAGAAAACATGGCAATTTGTTACGAGTTCAGCACACGGGTGTGTTGGAGAGTAAACCCACATTTCTAATCTGAGTACTGGAGGACGTTTCGCTAGTAATTACAACAAACAGGATCATCAGGCGACAGTTCCTCCTCCTGTTTCGGTCTTAAATAGACGGGGGATAAATGTGACGTCGTCACTTGTGAGCCAATCAGGTGCGAAGACCAGAGGGGGGCAGCGGAGGGGGGTTAATATAAATTACAATGCGAACGATAACGGATTACAGGACAAACCCGGTCAGGTGGCAACCCAACACGTATGGGAGAACTTACAGTCTTCCCAGTGGCCGCGTGGATTTGGCCGCGTGGATTTTTCTTCGGATCCTCTCGTTTTTTTCCCCCTCCACATTTAGAAACGTGTGTTTTTAGAGTATTTGGCTGCTATATAAATGTCCACGTGATGAACCACTTCGTTGGGCTATCATTTGCGATGACCAGATCACTTCTGAAAAGGAGCTATATAGCTCAATGGGCCTTATACCTGGTAAAATAAAAAAAGGTAAAATAATAGTACCTGTGTTATCATATCTGTCAACCAATTATCAGTGCCTACCTTATTACAGGCCAATTCAGACCTTATTGGTCACCCCATGCCCTTATACATCTCAATGTTCCTCCTACAAAGTCCCATCACAAAAGAGAAACACAAATACACGTTTTTGTTGTTGCCCGTATTCAAACTGCTGTAGGCCCTGAAAACTCTATTTCCCTGTACAAGAATACGGGTAAACCGTATGGGTTAGGTATGTCGCTACAACACGGTACCTTTTTTGCCTGTATCAAAGTATCAAAAACAGGTGTTAAGATGTTCAAACACCAAATAGATACTATTTTCAAGGACTCATGTTGCATTAACCACACGTGCTTATGCTAAACATGCAAACAAAAATCATGCTATGATAACACTATGTAACACAATTTTAGTTCCTGGGTAGTAAGTGTTATTTCGTAATTGCTTATGCCTAAAAAGTATAGAAAATGACTATTATTCCCCACAAACTTTGCTTTTGTGACCAGGACAGTGATATTTTTAAATGTACCTATTTTCAACGAGAAAACGGGCAAATTTGTGTCTTTTCATCATGGGACCACCTTTGCCAGTGTCAAAATATAAAAATAAGTTTTCCCCTTTTTTTCTGGCAACAAAACAGGTGTTAAGATGTTCGCCTTTTGGCGTCCTCTGGTCTAACACTGTTTGAGACTAGGCTCTAAAGAAAGCTGTCTCTGGTGTGGACCAATCAGTTTCAATGCATATACTGTCAGAGCATGTTTTTTGTTTGTATTTTCACCACAAGTATCTGTGGTCAATGTAGACATGATTCATTGTAAAAGGTTTCAGTTTGGTGTTTTAACATTTTAACACCTGTTTTGTTGCCAAAAAAGGGGAAAACCTATTCTTATATTGTGTCTTTTCGTTCACATAAAGTCAGAAAAAAATAACATGAATAAAAATGAACATGTACAGTGAGGGAAAAAAGTATTTGATCCCCTGCTGATTTTGTACGTTTGCCCACTGACAAAGAAATGATCAGTCTATAATTTTAATGGTAGGTTTATCTGAACAGTTAGAGACAGAATAACAACAACAAAATCCAGAAAAACGCATGTCAAAAATGTTATAAATTGATTTGCATTTTAATGAGGGAAATAAGTATTTGACCCCTCTGCAAAACATGACTTAGTACTTGGTGGCAAAACCCTTGTTGGCAATCACAGAGGTCAGACGTTTCTTTTAGTTGGCCACCAGGTTTTCACACATCTCAGGAGGGATTTTGTCCCACTCCTCTTTGCAGATCTTCTCCAAGTCATTAAGGTTTCGAGGCTGACGTTTGGCAACTCGAACCTTCAGCTTCCTCCACATATTTTCTATGGGATTAAGGTCTGGAGACTGGCTAGGTCACTCCAGGACCTTAATGTGCTTCTTCTTGAGCCACTCCTTTGTTGCCTTGGCCGTGTGTTTTGGGTCATTGTCATGCTGGAATACCCATCCACGACCCATTTTCAATGCCCTGGCTAAGGGAAGGAGGTTCTCACCCAAGACTTGACGGTACATGGCCCCGTCCATCGTCCCTTTGATGCGGTGAAGTTGTCCTGTCTCCTTAGCAGAAAAACACCCCCAAAGCATAATGTTTCCACCTCCATGTTTGACGGTAGGGATGGTATTCTTGGGGTCATAGGCAGCATTCCTCCTCCTCCAAACACGGCGAGTTGAGTTGATGCCAAAGAGCTCCATTTTGATCTCATCTGACCGCAACAATTTCACCCAGTTGTCCTCTGAATCATTCAGATGTTCATTGGCAAACTTCAGACGGGCATGTCTATGTGCTTTCTTGAGCAGGGGGACCTTGCGGGCGCTGCAGGATTTCAGTCCTTCACGGCGTAGTGTGTTACCAACTGTTTTCTTGGTGACTATGGTCCCAGCTGCCTTGAGATCATTGACAAGATCCTCCCGTGTAGTTCTGGGCTGATTCCTTACCGTTCTCATGATCATTAGAACTCCACGAGGTGAGATCTTGCATGGAGGCCCAGGCCGTGGGAGATTGACAGTTCTTTTGTGTTTCTTCCATTTGTAATGCGAGCGCAAGTGGGGTTCGCTGCTGGCCTTCGGGCCAATCACATGGGCCGGTGTATTGGGGGGCGGAGCCAGTATGGGGGCGTATGTGAAGATCCCCGTTCACCTCGGGTCCAATCGGAAGCGAGGTGAGTGGGGGCGGAACCTAGGGGCGGAGCCAGCAGGGCGCGATGGAGAGGCGAGATCTGGAAGGTTCGAAGGCACGTGGTGTGAGGGAGGAGACAGGGTCACGTGGTGAAGGGGATATAGGGGGGAGCCCGGAAGGGCTCCGGGTAAGTTGTTGGAGTGAAGAAGCGGGACCGCGTTGGGTGGCCACCGCGACATCAGCCACATGGCTGTTGGGGCTTCGGCACACCGTCGGCCAGCGGTGTGCGGAGTGGGGAGGAGCGGAGCGACTGACGGGAGAGCGCGTGCGGGGCGCGCGCGAGAAGCAGCTGGTCCGCTGTCGGGACCAGCGGCATGTGAGCAAGGAGCTAAATAAAGACTGACAGAGACCAAGCAGTGCGTGGCGAAGTCCGTTATTACACATTTGCGAATAATCGCACCAACTGTTGTCACCTTCTCACCAAGCTGCTTGGCGATGGTCTTGTAGCCCATTCCAGCCTTGTGTAGGTCTACAATCTTGTCCCTGACATCCTTGGAGAGCTCTTTGGTCTTGGCCTTGGTGGAGAGTTTGGAATCTGATTGATTGATCGCTTCTATGAAAAGGTTTCTTTTATACAGGTAACACGCTGAGATTAGGAGCACTCCTTTTAAGAGTGTGCTCCGAATCTCAGCTTGATACCTGTATAAACGACACCTGGGAGCCAGAAATCTTTCTGATTGAGAGGTCAAATACTTATTTCCCTCATTAAAATGCAAATCAATTCATAACATTTTTGACATGCGTTTTTCTGGATTTTGTTGTTGTTTTTCTGTCTCTCACTGTTCAAATAAACCTAAGATTAAAATTATAGACTGATCATTTCTTTGTCAGTGGGCAAACGTATAAAATCAGCAGGGGATCAAATAATTTTTTCCCTCACTGTATTTATACTAAAGTAATACAAAAATGGCTACAAAAGATTTAGAAGTGAGTAGTTTTTCGAAATTTATGATTATCCTGTAAATCACTTTCACGAATCAGACCCCAAATGTAGTTTCCCATCATGTTCTCATTATACTGTCCCTCGTAGCGCCGTTCACAGTCCAGTATACCCTGGTGGAAGTGCTCGCCTCGCTCTTTCGAGTACGCTCCCATGTTCTTCCAGAATGTATCAAGATGAGCATCAATGATATGGACTTTGAGGGACATCCTACAGCCGAAGTTCGTCACCAGAGTCTCAACCAGTTCCACATAGTTTTCGACCGTGTGACTGCCCAGGAAGCCACGAAACACTGCGACAAAGCTGTTCCAAGCCGCTTTCTCCTTACTAGTGAGCTTCTTGGGGAATTCATTGCACTCCAGGATCTTCTTTATCTGTGGTCCGATGAAGACACCGGCTTTGACCTTTGCCTCAGACAGCTTAGGGAAGAAGTCTTGAAGGTACTTGAAGGCTGCTGACTCTTTATCTACAGCTCTGACAAATTTTGTCCTATAATGAGCCAAAAATGTCTGTGTGTCCCGCATGTGACGTCACTCCACGTCCACCAGCCCCCCTCATTAATAATCATGAACAAGTTATGTCCTCCACATGGACCCCCACCCTCATTAATAATAATGAGCAGTTGATGTCATTCTGCATGGAGAACCCCCCATGGACCCCCCCCTCCTTAATAATCATGAGCATGTGACGTCATTCCACATCGAAACAGCCCCCCTCACTAATAATCATGAACAGGTGACATCCTCCAAATGGAAACCCCCCCTCCATTAATAATAATTATCGGGTGACATCACTCCACATGGGGGGGCGAGGCACCTCCTCCCCCCTCAGTGTCAACTTATGACCCTCACTACAAAGGCAGAACCCTCACGTCACGCGATCTCCGTAACGCTATTGAGACATAGAAGTAAAAAGGACGTCATGATGAACAAGGGATTATAACCTTTAAATGAAATAAGTCTGTGTCACTGCGGACTTACAAAATGCACACGAATTGATGCAATGAATATCATGTCGCGGTCTGCTTTTCGCTTGCAAATTTCAGATTTACTGAAACCGTCCTTGGACGGGCAAAAGGCTAGTTGTTTCATAAGGCCCAATTTGATGTGCAGTGGTGGCATCAGCACCTTCCGGGAGTCCACCAGTAGCTCCCACTTGACATTCTTCCTCCCCACAGAGAATTTGGTCTGCTGTGGCCAGTCCCGCCTATGGTAGTGCGCCTTGGTGTCCCTGCTGTCCCAAAGGCAAAGATAGCAGGGAAACTTAGTAAAACCGCCTTGGAGACCCATCAGGAATGCCACGATTTTGAAGTCTCTGATGACCTCCCAGCCGTACTCAGCATACTTCAAGGCATCCAGCAAGGCCTTGATGCTGTTGTAATCCTCTTTGAGGTGCACCGAGTGAGCCAGGGGAAGAGACGGGTACTTGTTACCATTATGGAGAAGCACGGCTTTGAGACTCCTGGATGAACTGTCAATGAAGAGGCGCCACTCATTCTGGTTACAGGCGATTCTGATTGCCTCGAACAGACTGGTCACATTATGGCAGAAACAGAGCCCATCTTGACGGGTGAAGAAGCTGCAAAAAGGTTTGTGACGCTTCCTCTGATCTGCGACTTGCACACTTTCATCCAACAAGTTCCACTGCTTGAGCGTAGACGTCAAAAGCTTGGCATTGGACTTGGTGAGACCAAGATGTCTGATCAAGTCGTTGAGGTCTTTTTGGTTGGGGTAGTATGGGTTTCTCTCCTCAGCTCCACCTCTGAAATTGTCATCTGGATCTACAACGTCTTCCTCGCTCTCTGACTTGCTGCTCTCTTCTAAAGACGGGTGCTCTCTCTCCGGAGGAGTGGGTACGGGGAGCTTATGGCAGTGTGAAGGAAGGTCCAGATACGTGATAGCAGCTGCATTCTTGCCAGTCAGACGTTTGGAAGGGTCCACCATGCAGAAGTAGCAGTTGCTTGAGTGGTCAGTGGGTTCCCGCCAAATTCTTGGGATAGCAAACTTCATGGCTCTCTTTTCTCCTCTTTACCATCCTACAAAAATACATTTATTTCACCCATGACTAATGTGTAAGAGATTCCCGCAACATTTTTCATATATGATATGTTTTCAATAACATTGAAAATTGTAAAACATTTTAAAATTATAAAAAAAAAAATTACAATTAAAAAAAAATTCACAAAGTTAATAACGTAAAATTCCAAGCAAAAATTGTCCATCTTACCTTCCAGAGTTTTTTTGTATTGCTCGCAGGTGAAATTAGTTGCCCAGGGTTTGTCTTGATCCCCGACAGGCATGCCGAAATATGCATTGTAGGCCTCACACTTCTTAGCAGATGCTTCCACGGAGTACTTTTTCACATTTGCAGCCTCTTGATGCCATCTCAGAAAAATGTAAATATGTATCCACTTTGGCAGCTGGAACTAAACTGAGCTGGTGGGCTTAAGGCCCCTGTATTTATACTCTCATTTATATTACTGGAAAGTTCTAGAATGTTCTAGAAGTTACTCAAGTTTACTCAGCACTGAATCTATCTGGAATGTTCTGGAAAAAAGGTAAATAAAAAAATATCACTGTCCTGGTCACAAAAGCAAAGTTTGTGGGGAATAACAGCCATTTTTTGTACTTTTGAGGCATAAGCAATTAGAAAATAACACTTATTACCCAGTAACAAAAAATACTTGTCACAGTGTAATTTATGGAATTGTCTTCCAAACTGATTGGCCTCACCATTGTCAGACCGGAGGATGCCCAAAGGTGACCAGTAACAAAGACAATGCACTATCATGGCTTTTGTAGCTCGGAGTGAGCAGCTACATGGGACCTGGTGTTTTAACATCTTAACACCTAGATCTGAAGTTTTCGTGACTGCAGGGATCCATACTCTTTGGTTCTTTCGGTAAAGTCACGTAGGTAGAAAATAAAATAAATAAAATAACGACGTTTCGGGCGCAACACAAGCGTCCGTCATCAGGTGGGACAACCACAGCAAGAAACAATTGCAATTGCAGCAATTTTTTTCTTGCTGTGGCTGTCCCACCTCATGTTGCGCCCGAAATGTCGTGATTTAATTTATGTTATACCTACGTGGCTTTACCGAAAGAACCAAAGAGTATCTTAACACCTGTTTTATTGCCAGAAAGGGTAAAACATATTTTGAGATTTTTTTTTTTCCATGATAGGCATGCGTACATATTAAACAACAACCACAACAACAATTCTGCGAAAAATGCTGCAGTCTTGAGGATTCTTCCAGAAGAGGTGGATTTATTCCGGAAGATCTCGGAGCATTTGAGATCACCACGAGCCAAAGCGGTCGCGAGCGAAAGAAGCCCAAAAAAACGCGGAGGTTTTCCTGCGCGCGGTGCTTTGCCCGCCTCCCTCTACACAAGGGCCGGGGGGGAGGGCTGCGCTATAGACCCAAAAAATCGCGGAGGCTCTTCCTGGGCGCGGTGCTTTGCCCGCCTCCCCTCTATAAAAGTGCCGGGGGGGGGGGGGGGGGGGTACGTTGAGGCTGCAGCAGCAAAGCAATCGAGGCAATGGCGGCACAACGACTCCCGAGTGGCGAGAAGCTGCAGGCGCTGAGGGACACCGCCAATCGCCTGCGAATCCACTCCATCCGAGCGACCTGCGCCTCCAACTCGGGGTCGGTGGCATCGCGAGACTGCGGCGAGCGCGTCGCGGTCGATATTGCGCGGTGAAAGCGTCGTCGTCCGTGGCTGATACAAAAAAAGAGTCGAGGGTTTCTAAGTGAAATGAGGGCTGGCCGCGTGAAATGCCTTAAATTCCCAGCAGTGGCCCAGACGGCGATGATGGAGGCCAAACATCCTAAGCCTCTCTCGCTGTGTGCACCTGCCGTCTGCATGTTGTCGCTCGTGCGCAATTGAATTCGCGCCAGTGGGCTTAGTGTAAGAATTTGGGATATGTGGCTTTTAAAAATGTCGTAGTTAAACGCCTGCGCACGCCGAGTTTTGAACACGTGTGGCTGCAATCGCCGTGCTGTACAGTAATGCGACGTACGAGTCGTGTAAACTGCGTTTGTGTGAAAACAATGCAACTTCTCGTTTCCTGCCAGCCTTTTAAGGCAATTGTCCAGATTATAGTACCGTGGTTACACTTTTTTGTGTAATAGTTTGACCCTTTGCTGACTTTCTAATTGACATCGGCCACGTGCCGTAGCTAATAAGCACTGTTACGCGAATGTGCATTTTTTTATTGCTAATTATCAACATTGTCACGGTCTCAAGTTTTTTTTTACGAATGATTGTAATTGCATTTTGGAGACGGAGGGGAAACGCAATGGATTTCGGAAAGCACGCGGGATTGCTTCCATCGTGACACAAGAATGACTGTAGCTGGGCAGAGATGTTCAAAGAAGAGGCGACGGTAAAGATTCGTGGCGGGTGGAGCTCATCCTAGGACTTTCACCAGGAGATGGAGCGATGTGAAAGCGATGAAATCTGCCTGCGCCCATGCATTTGCGTGGATGTTTGGCATCTGCAGGATCGTAAGATGGCTCAGGTGGGAGGCCCATCATCCAGCAGTGGATTAGAGCATGGCTTGTGGCTTCTAGATTGTACCTTCGTGCGAATTCGCATCTCGATTTCGCGTCTGTGTGGAGTGACGAGTCATTTTGGGTTTCCTTGTGGAAGTTGGGGATGCAGTAGCACATCAGGGGTTTTGTAAGGTTAACGCAAACATAATTTGAGTACATCTGACTTTTAACCCGTTCTGTCGAAATATTTGGTTGGCTTGTCTGAGCATGATAACACTTTGACGTACAGTTTTGATGAACCAGCTTTAAAGTACAGTATATAAACACGTCCGGCTTGATCCGGCAATGAGTTTAGAGGGCGGTGCGCGTGCAAAGGTCTTGTTTTTACCCTATTAAAGCGTTTGTAAAGCGGGTTTTTTCCCTCCGCCTATATCCCTTCCGAACCAGTGTTTTAGCAGTGGTTTTCGCCTAACCAGCCCAAATTCTTGGCTACTTTAAATGTTCTTATATCGTCAAAAGAACGTTGCGAGTTGAACTAAAGCTGCCGCATTGCTTTACCGCAGCCAGGAAGGAGCCTTCCGTTAACACTGGGCCCGTTCAATGCAGTACAGAACCATTAAAGTTTAATTCGTATCATACTCAGAGTCTTTCGGTAAAGTCATGTAGATTGAAAAATAATTTTTCAAAAAAATAACGACGTTTCGATCGCAACAAAAGCAATCGTCTTCAGGTGAAAAAAATACAGCAGGCGGACTGCTGAGGCAGGAAGAAATGTCAAGATTTAATTTGTATCATTTTAAAGAAATCCTCATCTAAAATCCCTATCACAGTTGTTGCTGTCATTGATATGCGTATCCATTTGGTTCCCTCGTCGCATTACATAATATACGAGAGTTAATGTTTGTTGCATGACCGTTAAAGCATGTTTTTAATTCCCAGTGCTGGAAATGCAACCTTTTTGAGAACCCGGTTTCATGGCAGGCGACTGCCTTGATTTGAACCCCCACGAATTTCGGCAGTGCCAGCTTGGGTGTTCTTGACCCCTCTCCTGAGCTGCCCTGACCATCTATCTCCTGCACACTGCCTGCAACCCCCTTGTTGACCGATGTTGAAAACTCATTTCAGTCTTGCTTGTGTTTTGTTGTTGTTGCCCTGTTCCTGTTCTGCACAGCCACCCAACATCATGCTGCAGTGCTGCAGAGATAATGTCCACGCTCTTCTTCTACGGCATGAAGTATAAGGCGGATGACCCCGGCAATGTCAATAACGACCGCTTTGTGCTATCCAAGGTGCTGTCACGAACAGGCGTTTTTGCTTCGAAGTATTGGTGTCACGGTGTAAATGCTGTTTGATAGTTTGCTTTAAAGGCAGTGTGTGAAATATTACAATGCAATTGGTTCTCTTATGTTGCATGTAAATACGACTCGAGATACATGCAAAGTTTGCATTTTGGATAATTTGTCAGACAAAGCACATCAAATTTACAAACCAGATGGTAAAAATGGGACAAAGAATCAATTCTTATATTGTGACCCAATTATTAAATCGCCAGCGGTGTAAAGTGACGCATGCCAAAAATACAAATTTAATTTGTTCAAAATACTTTGTGGTGCAGTTGTCGGGTTTTGTTCGCTCTGAATCCTGGAGTGCAAACCTCCCTGGGAGTCAACGTCTTACTATATTTAACATGTAGGCTTCCGTGACCAATATTATCCATACTAGAGGTTTTTTGGGTTGGATCGCGTAAATATATGCATGTGTCGTTAAAACCCGCCACCCCCCGACATAGCCAACTAGTAAGGCTTGGCTCTCCAACACACCGGTGTGCAGTACTAGTGACGAATTGGCCACGTTCTGTTTACGCGACAAACCTTACTAGTTGGTCGTGTCGGGTGGTGGCGGGTTTTAACAACACTTATTCCTACAATATCTCACCAAGGTTGCTAAAATAGCACCACTCTTATGCAGACTAGGGCTTGTCATGGGAACTGATTTTCCACCACTGGTTCAAAAACATTAAGTGCCTCTCAAAAATGCTCGTTTGCACCAAGATATTTTAGATACGAGCACTTAAAGATCATTGGAATATATGTTTGCATGGAATAAGAACGTATGTAGTGTTATATATTTGTTTTAGTTATGGGAACTGATGGTTTGTCATTGTACTATTATGCAATGCACAATGACTTGCTGGTTTCGGGCACACTTATTGGCTTGTTAAATGACTTGGCAAACCGTGCTCAGGGTGTGGCAGCCAAGTGAACTGAATAGGTATGTCGTGCTGTTTGGACACTCCTCCAGACCCACAGTTTTTCACCATTAGGCCTTAAAATAGACCATAGTCGTGTATTCATCAATATGTAGACGAAGATAAACAATACTGGGAAAAATCTAAATTTCAATCTATTTTAAAATAAAAAATGAGCCTTTAAACACTGCCATTTCACTGCAGCACAAAGAAGATTTATGGAAAAGTAATGGACGTGAATCTATTGCTCCCTGGCGATTCGACAACTTGTCAAGATTTGAGTGTGTGGTGGATTTTCTCAATTTTTACGCATTTATATTCTGTCTCGCTCAATTTAACTCCCATTTGCCTGCATATAACCTAAGCATGTCATTCTCAATTGTAAACGATTATTGCATGTGGTGTATGTATGTTGAACGTCTTTCACACAGTAATGTAGCCAACTGCGCTAATCGTAGTGTGGTGGTGATGATAATTATTTGAATCTTATTAAAGATAATATTTCCTGGCAAGGTGTTGAGATTTGGATTTGGCATTAGAAAATGTGGAACCCTGGAATGCCTGCTCTTCTCGTTGATGCTGAAAATGTGCACTTTGAACCTTCATTGCAACACTGGAGGCTTGACCCATTACCATGGCAGATTTTGAAAGGTTAGAGTTTTCAAATTTAGGATGGATTAATGCCACGATCCTCTCGATGTTTACAGTGGAACTATTGTTGCTTTAATAAAAACCGCCGGCCACAATTCTAATTGAGATTTATGTCCTCCCATTTTAAAAAAAAAATCGGAGTTGCACCACCGCTTATGAAATCTCATGGATAAAAAGAGCTTGTGTTGCAATGTATTGTATGAGCTGTTGAGGCCTGAATGTTTACTGATCAAAAGATGATCTCGATGTGCCAACCGAGTTATAGAGTACAATTATTTGTATCCATTTATCGAATGGTATGTTTTTGGCATGCTGCTTTGGTTTATCATGAGGGAAATAATGTAACTATTAAAAACAACAGTCTAGGCTATAGAAAGTTTAATTTTAATAGAATGTCCTAGTGTTTTGTTCCCACAGAACAACATTGTATTTCACTTGTTGCCATGTACTTGTTGAATCTTAATGGCAGTGATTTTGTCTATCTTAACACTTCCAAAAAGCAATGCGAATAAATTAACCCATTGGGTACTGTTAATTCGGATGTATGTATAATATTTCATTCATAGGTAAAAAATAAAAGTAAGTTTGAGTTCATACAGTATTTGCACTTCCCCATTGTCAGACTTCGGTTTGGACTTTACAGATTATACTGTTATATTGTGCAACACAAGTAACCGGAAGTTCTGGTGATATTTGCTTAAACATTTTTTAACTACCTTAAAATCAGTGTTTGGAGACTTTCTGTGATTGTCACCAGACCTGGTTGAGTTATGCGTGCATTATCAAGGTGGTGGATTATGTACTGTCAATTGGTTTTTCTCTGTCGATTGCAACTTCCCTATGAGTTGTGTACGTTGATTATTTTTGTGCAGTAAAGCAATGAGAACCTTGATTGGTGGCCGTTTATGTCCTGAGTTTTTAGAGGTCATTAACCTGCAGTTGACTTTAGGCTTTGCTCCTGAAGCTGTTTACCAGCTCGCCAACCTCTGAACATAGAAACATTTAAACACTCCCGGCCCATACGAACGAAGTGTCCCATAAATGGTTGTACCATGCAAAACCAGTTGTCCAGTAGTGTACACGCTTGCCTTTGTAAAGTGTTGGGATAAAATAAGTTTTGCCCCACCCTAGGCATGTAACTGAAGATTTTTAAAAATGTATATATTTATAATCTCGTTTCATTTTTTCTCTCAATTGCAGCGTGATTATTTGCTTAATGTTATGCCATGTTGCGATTGCTTAAATTAATACTATATAATTGGCCACTGCATCTGTTGCCACCTGCAAGACAGCTGCCATAGGGTTTCATTGGGGGTGAAAAAATCTGACAGCAGTGCATGACCCTGCATATATGACATCCATGAGCCAGGACCTTGAGCTAATCACCAGAGCCACCTGTTCCCCGAGACCAGACCCATGGGAATTAATGTTGGTCCTGCTCCTTGTAGCTTTTTCTTTCAACGTGCAAAGTTTTGCCGCAAGACACTTGGCACAGCTGCTGTTTTTTTCATTTAAATTGAATTGTCAGCTGGGAAAAGAATGTCACCCGCTTGTTCAGAATTATTGTAAATTGTTTAACGATTTGTGACTTACAAGGGAATGATACCAGTGGTTTTTTCGTAGTTTACTTTAAGTATGAAGTGTTAACATTGCTGAAAGCTTAGAGTCTTGGGTTTTTCTAACAAATTGAAGTGACAACATTGCAGGAGCCTGGCAAGATGACAACTGTAGTGAGTGATTGTTATCATTTGCTTTACGTTTGTGCTGATTTTTTTTTGTAGGGACATGCTGCGCCCGTGCTGTATGCCACCTGGGCTGAGGCTGGATATATCGCAGAGTCGGACCTCTTGAATCTCCGCAAGATTGACTCTGATCTGGAGGGACATCCTACACCTGTAAGTTCCTTGACACCCTCCCCCTGGGAGGGACTGTCTATACTGACGTTTTCACACAAAATGGCCTAAAACACATCTGACATTCATTGCATGTCTGGAGTTCGTGTTGAAATTTGGGACTTAATTTTACTTGTGTAAGCATTAATCTGCTGATATAGCCATACCACCCCATTTGAAAGTTTATTTTGGTGCAGAAAAATTGCAACTGGGCACCTTGCCCCATTCAATCAATCACAGATGCTGATCACCAGTTCTTCTGGGAACAGTTGGGATGGTTTGGCAACGCATGATATGGCGTGGCTGGTGTTGCATTTCACAAAGTTCATGTTTCGGTTTAGACCGTGGGGTGTCTGGTCAACGGGTGTGCAGTGGTTCATGTGTAGGGAGTTCAACTGAGTCGCAGGTGCACTTCTTGGAGGCAACTTTTATTATTAATACAACACACGGGGTAACTGCCCCTTAAGATAACAACCTGTGGTGGTGACCACCAGGCTAACTGCACTAATTACACTAACTAGCTACAATGGACCGGACCACAGCTTGGGTCCAGGTCCACGTGTTGGAGACTCTGTAGGATGTAGAACGTAGATTCTTCAGGGTGAACAACAGCAGCCGGTCCCTCTCGGAACCCGGCTTGTATCCTCTGTGGCGTGGCTGGGTCTGCCCTTAGACACGACCACCTTCTAGAATCCTCGAGCAGGATCTCGACCTTGACACGTGACCACCCCTAGCCCCCACTTGGGGGCCCTGTGTCGACTTAACCGGTCACGTGTCCTCTGGGGTCAAGCAAGTGCCACGGCCTATAGTAACCCCATTCACGTGGCCGGCACTCTCACCCTATCCTGTAGGGGCTGGCACTGCACGCAGAGCGTGGTGCCATCCAGCGCTGTCAGTCAGCGCTCACCGAGCCCCTCTAGGGCTGGTACTGAACTCGCATATAAGTGGTGTCCGCGATGTCAATACATCGCACTCCGTGCCTCTCTAGGGCCGGCATTACACGGTGACGTCCGCGATGTCACTACACATCCACTGCTGTAATCTTGATAACCTGTTTGATTCCCAGCCTGAACCAACACCTCCCGGCAAGTGCTAACTGGACTTGTCCTAAGGGCTGCCTCCTAGATCAGCTCTGGTTTTTTTATTATTAAATAAACTAAAAAAAGATCACTTTGTGAGCATCTTATTTTTTGTCGATAAATGTAGCCGCGCATAGAACCGCTCTTATGTGCTGTGCTAACCTTGATGGGTCACTTGCTAACGGAATGTGCCAAAACAGTCTTTAACAACTGAATTCTTTGTGCCATGCCATCTTGTGCTGCTAGAAACTTTCGTTCGTGGATGTGGCGACGGGCTCCCTGGGTCAAGGGCTTGGCGCTGCCTGTGGGATGGCTTACACTGGGAAGAACTTCGACAAAGCCAGGTCTGCTAATGTCCTGGCACCCTTGAACCCCTGACAGTGTCAATTTAAAATTATAAGCAGTTTTACACTCAAGGTTGAATGCGTAGCCAGACTTGAGGATCCATTGCGTTTGGGTCTTTCATAATGCAGCAAAGTAAACCAATTTGCTTCAAGCATTTTCAATTAAAATATGCAAGCATGCTTTAATTTTGTTTACTGGCTCCGTGTTTTTAATTTTAGTGAGCTTTGTCATGTCTGTCACTGCAAGGGTCCTCTCTTGCAGTGACAGTGACCTGTGATCTGTTGTGCCCACCCTCCCCAAGGGTAAATTGAAACTCCTCATCTCTTGATGAAGAAAATGTTCCCCATCTGACGTGTAGCACCTTGGCCCTTCTGTCTTGTCATTCCGCCCACAGCTACCGCGTCTACTGCCTCCTTGGCGATGGGGAATCATCGGAGGGCTCTGTGTGGGAGGCCATGGCCTTTGGTTCCCACTACAACCTGGATAACCTGGTGGCCATCTTCGACGTGAACCGCCTGGGACAGAGCGAGGCTGCCCCCCTGCAGCACAACTTTGACGTCTACAAAAGCCGTTGTGAGGGTTTCGGGTTAGTACTCGGATGTTTGTGTGAAATCTCGCGTGGCATGTTGTGTAAAGGAAGATGTCAACTAAATTTGGTTTTTTTAAACCCTTAAATTGGGCTTTATTTTTTTAATTTCTACAGCCAATTTGCATGTAGTCTGCTTTTTCTGCCTTTGTGTAGTTTGCTCAAATGAGCTCCTTTAATATTGTGACTATTTAAAGCTCTGACATAAATTTATTAAGTTAATTATCAAGTGGATTCAAAATATTACCCATTGACTTAATCCTACGAATCGTTATATTTTCTAAACTCCCCGTGTCACCTATTTTGGTTTTATACATTGCTCAAAATAGTAAGTTATTTTACGATGCCTAATTAAATTAAATATAGCTGTTTAAGACTAATTTTGCCCGTTTTTTTAAATGCCGCCTCGATGATGGATGCAGATGGAATACGCTGGTGGTGGATGGTCACAGTGTGGAGGAACTCTGCCAGGCCCTGCTGACTGCCAGCCAGACCAAGGGGAAGCCCACGGCCATCATTGCAAAGACCTTCAAAGGAAAGGGCATTCCTGGTAAGTGGTGGGAGCAATGCAATGTGTTGTTTTAAAAACAAATTATGAAATTTAAAATGTAAAAGATGTAATTTATGAGATTATGCACATTTATGAATTATGCAAATGGTGTTATTAGGTAAATTAATTAGGCAAATTAATCAAATAAATACACGTGTGTTTTTTCATGTTAATTGGGTGTAAGTATAATATGATCAATCGTAGGTGTGATTAAATGTGTATAAAGTATTACGTAGATATGTATGTGCATGTGTGTAGGAGAGTATTATTGATGTGTGTTAGTTTGTATTATGGTCAATAGGTGTGCGTGTAGTTACGTGTATTATTATTGGCTCGGCTTCATTGTTTAGGGTTAGAGTTGCGACCAATATCATCCAAAATAGTTTTTTTTGGGTTACATCGGAATTGCCACCATAGTACTCCTGTAGATGTCCTACTCATTGGTCCGTACAATTAACCCTCAATGGTTACGTTGTTAAACTGAGCCATAGAACAATAGGCGAACTCCTCATAGTAGTGCGACGATAGGAAAGTCCTTAAAAAATGACAATATTCATACAGAACCACGATAAAGAAACATGTGCCCAATGGCAAAAGTGAACATCAATGAATTATCGGGCAATATTGTGATTAAATGTAATATCTCAAAACAATAGTATCCATGCGAGTGTGTAGACTCGTAACATAAATGCTTATACATGTTTAGTGTGTCATCAATGAATTCACTGGTAATATTACGATTTAAACCGGGTTCTCATGTGATGGTTTCGGCTCGTTCGCTAACGGCTGCTCAAATCATAGTTAAATTTACTTTCACACTTAGTTCAGTATATTCTAGCTCTTTAGGACTAACATATTCTATTTGGTTTCTTTGAAACTAATACCTCCTATACTCGGGCAAGTGGGGGTCCAGAATGCCTAAATTGAGCCTAGGATAATTGAAGTTATCTCCGAAGTGGTCCTGTAATACCATCTTCCGCCGCCCATTGTCAAACATGGGGTGATGCACTGCTCTGCAATAATTCCAAATAGAATTGCTTATAGCTCGTGGGTATGTAGACAACCCTTCTGTCAATGTTGTTGGTGGTTGAGGGCCTTCTCCATCGCCATGCTGATCAGTACCTGGAGTGGAGGTGGGCAGTGTAGATATCGGATAATAGAAATACATTTGCAACAATAGGTTTTGCTTTTTTGACCTTTGCATATCTCGTAGCCCCACAGACGGCACACATGGAATGTAATTGTTAACAATACAATTGTTTGTTTAAAATGTGACAGGTGTTGAGGATCAGGACAACTGGCATGGCAAACCCATTCCCAAGGACAAGGTGGAGGAGGTTGTGCAGGTCATCCAGAAGAAGATTTCCAACGCAACGAAGCTGTGTCCAGAACTTCCCACCGAAGATGTACCTGTGGTGGACGTGAGCAACGTCAAACTGTCTTCACCTCCTTCCTACAAACTGGGAGATAAGGCGAGTAGTTGGAGGGGTTTTTCTTGCTGTTAAAAGATTTTTGTTTTTTGTCAATCAAACATCACTAAGTATTGGATTTTAGTGACATTTAGCGGGCGCAATTTTATATTCCTAGGTGACATTGCGGAGCGGGTAGTAGATATTACCGGCTTGTTCCAGAGGTTTACACAATTAGTCCAGCAGCTGCCGTGGTTAATAATGTGGGTCTATAAACCATACATTATTTGCTTCGGTGGAAATTAATTATCCCGTGTTATTCAAAGTGCAGGCCGAATCTGAAAGTATGTGAAATGACATCTTCGCGACAGCATTGTGCTCTACGAATGACGCGAATACCCAACGTACTCTCGTAAAATGAACACGAATTAATTTGTCTTTTGCGCACTGCAGATCTCAACGCGTAAGGCGTATGGGGTGGCCCTCAACAAACTGGGCCACGGGAACAGCCACGTCATTGCCCTCGATGGAGACACCAAGAACTCAACCTTCTCCGACATGTTTCGCAAGGACTTCCCTGACCGCTTTATCGAGTGCTTCATTGCCGAGCAGAACATGGTAAAACACGAGGACTGACTTTACATGGGCAGACGCTGTGTTCGGAGAGTTTAAAAGTAAAGTCCGTTTTATTTTTTTTGATTAACATGTGGTGCTTTTCTGGCACATCTGCCACAAAAAGGTGTCATTACATCTTTAAACGTGAAAATAAACAGCTCTGTACAGTTTTTAAAAGAAGCACGTAGTGGCTGTGCAAAGGGTGTTGGGCACCGATATTTCCCTCCCCACATTACTGCTTTCTGCATCGTGAAACAAAGAATGTATTTGGATTCATCACAGCCTCTTCGTATTAGACAATGGCCCACAGGTGGCTTTTGCATAGCTACTGCTAATGAGCTCCTTTTAAGTGACCTGTGGTCCACAGAAGGGTGAATGGTGCTGTTTTAATCACTGCAGCATTCTGTTTTGTTTTCTGGATTTAACATCGATTAGTTGAATTCGACGAGTTACTGTGTATTTAACTTTGAAACGAAGTGAGCAAACAAAGATAATATTGTCGTCGTAGGTTTTTACCCTTTTAAACTGGTACAAAACTGACACCTTTATTCAAGGCATCATGTTTGCAATAACCACAACACAAGTAGTCAAAAAAGCAAACAAAAAGAAGCAACTCTGATGATGATAATAATATGCACTGTCATCAGAGTTGCTTCTTTTTCTTTGCTTTTTTGACTACTTGTGTTGTGGTTATTGCAAACATGATGCCTTGAATAAAGGTGTCAGTTTTGTACCAGTTTAAAAGGGTAAAAACCTACGACTATATTTTGCCACTGGTAAAAGAGATCTCATAGTGTAAAAGATAATATTGCTTAATTTATTTTTAGTCATTTAATTGAAGATGGCGATGTCTGCTTCTGTTGGGGCCATTCTCTGACATGAAAGGTTGCCTTGCTGAGATCTAAACAGATACTTTCATCTCATGAGACGGTGTTGATTGAGTTGGGATAACAAGATAGAATATACCTTACAGAGCTTACTCAACCTTGTGCCTTTCCAAATTATCCTCTCGTTCAAGAGAAATTCTCATTGTCTCCTGCCTCCCATGTGTTTAGGTGAGCGTGGCTATTGGCTGTGCGGCACGCGGTCGCACTGTGCCCTTTGCCAGCACGTTCGCCGCCTTCCTGTCCCGCGCATACGACCAGATCCGCATGGGCGCAATTTCCCAGACCAACGTCAACTTCTGCGGCTCTCACTGCGGAGTCTCCATCGGTGAGCTGTACTCCCCGTCCCCACCAGTGACTGTCATACCACTGGTGTCTTGATTCTCGCAAAAATAGTGGCCTCAACACTAAACTGTTGTCTGGGCACAGGTTTTCACACCCTCCTTTGTAATAGCAAGGTTAGTCTATGTGGAGAGTTTATATATCTTAAGCTTGTGCCACTTAAGACTGCAGGTATCGGTATCAAAGTTGAATTTCATATGGTCCTACATACTCATGGTTTCATATCTGAAAGTATTGAGTTTGCCATCTGATCAGGAAAGTGATAAGTAATTGGATTTTTTCCATGTCCACATTTTTTGCGTGCCGTCTTTTTTTTTTACTTTTGTTGCAGTCTTGTGTGTGAATAATTCATAATATTTGTGAGTAGTGGTTAGGGCAGCTAGGTTTGATATTGGTCATTTTTAATGTATCGCCATCTAAAATAGGTCTTTCTTTATAGTCTTGTTATTTCTGCTAAAGTCTAAGGCTATACGAGGGATCTTTGTGTGTGCATACAGGTGAGGATGGGCCCTCTCAGATGGCTTTGGAGGACCTGGCCATGTTCCGCGCCATCCCCACCGCTACCGTGTTCTACCCCTCGGATGGCGTATCGACCGAACGTGCTGTCGAGCTTTCTGCCAACACCAAGGTTACCCCCCCCTCCCCTGCAACTGCAGCCTAGAGCCTGAAGATTAGGGTTAATACCGTAAGAAACAGCATGCCACAATCCCATTGGGGAAGCATACTTAACTGTCTTGGTATTAATTGTAAGAGTTTGCTTTTCGAGCAAGCTGTTACCTGAAATTAATTTGAAGTTTTATTTATTATTATGTTCAACCCAGAATTTTAAAACTAGACTTGAAATGTAAGATTAGGAGAACCAAATTGGTTTCCTTTTCCATGCCTTTATACGTCACCACGCTGGTTACAGTTTTGATTAAAGGGTGGAACATGACTAGTTCACATCTCACTTGCCGGGAATGGAACTCTGGTGGCCGAGTTCGTAGTGTAGTGCATTCATAGCTCTACCACTGCTGCACCCAACAATTCGTTACAGCCGACTATTTTGTTATTGTTAATGAGTATTCTTTATAAGGTTTTTGGAAAAACGGCCATTAGGTTGCGTAATGTTAACGTATGATCTATCTGGAAAGATAAAAGAAAAAAACAATCGAATCTGCCTCCAAGTCCATTTCCATAAGCCTGGCTCTACTCCACAAGTCGTGCGCCACTAACTTGTGTTCCACACCACCGTGTCTCTCGCATGCCAGGGCATCTGCTTCATCCGTAGCAGCCGCCCCGACACGGACATCCTCTACGCCAACGATGAGAAGTTTGAGATCGGCAAGGCCAAGGTGAGAACGGTGCCCGGGAGATTAAAACGTCTCGTTATTGGATGTTGAATGTGAATGAAGTAAATGTTTCCTGTCGTAGAGTGGCCTGGAATTCTCAAGTCACTCCAGTAGGCCTCTTTATCCTCACTAGGGGGGAGGGGGTGGGGGCATCATTTTTATATTATCTGCAGGGTGTTCACTGCATGTTCAAACTGAAATCTAAAAATCGAACTGGAATAAGATGCATTAATGGCCAAAGATAATTTTATGAATGGTTTGTGCAGTCATTGATGTCCTGGCTGAATCCCTGAAATCCTTCTGCTTGCAAACCCAGTCTTATTATGGGCTGACAAAATCCAATTTTCAATCCTATAGTCACAGCAATGCCAATCCGGAGCCACACAGCTGCCTTAATAAAGTTGTGATTGTTTAAAAGTTTTCAGATTGCTTTGTCATCTTCCCGAGACACTGCAGTGTCTTTGTACTTGCTGAAGTGTGGTCCCGTTGAAAACCTGTTTCGTGTTGTCTGGCAGGTGGTGCTGAAGAGCGACAGTGACAAGGTGACGGTTATCGGGGCGGGAGTGACGCTGCACGAGGCTTTGGCGGCCGCTAAGACGCTCGCATCCGAGGGTGAGGCTGTCTAATCTCCTTGCCCATCAACACCGCAATGAATCCATCTTCTTGCTATAATCGGATACATATGCAGTGCTTTGTAAATGTAATATGTATATCAAATGTACGCATTTTATTAGACTTGCTGCTTTTATGGTGGCTTTATATTCCTTATACATCAATTGGATGTGTTTTTTTTTATTGGACTACACAAACTAGTCGCTGTGTGCAGTGTGTGCCGTTCACCTTGCTGCTCCGTTCACCCTGTCTGTCCCTCCCCCCGCCGCCCCCCCTAGGTCTGAACGTGCGCGTGATCGACCCGTTCACGATCAAGCCCCTGGACAAGAAGACGATTGTCGAGAACGTAAAGGCCACTGGAGGCCGCGTGGTGGTGGTTGAGGACCACTACCCCGAGGGTGAGCCGCCACTTCAGTGCAGTGGGCTCGTGTGTGTCCGCCTGCGCCGGGTCGCTCGCCTCGAGTTGCTGTTGAAACCGTTTCCATGATAACTGCTTTCGTGTTTACACAATTTGTATAAAGGCTGATGCTTTTGTTTTTAAAAGGCCCGTGACAAAATCGACCACAATGCACGTATAGGGTTGTTAAGCCAGGAGGTGACCACCATTCATAACAGGTTGTAGGCTATTGGGATATATTTGGACTTTGTAGCAATATCCATTGTACATTATTCACCCAAGCCTTTTACATAACTAACACCCAAGTGGTATACTTTAATTTCATAAATTGTTTCCAAACCTTGCCCTGCTTCAAACTCGTTATTTTAATTGTATATCCCTGCTACTCTCCTGCCACCATTCTTTAAATATGAATTTGTAGCCACAATTGCATTTTTCTCTGACCTATAAATATGGATATATTTATATATATAAATATGAGTAATCCACATGCCTCCCGCAGAGATGAATGTTGCTGCTCTACCAACTAGTGATGCAATTTACCACGCTGAAGTCTCAAGTCTCATTTGGGATTTCCCCCTGGTATTGTCTGATTTGTACAATAAAATACTCTCAATTGACCAATCTGATCCAAATAAAATAATTCCAATGGTGGATTGTTGCTAGCCTTGTATCTTGGATGTGTTCTAAGCAAAGCGCATTGAAAAAGTCAGAGGAAGCGGAGAGAAGGGCGCTAATGGAGAGATGGTGCACCCAAGTCACCAAAACAGGCTTCTTGGGTAGAAAAAAACCCACCCCTATGACATTGAACGATTTTAAAAATGCAGTCTTTATAACAGATCCGATTATTTTAAACGGTGGCAACAACCTGTGCTAGGAACTGAGCCCAATGTCTGCTGCTAACACTGCGTTGTGTGTGACCCCTTTTGCGTGTTTGTGCTGTCAGGGGGCCTGGGCGAGGCGGTGTGCGCCGCCGTGAGCTCCCAGCCCGGCATTGTAGTGCGCCACCTGGCCGTGCCACGCGTGCCCCAGAGCGGGAAACCCACAGAGCTGCTCGAACTCTTCGGCATCAGCGCCTCGCACATCGTCGCCACCGTCAAGGCCTTCGTCTTGGGAAACTGAAGTAGCGGCAGGCGCTGGTCATCGCGCTGCCCACCCCACACCCCGGCTTTGACACAATTCCTTTTTTTTTTGTCACAAGATGAGCCACTCTTTGTAGTACAAAGAGGTTGAATGTACGCAGACCTTAGCGCTTATAGTAAACTAAGTTGTCCACATTCCTTGTGCGTTCAGTTTCTACAATCAGGCGAGTCTTGGCGAAATGCAGCTGTTGGTCATTTACCAGTTGGTCTTAATTTGTGTTACGTTTGTGTAGTTGTGCGAGCACTTGATACTTTTTCAGAAAATGTTTGACCCAAAGGGTGAAATTCCGATACGTTTTTCTGAACTGGACAGATTTGCATCGGACTTGAAATGACCAAATAGTAAGATTCCACCATTAAACTGTTGTGCCCTGTTAGTCTTCTAGCCCTGCTTGGGGGTGTTTGTGCACTTGCTGTTATTTGGCCTTCAAATGAATAATTCTTGCCCACTGATCGGTGACCAATAAAGTGATTAAGTAATTTTGTTTGTACGTGTTTTGTGACATTACCTCATGCTTGCAGTCTTACACATTCAAGAGGGGGGGGGGGGGGGCTGCATAGGATGCACAGCTTGTTCCATCAATGCTTGTTTGACTTGTGGGAGGAAACTGGAGGTGGTCTGTACACAACTTTGTCCAGTCTGTACGTTGATCTCTTCAGCAGCCTGCAAGCCCCTCTGCGGGGTTGCAAGTTTCACAAATCTGCACGATTCCTCAACCCATTTTCCTCCAGCGCCAGTTTCCTGTGCCCTTGTGCGCCTGGTTTGTGTGGTGCATGTTGATGTGCGAGGTTGCAAGTGAAATTTACCTTTCTCAAAAAAATTTCTGTATTGCATTATAGATTTGCGTTTGTAAATCTAGTTTGAGAATAAAATAGTTCAAGAATTGTAGGTCGGTAATCTAATGCACCAATTACATCTCTGAGCAACTTACCAAAGTTGTGTCACAATTGATTAACACCTAATCTTTCTAATAACCTTTCGGTTGGCTAATTTTCTAGCATGTTTCCAGTGCACCCAAGTGTTTTACATCTTAACGAAGCCCTATATGCGGCAGAGAAAGGGAATCCCATCATCCCAGAAGTGGATTGACAAGTCCTTGTGAAGATTGCTATAATTGACCACGATCTCTATCCACTGCTGTATGAATGTCTCCCACATAGCCATCTATTCCAGCCCCAACTAAACGGCACTCATTGCTCTTCCACATGAGCTGGTCGTCTTGGGCGTGTTCCATCCATTGGTTTCCAAGCCACCCGTTTTGTCCATCGACAGTCAATGGCACCTGATTGGCTTCTCCTGCCCAAACTCAATCTTCTCAAGTCCCATGTTTGTTATATGCTGCCAAGTATTTGCCTCTGTGTAATTCTCAGCATTCATTTGGGTCGATTTACTCAAAGGAAACTCCTCGATTATCAAAGGGGGCAAAAGCTGAAATGTATAAATGCAGACCCGTCCCACAGCATGTGCAGGTAAATGTTTTGCAGGCCATTGGGACTGGTGTAATCGAAAATGTAGGGGCCGATCACCCACGTGAGTCGAGTAGGTTGAAAGGCTTTCTCTTGCAGCAACCACCCATTTTGGAAAAGACAGGAATATCAAGTACTGGGTTAGGTTAAGAGATTGACGAGACCTTTTAAATTGTCGGGCTTTATTCTCAACAAAACTTGCAGCAACAATTTATTCACTGAAATACAACCTCTGACTTTGACCCAAGTTATCTTAAGTCTATTTATACACAATAAATACTCTAATTCATTACCCAAAATACGCAAGGGAACTGGCCATTGGCAAACATCGCATTTCCGTCTACGAGGAGCCAGCCCTTTGTCAATCCACTGCTGGATGAGGGATTCCCAGCACTGCAAATTCTCAGTTCAAGTGAAAATGACATTCTTCTGGAGGGAAATACGACGTGGCTGAAATATCCATAATGAAAAGTATGCGTGGCAAGAGGCTGGGTTTGCTAATTTGACGTCAAATAATTGCCAACCATTTAAGACCGTTTTTTTTAAATAATCATTACACTATCACTCTTTGTAAATGGTTCTCAGTCGCCCTGCTGTAGAGATATCGCGTGACCTCAGAATAAAGCAAGAAGCCAAATTTGACCAGATGGCGCTTGTGTGCAGTCATTGGTGAAGGACCAACTCGCTACACTTGAGAAAACCGGTTTAATCGTGGATGTCTGAAACACTCAAATCGAGGATCCCTGGGGTCCAAATTCAATGGGATCAAAATCTTTGACCATGGAGCCACTTAGGCACCTCTTGATGGGCCATACTTTCTACACCCCTGGTTTGGAGAATGTCGCTGGCGAGCTCGCCACCCGCTTGCCGATGGGCGAGGCCGCTCCGCCTCACCACTGCCGCCGTGCGTCGTAGTCCCCCCACACCCCAGTGCCGGATTATCCCAGGAGCAAAAGTAGCTACATATGTAGTAGCTACTATGTACATATGTAGTAGCTACTACGGGTCCATATGGAGTAGCTACAGGCCCTGCACTTTCAAGGGCCCTGCGCTAAATGCTTTCAAGCTATCAATTCCAGTTCCGTGATTCTGCACTTGCTCTATTACTACAGTACTATACTGCCTTCAACTTTTATGAACGACTGGGTGTTTAAGGTTAACGCTTTGTCTTATTATCTGGCTGTATAGCAAATGAAAAAATACAATTCCTTTACTGTGCAATTTAAACATTTGTTTGAAAATTTGTGGGTTTTTAGTTTCGGGCCCCTTTATAACATATGCTCCAGGCCCCGCGCTCGCTTCATCCGGCCCCGTCCGACTGCGCGGAGTTGTGGCGTCACGGTGGGTCGACTGCTCGTCGTGGTGCGGCGTGTCTCGCGGGGCTGACGTGGGGTGGCGATGCCCGCTCAGAGCAGCCCCTCAGTTCAGCAATCTGTGCAGCAGCAAGGGGTGGCGGGGGCGAGATATGCACGGGAAGGGGAGCGAAGAGGGTTTTGTAATTGAAGGATAACTTGCAAATCGTTTTTAAACGAATCACTTAAATACGGGTACAGTATTTCATTAGTAGCAAATAAAATGTGTAGTGGCAATACACGTACAACAATGTTTACATTGAGACAATTTATTGTATGTTCATGATTTATGCATCAGAATTATAGATGTAATTTTCCACTGAATTGCTGCAAACAAGTACGGTATTTACACTCTATTCCTAAACGGTACTAATACTGCACATACTCTACTGCATTGCGACCAAACAACACAAATAATGAAATTATTTCATTCGAGACTTTCGGAAATGACGGTACTTTAATTGTGATGGCATTGACAGTGCTCGAGTCTTGGATTTGGCAGAATTTTGCCGAGGTTGTACTCATCCACCATCGAGATTCGGGCATGCCCTGTGTGCTGCTGCATGCTCACTGGGCACTGCTGACACTTTTACATCCCCATCACAGCACAACAGAGAACCTGCACAGTGCATGAAACTCCGGTAACTTAACAACACAATGCCCACCCATTACCTCTTACATGAGCTGTGTATGAAATTCTCCGGTGCTAGGTACTGTATAGGCTTAGTAAATCAATACATAAACGTGCAGTATGTTACCCTTGTGAACATGAAATGTACACACCGCATGTGCGTGCATATCCAACATGAGTGTGACGGTAACAAAGATGAATATGGACTCATCAGGGTCACGGGACATGCATGAAATCACACGCGCAAGAATCGAGGTTATTCAGTATCGTGGAATTGAGCAGGAAACTTTGCGGGAAGTGATGATGGCCGGTGGTCGAGACCAAGGGTGGAGTGGCAGCCAAATGAGTAAATGCGCCCGAGAGGACGTCCGCCGAAGAGATGGAGCGATGGGAAGCAGCTCGTGTGCAGCTGCTGTAGGTGGATCGCAGGAATTGCGAGAGATGGCAACAGCTTTGAGAGGCCCTTTATCCAGCGGTGGGTTGAGCACGGCTGATTGTTGCGTATAAAACGGATTCGCGTGACTGATGCAGCCACGAGGTGGACGCGACATTCACCGCAGTGTTAAAAAGGAAATCGATTCTTGAATCAGATCGTGACCCTGATTTGAGATATTTCATCAAATCACCGAGGGGGTGAATTGTTACACCACAATACGATACGAAGGCGAACCATTTATAGATACCCCACTGACCGTCTGACTTAGATGTCAATGATCTCAGCTTACACATCACCGAATGTTGCAAACAATTCACACTGGCTATATTGAACGTAGTGGGGTGACTATAAATGGATCACCATGTGTAATATGAACCATATTTGAACATGCAGTACAGGGTCATTTATATTGAAGGATTCCACAGTCTTGGTTAAAATTCATTTTTAAACTTTAGCGGGTACGACCCGCGTGCGTGACCTCATCATCAGTGGTTGATTTAAGACGCCGCTCTGCCATTTGTGGTCAGCAGAGTCTGCGTTGGGAAGGAGGAGGAGGAGTTTAAAACAACTGCTGATGAAATCGAACGAGCAGTCCGCTCCCGGGTAAAGTTTAAAACTGCAATAGAGCGTCGTGCACAAACGTGAAAGGAACAGTTTTTATGTTTTACCGCGCACTCGTAGTTTCAAAAGAAGACTCGACGAGTCGTAGTAACATTGCGGTGGGCGTTGACACAGTGCAGTGGTTGCATATGCGCAGGGGTCACACGTGGTTTAAGATTTACAGAAACGTGCTCACGTGCCATCAGAAAGCAACCATTTGCCAAGCCTCTGAGAAATTCACCAAAATACTTATTCCATATGGGTACGCTTGTTTTTAATTGCTCAATAAATGCTAAATGAAAAGTAATACAGCCGTATATTTTCAAGTTAAGATATCACAAGCAAATTCATAACTTACAACCCTCTGCCTGTCCAAAAACGTGTTGAAGGCCTCCCCATGCCGTGTTCAGGCATCGTGGTGGTTTGACCATACTTCACCACGCTGGTCAGAAAGTTAACTCGGGTCAACTGGGTTAAGAGCACAATGCGCTAACCGCTGCACCACCGCTCCTTCCAATAAAACATCAATTGTTAAAGATTGTAAATATGCATATTTAACTTTATATATTTGTTTACAATGATTAAACTGTGATATGTGTATCTCATTGAAACATCCAGTGTATTGAGTAGCTCATAATTATCAAAGAAAACAAAACCAATCTGCACAGATTACCAATACATTTCCAATATTTTACGTGTAAAATTAAAGTCATGTAACAAACATGGAATAAGCATTTTCAATTTCTTACTTTAATACCCACATCTGCATTAAAAAGCAGTGCTTTTCACACGGTCAGCCTTTAAAAGTCCGGGCTTAATAGCAATCGCACCGTCTTAAGTCACATCTCAAAGCATGAGCATTGCCTGCGTGAAAACACAATTGGACACGCAGATAAGTGCTGCGATTGTGTACTCCAGGCAATAACTCTTCCCTGCTAGCGACATATACTGGAACAGGTGGGAGTAGCCACACTTTACCCCACCACACGTGACTTCACTGTGGTGAGCCCAATTACACTGCTGCGTGGACACAGGCACGAGGGAGGGGGGCCATGCGGGGGGTGAGTTTAGAAATCTTGATCATTGTTTCAACTGCTGGCGACCTCTGTGCGTGTGTGCGCAAATATATAGAATTAAGTTGGTAACATTTACATGCGGTCCTTTATATGGTATTCTTTCTGTTTTATGCAACCACAGACCTCTTTTAATAAGTCAGGGTGACAAAAAACTTAGTTTACCGAGATAGACACAGATTCGTCTGAGTTTCGGTAAACCAACTTTGGGGTCATCCTGTACGTTTAATAAAATACTACTTAAAACAAATTATCCGTGCGAGGGGCAACGCTCTAATCCCATACAGAGGGGACAGATGATATTAGTCCGCACTTTGCTGTACCACATTGTCCTGGCAAGCCAAGGTACGGCCCACGGCAATGGAGTTTGGCAACATTAACATGATCCACCAACCATCGCTGCCTCCACAGGCCACGTGTGGAGCCACCATCGCCCAGCTATGTTCTCTTAGGGAGGTTCCTTCCGAAACTATTAGTCCAATTCCTCATTGTCAGCGCGGAACAACACATCTTTTGCTCGTGGAAGGAAACCAGAGCTCCCGAAGAAAATCCACACCCACAAGAATTAAACAGGCGAAAATCTACCCAGATAGGTCGACAACCTACTTTCTGTACTGGTATCCACCAGCTCTCGCGCAGCCCAGGTTAAGTGCAAGCCAGCCAACCAATCTTGGCACCTCTTTATTTTGCAAGCCGAAGCAGGCAGGGGGGTCTAGCCCGACGGGCACACAAGCGGTCGAGCGAGGGGGGCTGGCGAGCGGGCGGGCATGCAGGCGGCGGCGGGCTAGTCGCACTCCCGGAGACCCGTTACCTGCCTTAACTCATACTGGCACGGCGGCGCCCCACCCGGGTTACGCCTGTAGGCCTGGCAGTACGGGCACGAAGACGGGACGTGGTGTCCCCCGTACAGCGGGTAGTGGGGCAGGCGGCGCGGCATGAACCCGCCGTGGGGGGGCAGCCGGTGCGGGCAGCCGGCGCCGGCCGAGGCGCAGACGGCGCACGCCGTGGGCGGCGCGCAGCCTCGCCCGCAGCAGCACGGCCACGCCGCGTGCGGCCCCGCGTGCGTGGGGCCCTCCTCGTCGGCGTCGGCGGCGTCGGCCGGGACCGCCGCCAGGACCTTGCGGCCGGAGAGGCCGCCGGCCGGCGCGGGACACGCGGAGCCGTCGGCCGCCCCCGTACCTTGGTGGACGAGGACCGTGCCCGCCGGCTTGGTGCCCGCGTCCTCCCCGGAGCAGCTGACGGGCGGGCAGCGCATCGCCATGGGCTGCTCGCGCACGCGATGGGACCGGGTCACGGCGCTGGCTGCTGCTGGGGTCAGCGCCGGGGCGGGGCGTGGGGGGGGCCGTGGGGGGCCCGCTGCGATGGAATTTACCCACGAGCCCTCGAGAATAATGATCAATTACCGTTGAATCTGAATGGGCTTCCCACAAGCGCTGTACGCAAACCCGTTACGCGTTGTTGTGGAAATGTATTTAACGTTTTGAACAAATGCCGCTGGATAATATTGGTCTGAAAAGCTGAGAGGCTGATAGACTTATCTTTTAAAAATTGTGTTTGCAGAGATATGGATGGAGGTCCGTTTTATACAGTTTCATGGGTTTGTAGTGAACAGTGGCGGAGCTATCGAGTGTGTAGGCGGTGCCATTGCATGGGGGTCTACGGGGCCATAGGAGGACCCAAGTGCCGGGCTGCGAGAGAGATTGGACCCGGGTTCATTCCTGTACCAGGGCCCTTGGATGCTGTGAGGTCAATGAGTTGGAATCAGCATGAACTCGATTTCTCGAAGTAGACAAAAATAACACACAGGTGTATTGTTTACAATAATCCGAGTGGCTGGAATTGTCTTGACGGTAGTTTCAGTAGGAGGGCGAGTCGCTGATTGGGTGGGTGGGTAGGCTTTATGTAGGTAGGTAAGCAGGTCGTAAATGGAAGGCTGAGTGAGGGTCGGCAGGCAGGATAGTGGGTGTGTGGGTACGTCTTTGGTAGGTTTGTAGGTAGTTTGGTGCTTATGTAGATTTGTAGCTGGGCTTGAAAGCAAATACACCAAATTATATTACATTAGACCTAATAATGTCGACTTTAATACCATCTCTGCAGAATATTAACGATTATAACGAATATAATAATTAACTGCTGAATTATTAGATTTTGTAGTTCAACCAGTTATCGAGTCATAAAATAAACCAATATTACAATATTTCCCGTGGTTTCTTCCAATTATATATTTTTAAACATCTTAATTGCCCATACCCCGCCCGATGAGAATGGTACCGACCTGCTGTTCCTCTCCGCCATCCTTGTTGTATGGGCGGACTGTACCAAGTGAGCACTCCTCCACGTGAATGGCCTTCTGGCAAACCGACTGATGCTTCTTCTTCTTGCACTTGCAGATGAGCAGGGCCGCCACCAGCGCTGGAGGGACACACGGCCAACACTCATCGGTCAGCGCCGGCCACAGTCCAGCCCCGCGACTGCTCAGTCGGATTGGGTCCATCATTCATCTCCAAGCACACGGGTGTGTCGGAGAGTGGACGCACATTTACTCGAGTTGTAAATGTTGTGGGTTCACTCTCCAACACACCGGCGTGCTGAACTGGTAACGAATTGTCACGTTTTGTTGACGTGACAAACATTACTAATTGGCTGTGTCGGGTGGTGGCGGGTTTAACGGCACATTTGTATTGACGCGAACTAACCCATAAACACATCTCTCTTATGGATAATTGCAGCAGCCTGTACATTTTTTTTGAAACTCCATCCGAAAAGCAGATGGAGAGGAAGAATTGTCGCCAATCGCACGGTCCGTTCCACCAGGGGTGGGCTCACCGAGCGGCACGAGCAGCAGCGAGCAAATGATGGCCGCGAGAGCGCCGGCGCTGAGTCCGTACTCCGTGTACGGGTGGCACATGCGCTCGCTGCCACAGTCGCACACGGTCACGTGCAGGTGGTGCGTCTCGCCCAGGCCCTTGTGGTCCGACACGTGCACCGACACCTTGTACACGTCCGTGGGCGCGTGGCCGTGCAGCAGCGTCAGCGCCGCCGTGTGGTCTAGCGGACGGGTGGCAGGAGAGCGCGCGAGGAGGAGATGTGAGCGGCGGAGAGACGGGAGGGGGGTATAGAGGGGAGATGAGGGGAGACGGGGGGAGGGAGATGGAGGGAGACATGTAGAGATGGAGAGAGAAGGGAGAGAAGGGGGAGACGGGAGATGGTGGAGTAGCTGCACATGTCGAACTGGCCACAGCACCGATGGAACACGAGGAAGCACGGGGAGTGAAGAGCAATGCGGAGCATGGTGGAAGACGGAAGAGATGGAGAGAGGAGGGAGAGATGGGGCAGATGGTGCGGATCGTGGGGGGAGCACACACAGTTCAAGAGTGAGAGCAGGAAGCATGGGGAGCGATGGTGTTAACTTATATTCCAGCATCGGCTAATTAGCCTACATTTCCATGTATGTTGCATCAATTGCAAATAATCGATAATTACACCCCATGCACGTATTGTGAGCGTAGGAATCAATTGAAACACACAAGGGTGACGTAGTGGAGGGTAACAGTCGCTGGCAATCGCCGACAGTCGTTGCAGCACCATTTCCTCTTGTAAAAGAAGAAGTCGTTTCCCCGAACGTAGACAAATGCCGATAAACTTGCTACCTTAGTGGACAAAGCGGAGGTTGCCAACTTCCAATCCCCACATCTACGGCGTGGCCCCCGCCAGTGCCGGATTATCCTCGTAGCAAAAGTAGCTACATATGTAGTAGCTACTACATGTGTAGCTACTAGATATGTAGTAGCTACTACATGTGTAGCTACTATATATGTAGTAGCTACGTATGTAGTAGCTACGGGCTCCGCACTTTCAAGGGCCCCGTGCTAAATGCTTTCGAGCTATCAATTCTGGTTCAACAATTCTGCACTTGCTCTATTACTATAGTACTATACTGCCTTAAACTTTTATGAACGACTGGGTATTTAAGTTAGCGATTTGTCGTATTATCTGGCTGTATAGCAAATGAAAAAATACAATTACTTTACTATACAAGTAGAAAATTATTGTTTTCATATTTACGTGTTTTTTATTTTATTTAGGGCCCCTTTATAGCATCTGCAACAGGCCTCGCACTAGCTCCATCCGGCAATGGCCCCCGCGTCCACCGCACGCTCGCGTTGTGCCACTGGTCGCACCGTCCTTCTGCTTGAGCTGCCACATGGCGTGGCCGTCGCCGTGGGCGCCGCCGTGGGCGCCGGCGTGCGGCGGCAGCAGCTTGAAGGTGAAGGGCCCGGCGTGCGGGTCCAGGTCGGCGTCGTGGGCCTTCACGAGCACCGAGTTCCACGCCGACTTCTTGCACACGACGTCGTCGAGCTGGCGCAGCGTGGGCGCGTTGTCGTTCACGTCGGCCACGTGCAGCAGCACCGTCGCCGTGGCCGTGCACGGGTGGGCGGCTGAGGGGGTCAGGGGGGGGGGGGGCGAGGGGACGGTCGCACCGTCGTCGTTACAAGAACGCGTCGACGACGGAGGCCCCGGAGAGCCGACCGGCGCGTCCACGCTTCACCGCGACGCGAAAGGCCTCCTGCGAGGCTAGGCCGGCGTCAGGGCGGATCTGACGGCCACAATGTTCGTTAGTTTGTGTTTGTCTGTATGTATGTTCACCCGACTTTGTCCCGATTGTGCAAGCGGCGTCGCAACGGTTCGTGCTGGGTAATGGCCTGTGGAACCGGATGCTGGAGAGCTACATCTGAGTGACCTCTGGGTCAACTTTCATGTTGAGAATTGCTTCATGAGACGTGTATGTGTGTGTGTTTGGTTTTCTTCAATGAATGGTAAATTCTAAATTTTATTTGCAAAAAAAACCGTGAAAGCGAGTTAGCAGTGGTGCACAAGCACAATCAATAAAAAAAATCTCAGTCGTCAATACCATTTACCTGAAGTTGAAAAAATATACAGTAGACAATGTTTCTATCAATATCGCTCTTCTACTTATTCAATATATTTTATTATCTTTCTCTGCAATGACAAAGGGCCATTACCTGAAACGTCCCCTCTTTCTATTGAGCTTTGGATTAATCCCCCCAATAATAATAATTTAAAGATAATACCAGGTTCATAGCGCAGCCCAATAACCAACCAAAGTGCAACCATCACTACCGTCATCGCTACCATCGTTGCCACCGTCGCTTCTGTCATTACCGTCGTCGATGGCGAGGAAGATGGCCGTGTAGACGTCGTTCTTGATGTAGGGCGACTCGCGGTCGAGCTCACGCAGGAGGGTGATGTCGCCCGTGGCGTCGATCGTCAGCAGTTTCGCCGGGTCGTACATCTTCTCGTGCCTGCGGAGGAGTCGGTCGATGGACAATTAATTCAGTTGCACACGGATCTCAGTGGTAACTCTGTGATATCACCTTCTGTGATGGATTAGTCGTCACGTGACACTGACAGCAGACAAGGCGACAATTATAATGACGTCACACGGTGCCTGGCTTGTGATGTCATCGTGTTGGCCAAACTAGCTTTTCTATTCGGCCAAATTGATTGAATGACCTGTTTTGAGGAAAATGATGTAATCAGTTTGGCCAGTTTTCAGCAGGGTTAGTTCCTAATAGCAAAACAACTTTATACTAAAATGGACCGTCTACATCATGGGACCTCCTTTGCCAGTAACAAAATATAAGAATAGGTGTTCCCCTTTTTTTCTGGCAACAAAACAGTTGTGTTAAGTTGTTAAAACACCAAGCTGAAACCTTTTACAAGGACTCATATCTGAATTAAGTACAATACTTGTGGTCAGAATGCAAAAAATACATACTCTGATAATATATGCATTGTCCTTGAAACTGATTGGTCCACACCAGAGACACCATAGACAGCTTTCTTTCCAGCCTAGTCTCAAACAGTGTTAGTCTAACAGTCTAATACCGTTTGAGCCTAGTCTCAAACGGTGTTAGTCTAACAGTCTAACACCGTTTGAGCCTAGTCTCAAACGGTGTTAGTCTAACAGTCTAACACCGTTTGAGACTAGGCTGGATAGAAAGCCGTCAATTGTTGCAAAGCGTCCTTGGGACGAGTCACCGGCTGTATATATCTGTACGAGATTAGGAGAGGGTCGCAGGACGAGCACCCCCCCTGCCCCCCACTCCACACCTCCACCCCCCCCCCCCCACCCCCCCACGGAGGTTGCGGCTCACTTGACCACGTGATGGCCGCACAGGTGCTTGGGCTGGAAGGAGGCGATGAGGCTGCCCGCCTTGAGCCCCTCGGCCTTGTAGACCACCAGCTTGGCGTCGGCCGCCTTGGAGTCTCGGTACAGCGGGATGGCGATGGTGTTGGACACCACGGCGACGCCGTACGCCGCCAGCCCCTCGCCGCCACCGTGGGCGACGTGCCCCCCCGGGTACGTGTGGAGGGCCCCTCCGAGCGGAGAGCCGTGCAGACCCGTCGTGACGACGCCGCGCGACGGCGGCGAGCGGTGGTGGTCGTGGTGGAGGTGGTGGAGGTGGTGGCAGCCGTCGTACGAGGAGGAGCACGGGGCGAGGTGGCCGCCGTGCTGCTGATGCAGCTGGTGGTGGCCGAAGCTCGTCCCGTCGCGGACCGCGACGAGAGCGTCGTCCTTCGGCAGGTGCGTGGCCGCCAGGTGCCCGAGCGCGGAGCGGTGCTGGTGGTGGTGCAGGTACGGGTGCTGCTGCTGGTGCTGGTCGTGCAGGCGGTGGTACGGGTAGAACGAGCCGCCGTCGAGGTGCCCGCCGTCGTGCAGGGGGTAGAAGACGACGAGCGGAGCGATGTTCTTCACCGCGAGCTTCAGCGCCGCCACCTTCTTCACGTCGTGCTCGATCGGCTGCGCTCGGTTTCGAACGGGGCGAACGTTTCAGGTGGGCACACAAAACAAATGAGAATTGAGATTTTTTGTTGTTATTTTTTTGTTTCACCGCACGCCAAATTTCGTTTTGTGGCAGACAAAGTGAATGTTACGGGCGAAATAGTAGCGACCATACGGAGACGCCACGGGCGCAGGGTGGGGGGAGGAGAGGGGTGGCCATGGGTGAGGCGGTAGGATATGGTGGAGCGAGATTCGAGGAGGAGAGGGGATGCAAGAAGAGGTGCAGAAGAGAAGCTCATGGAGAAGGAAGACCCGAGCAGCCGGCCCCACGCAATCATCGGGGGTGGCCGGGGGGCATAGAAGTGCAGTACAACGGCGAGCTTTGTTTTCCCCTGCACTGCCTCCCACTGCCCAACCCTACGGCAACGCAGTTTGCACGCGCGGTGGTGGCACAGCGACTGACCTTGCGCAGGTAAATGTGGGCCTTGTTGGTCTTGGGGTCGGTGATGACCCCGAAGTGGCCGTCCTCGTTGCCGCTCACGAGCGAGCACTTGACCCTCCAGTTGTCGGAGAACTGCTCGTCCGCGTCCTCGATGGCGACGATGGCCACCGTCTCGTTCTCCTTGTTCTCCCTGATGGGGCCCAGCACCTTCGCGGGAGAATGGGGATGAGAGAGAGGTGATGATGATGTTGATCGGGGTGATGATGATGTGGGAACGAGTCACGGGTAAGAGTGGGAATGAATAAAGGGAAGAGAGAGAGAGACGGAGAGAGACGGGGGTGCATGCGTTGTTACGTATGTCACGCCGCGTCGTTGTGTCATCTTGTGTCGTCTTGTTGTGTCATCTTGTGTCGTCTTGTTGTGTCATCTTGTGTCGTCGTTACATGTGCTGTGCCACATCGTTCTAGCCTCTCGTTGTGTCATCTCATCTCGTCTTCTCATCTCGTCGTCTCGTGTCATTGCGCTGCGCTGCGCGCTGCGAGCGGTGCCTGGAATCCGGTGATGACGGGCGGGTGGTCGTTGATGTCGGCGACGGTGATGACGACGGTGGCCAGGCTGTAGAGCGCACACGGCAGCCCGTCGCTGTCCAGCGCCTTCACCACCAGCCGGTACTTGTCTACCGCCTGAGGACGGCACAGAGACCAGACGACTTTGAGACCACAGCAAGTAGCAGCGGCAGTGATTGTGGTGGCAGTCTTGGTGATGGTTATAACGGTGACAATATATATGTTTCTTTATAGATGCAAGCAATGTAAGCGGGATTCGCCAAACGTCCCAATGCTGAAACTTTTATCCACAAATAACTCAACTGAGATCACACAGCCACAGTAACGTCGCCCCATGCTACGGAAAAATCTTATCAGGACCCTCCTAAAAAAGAGTTTAGATTCAGTGAGGTTTTTCCTGTGTAAATTAGCATAATCACATATTATTAGAACATACACGCTTGTGAATAAGTCGCCCTGAATGCACCAATCTTATCGGTCTTTCCAAGCTAAACGGGACAGAGCCTGGGACGCACTTGGGTGGGAGATGTGCTGGGAATACCAGGTGTTATAGGCTCGGCTGCGAAGGGGCTGCATGGCAGGAGGATTCTTGAACCTGACTCCGGGTATCTGAGCGTTATCCCTCGTGGGCGTGGATGTTCTTCCGCTACTAACGGTCAATTCCACAGCTCACTTCAAGTCTTGAGACTCAGTCAGGATTTTACTGGGTAAATACATGGCGTCGTTATTTGTATTTAGGATTTCGCGGCATAACAATAGCACGAGAGTGATGGCATTGTATAGGTCTAAATGAGTACAATCCAGAAGAGAAAACGCATGTTGACTGGGTTACTTTTTGAGAGACGAAAGCTCAATGAATGAAGTTTGGGGAAAGGCCAAGAGGCAGAAAGAGAGGTAATGTTACGTATCATATAACTGATGTCAAACTAGGACCCATATCTTAACGGGAGGCTTCTTGCCTGCAACATCTTGAAGATCACCAGAATTGGTTCAAGTGGACCTGATGAGACGCTGTTGAAACCGGTCCAGAATTTTACTGAATGAATGCCGCTTAAATGATGCACTCCCAGAAGGCCGTGAGGCGTTTGTTGGGTTGTGTAAACATGTATCTACTTATGTATTTTCACCTGCAGAGACAGATATATGAAGGTGGAATTTATCTGCTCGGAAAAATAAAAATGCTGCTTTGGAAAAGAAAGGAAGAGGGAGTCAAAGCCACCGCCATTGGGATGGGGGGACTGAAGTAGTCAAGATTCACGTTCTATCCGGCCGGTGACAAGGGTCACACGTTGAAGACGGTGGTTTTTGTTTGCAAAAGACGACGGTGCCGGGGACTCGCCTCGCGGTCCAGCCGCTCGCTCGCGACGCTCACGACCCCCGTGTGCTCGTGCACGGAGAACGCCGGCGCCGGCGACTTGGGCTCCTGCTCCACGATGCGGTAGGTGACGCGGCCGTTGAGGGTGCGCCAGTCGTCCTTGTCGGAGGCCGACAGCTTGAGCACGAAGGTGCCTGCGGACGCAAGCGGAGGGGTTCGAGGCCGCACGGCGTCTCCCGGTGGCCGACGGGGGAGCGGGACTCGAGCCCCTTGCCAGGCCGGTCCGGTGACGTCCCGGCAAGGGGCTCGTACCGTGTGCCGACGCTTTAAGAGCCGCGCGGCATCGTGGGGTCGCGGGGTCGGGCCTTCTGCTCGGCGCCCTCCCCTGCTCCCGGCTCGTTCCCCCTTCCCTCTGGAGCCCGAGGGAAGCGACCGTCGCCGCTTGTGCGCGTGTAATGTATCACGAACCACTCCGGGGTAGGTTACGCTTTCCCAAGTCGAAAATCGACTTTGTAACTTTTCCGCCGCTTTGTTTTGTAAAACGGTGGCCCTGAGGTCGGGCATGGGACGCCGGTGAGCTGCGTCCCCGCGTCACAACGTGACACCGGCACTGCCCGCCGCCGGTGTCTTATCCCTTCATTCGGCTCATGCTGCCGCCTACGCGGTAGAGCGAGCGGATTGCAACCGGAAGGTTGAGAGTTCAAATCTTGGTTGGCGATGCTCAATCCTATAGCTGGAGGTTGACTCGGCCCATAATAAGTACCAAGTTTGCAAGGAAGTCAACGGTGGTTGTCCTTTGCATAGTCTCGCCTCTAAGATAGGAATGTGGAATTTCCACCACTGCTTCAGGGCTGTAAATAGACGATGAGCGGAGCCTCAATGGTCGGTTGAGCCGGAGGTCACTTTGGCTTTTGACCTTCTGGGCCAAAGCAGGTGCTGGTGGTATCACTGGCGGCGCTACTGAGGCGGCTGCTGACGACGTTTCCCCCAACTCGAGCTCGACGACAATGGGGCTGATGTCACAGCTCCCCCGATTAGCACGGCTCGCTACGTACGGTTCAACATACGCAGATACAGCTGTTCACCGCGAATTAGCATCTCCGCTTTTTCCACTCGAGACCAAACCCAGACCTATTTCTCATTCATGCCAGGTTCATTCTCGAACCTGTACAGGTTACCGTGATGAAGTTCAACACAACATAGGTGCGAATCCATTCCCCTCCGCCACGCGAACACGGACACCAAAGCCCAGAGCGGCCGGGTTCAACCAGGGACAGATGGCAGCTTTGCAGGGAGTCGGTCTCCCGCCCGCGCCCGTACCTGGCTTGCTCTCCTCCAGCACGGAGCCGTGGAACTCCTTCTCGGCGAAGACGGGCGGCTCCTCGTTCAGGTCGACGACCAGGACCGTGATGGTGGCTGCCACCTCAAGCTCGTGGTCGTGCGCGTCGGTCAAGCGCAGCTTCAGCTGTCGACAACGACGACACAAACACATCCCGTCGGTCGTGGTCAAGAGGCGTGCGCAGTCCACGGCTGTTGACCACGAGCCCGTTCCATCGCTGCGTCTCCGCGGCGGTCTGTGCGGGTGCCTCTGCCACCGCCATTGGTTGCCACTCCGTCGTGAGGGCCCCGACCGCAGGCCGTCATCCCTGCGGGAGGTGTGGACGTGTCCCTGTGCGAGCCCCGTTAAGCTCACTGGCAGTCTAAGTAACGTCATTTACCTGCGTATGATTAAAGACCTGGAACAGGAAGACTTCTTCACAATTCTGGCAAATCGCCTGGTGAAGCTGGTTGCTGTGATCACCAGCGAAACGTCGTTCTCAAATTGGAAATGTTGCTCTCCAACACACCAGTTTGCTGAAGTAGTAACGAATTGGCACGTTTTGTTTACGTGACAAACCTCACTAGTCGGCTGTGTCGGGTGGTGACGGGTTAGCGACACATTTATATTTACGCGATGTAACTTCCCATGAAAAAACCGTCATGGATTACCTGCGTATGTTCTCCAATCGTCATTGTTAATTTAGTCATAATTAATTCTTAATTATGGTCGTAGCTTTTGCCTCGTCAAGTACATTTGTGGGATATTCATTTTGTCGCGGCACAGTCGATGGCACACTCTGGGGTTCGCCCGTAAGGGGCCGTCCATAAATGACGTCACTAGATTTTGGACGATTTTTAACCCCCCCCCCGCCTCGTCACACGGCGTCACAAAGTCATGCTTCAAATCGCTTTAAACTATTGTCATTGTAGTGCGTATTTAAGGTGGCGCTGCACTCTGATATTGTAGGAGTGTTGATATAACAATTAGTGTTGTTACAACAATTCTATATTTATTTAAAGTTGCGCATTTTGATATGACGTTACATTTCTCAACCCCCCCCCCCTCGTCACGCATCTTCACAAATGTCTGACCCCCCCCCCCCCCCCTAGGTGCGTGACGTCATTTATGGACGGCCCCTAGGCGGTCGTCACGCCTGATGATGTTGGTCCACCCCAGGCCCCTCGTCGGCGGACAGAGCAACAAACACGATCATTTCCGTCACGAATTACGTTCACCGCATGAAACGACATTCACGTCACCGGTGTTGGCCTAACGTCGCAATGCTGACGGCGAATTACCTGCAAATGAATCAATCGGGATTATTGTACACAGAAGCAGCAGCATCAACATCGCCCCTTGACTGCGAAAACTTAGCAGGAAGCTCCATCACAAAGATTCGTGAGACTGTCCTGGATAAGCAAGCCTTAGAACAACAACAACAATAATAATAATCACGCCCATGCCCCCCCCCCCTCACTGGGGGCCCATGCCCAGCCACGAGACGCCCCCCCCCCCCCACCTTCCCACCTTGTAGACGGCGCGGAGCTCGTGGTCGAGGGGTTTGTTGACGCTGATGACGCCCGTGGCGCCCTCCACGCTGAAGAGGCCGGCGGGGTGCTGGTCGGCACCGGCGCCCGTGAGGCTGTAGTGCAGCTTGTGCTCCCCCCCGTGCTTGTCTGACTTCACCTGCACGAGGTGCGCAGGGAGGAGGAGGAGGGGGGGAGATGGAAGCATGAGCAGCCTGACATTGAACGAGGCCGGGCTGCAGTGAGCCACCCGTCCCCTACTTCACCCCCAGGGCGGCTCAGAGAAGCCATGCGTGGTGGTCACCTCTATCGGCTCTCCTGAGCCAGTGGTGGGAATACCTCACCTCTCTACGGCGTGATAATCCCCGTACAATAAGATCATAGCTGACCCAGATTTACCAAAACACCAGGACACAGGGCTGCCAAAAGTGGATACTTGCCCGGGCGTCAGGCAAAAGAGGGCCCCGCAATGCACCCAGTCTTTTTTTCTGCCACTCGTAACGAAGGGAGGCCACCCACGTGGGTTGCAGACCCAGGCCTCTATCCCCGAGTCTCCAGGAACCTCTGGGTGGCCCCTGCCAGGACATCAAATTACCAACCGCCAGTGCCAGATGAAGCTAGTGCGGGCCTGTAGCATATGTTATAAAGGGGCCCTAAATAAAATAAAAAAACACATAAATATTAAAAACTATATTTTTACTTGCACAGTAAAGTAATTATATTTTTTCATTTGCTATTCAGCCAGATAATACGACAACTCGTTAACCTTAAACACCTAGTCGTTCGTAAAAGTTGAAGGAGGTATAGTACTATAGTAATAGAGTAAGTGCAGAATCACTGAACCAGAATTGATATCTTGAAAGCATTTAGCGCGGGGCCCTTGAAAGTGCAGGGACCTTAGCATTTGCAGCTGCTACTTTTGCTCCTGGGAGAATCCGCCACTGCCCACCGCGGGAAACCCAACTTCTGGTTTCCCACTCCTTGAGGACGCGCAACGCTCCGTGCACACGCGGCAATGACTCACGATGAGGATGGGCCTGGGGAAGGGCCCCTTCTCGTGCTCGGGGATGATGACGATGCCCGCGGGCCACTTGAACGCGTCCAGCTTGCCCGGCCACTTGGCCGTGAGCTCTGGCCAGTGGCACGTGACCGCAGGCTCAAGGTCACCCACCGGGCTCCAATCCACCTTGTGGTGCCACTGTTGTGTGCGCAATGCGGTGCAGAGACAAACATTTTCCAAGGGTAGCCTTAGCAGACTGGCTGGGGGCGCGCCCACCCCGTGGAATTCTGCAACGCGTTCGAAACGTGCGTTCTGTCTTCGGGAGTCGTTTTATTCGAGGTGTGGAAGCAAAGGGGGGAGGGGGGGGCAGCTGTCGGGCAACGCGTGCTTGCTGTGTTTGCAGACACGTGTTGGACGTTTTTGCTCTGTATCTAAAAGTTTGCGGCAAGCCTTTGATCGACAGGGTATAAGTGGCTCATAATATCAAAACTTCATAGATTCGATTTCGATTTAAAGCTTTCGTGACTGCAGGGATTCATCTTCTTGGTTCTTTCGGTTATTCACCTGAGGACGGCTGCTTGCGTTGTGGCCGAAACGTCGTGAGAATTGTATTTTATTATGTTTTATTTTTATTATTTTATTATTTCCCTTCTACGTGACTTTACCGAAAGAACCAAGAAGATTCATAGATTCGTTTCACCCTGATTTAGGCTTTCCCAACTGTCCGCATACCACTATAACCAATTTACAACTTTATACCAGGGATGTGTTGATATTGGGTTGACAAAGGGTTTCCGAATTATTACTTAGCAGTAGTCGTAGTTTTATAATTGCGTTGTTAGATTCCTAGATTTGTTTTCTCTCAGTGACCCACAAAGTATGCAATGCTGCTCCGACATGATCACAATCGTGCCGAGAGCCGCATCACAAGCAGAGCTACTTGTACACAGACACAGCAGCGGGTACACAGCGCATGACAAAAACACACATTGTGACTTAAACAAAATAGGCGAGAGAACAAACTGCGTCTATTTAGTTTTAAACGCCCCCCCCCCTAGTTATTATCTAACAATACAGTTTGACTGTTGGACATTACGATGTCACTACCAAGATATGGTATAGTGTGACCCCCATTCCCTGTAATATTTAATCTAATTTCTTGACGTTAAATTACGTTTAGGATTAAAACATTTTTTTAAACCGCTGCCCGCAGCGGGGGGGGGGGGGGGGCAGCCAAAGAGCCGCAAGAAGGGAGCCAAAGAGGAGCCACCGCATGCGGCTTTAGAGCCGCAGGTTGCCCAGCCCCTGCTCTAACGCAACATCCCCCACACACACACCTGCTCGTGCTCGAGGTGGTGACGATGGTTCTGCTGCTGCTGCTGGTGGCCTCCGTGGAGCGGCACGGCCACGCGTCGCACCGTGGGCTTGGCCACGAAGAGGGACACGAAGACGAGCCACTGCTGGTGCGAGTGGCGGTGGCGCGCCGCCACGGCGAGCGGCACGGTGCGCTGGGCGAGGCGCAGGGGCGAGGCGGCGTGCAGGGAGCCGTCGGGACGCGCCGTGAAGCGCGCGTCGCTGGTCGAGAACTCGAACTCGTCGTGCCCCTTACCGCAGCGCTCGAAGAGAACTACGGGGGGCACGGAGAATGGGGGGGGGGGGGTGCCGCAGGGCGTGACTCGGGGTTTGTTCTCGTGCTTAATAAACGTACGCGGGTTAAAAAACAAAATATGACGATTAGAAATTGTCGATTTAATTTTTAAACAACAAAAACTGTCGGGAAAGAGTTTTAAAAGTGTAATTGTCATCAAGGCTTCGTGGTCTAATGTGCAGTCTTTCGAGCACAATAACTCAATAAATAAACACTGAACACATTTGTGAATAGCAACACTGAGGTCTCAAAATAAGAAAAATATAAACGGTGCAGTCTCCAACTCTCATCATCTTCTCGATCTCTTTGGCCTCTCCAAGTACGAGCTGGGGAGCAGAGCCATTGTCTGAAACGTCACCTGCTATATAACGTACTTTGTTTCCATTCTAAGGCCACGTAGTGTTATTGCGTAATTTCACGAGACGGATTGAAACGGTGTTTCAGTTTTTAAACCCGTGACCAGGCGCGGATTAACGCATGGAGGGGGACTTCAGGAGCTGCAGCCGACGGACTCGGATGTCGAGGGAGTCCCAAAAGAGACAAAGACGACAAGAGCCTAACGGTCTGTGTGGGCGGTGTGGGCGGTGTGTGTGCAGGCTGCTACGCGGGTGATCTTCGTCTCTGTGTGCATGGCGGCGCGGTGTGGACGAGCAGCGCACCGTTGAGCAGGAAGGCTCCCTTCGGCAACTCGGGAGGCACAGCCACGCTGTAGAACTCGCTCTCGAAGCGGTGTTTGCAATCCTTGAACAGGTGCTTGCCCTGCGTTGGAAAACAAACAAACAACAACAACACGCAGTCCCAGTTTGAGACAAGCAGTGTGGGAGGGGGCGGTATCGGTGGCACGTGCAGTGGCGGAGCCAGGCTCGCAGCAGCAAGGGCCCTGGTGCGAGGGGTTTAAATGCCACCGTTCCTCCTCCCACCTGTCCCCTTCGTAGCCAGGCACCTGGGACACTTTCCGGCCCGTGGACCCCGGTGCAGTTGCACCGCCTGTACACTTAGCAGCCACGCCGCTCCGCGCGGTGCGCCAACCACCGATTAATTATTCGATCATTAAACGAGGGCAGCAGAGGCACACTGCACCGCGTGTCGATATGGCTGCGTTGGCAGTGGGCGCACGAGCGCGCATAACGAGCGGAGGGGGGTGGTGGTGGTGGTGGAGATGAGGACCACACACACTTACGTGCGTGTCCTCGTCGTGCGTGCGCACGGCGAGCGTGATGAGCGTCTGCCACTCGCGGTGGGCCAGGTGGCTGACGGCCTTCACCACGAAGGAGTAGTGAAGGCCGTCGAGGAGCAGCGGCCGCGCGCAGCGAACGGAGCCGTCGGCGCCCACGGCGAAGTGCGGATCGCCGCTGCTCAGCACCACCTCCTTGTGCTGGAGGCAGCGCTCGAACTTCACTGTGGCACGCCGCGTGGTGGTGGTGGTGGTGGTGGTCACAACAACACGCCTCGATTATCATCATTGTCATCATCGTCATCAGACAGATGGGGTCACAATATGCCTGGATTATCATCATCATCATCATCATCGTCATCATAAATCAGACAGAAGGGGGTCACAACATGCCTGGATTATCATCATCATCATAAATCAGACAGATGGGGGTCACAATATGCCTGGATTATCATCATCATCATAAATCAGACAGATGGGGGTCACAACATGCCTAGATTATCATCGTCGTCACGATTATTATCATCAGACATGATCTATCCGCTGCTGATGATGCCATTGACAGTGATGGATTATTACCATGTGATTGTTCTTATGCATAGACATGTGCATATGTGCCTTGCGTTTTGTCGAGAAACTGCAGAGAGGAGCACTCCCTCGTGCTTGTCGGAGCAGTGGGATACGTTTCTTTAATTTTGTGTTATTTAATGTCACGCAAATTGAGATGTGAGTGTCCTCTACAGAGCGACAATCCCCGATTGTGCTTTGCTGGTCTTCACAGGGTGCAGGTGCTCGCTAACGGCACTTGCCCCACCAGCCTGTTACGGCTATACGGGGAAATCTTTGTCTTTGATGCAGCATCATTGAACCGAGTAGGACATGCCAGCCACTCACCGTGAGTGATTAAGTCCCCCACTTTAATTTCCTTGTGCACAGGAACAGTGTACTCGTGCTGGTGGAACCTCATCATGCAATCCTCCTTCTGTGAGCGAAAACAAATAGGCATACATGTCGAGACAATACCCACATCACAGTCACTTGGCAGTTTAACGCATCGGCTTTCGCGACCAATATTAGTCATGGTAAAGGTTTTTGGGTAATATCGCGTAAGTATAAATGTGTCGTAACCCTTCACCACCCTACACAGCCAGCAAGGTTTATCACGTAAGCGATTTCCACGTCTTGTTTAGGCGGCAAACCTGACTGGCTATGTCATTATGAACATTTACATTTGTCACTGCAAAAGAAGAGACTAAAATTATATCTATTGTTTTAACAAACCGTGTTGCCAGGTAGAAAATAGTCCCCTCTAGCAGCCGATTAGTGAGGCTCGAACTCTTGAGTTTATGGATACATCTCAATCGATGGTTGTTTGGAGGTACAGGGACACAACTTGTTGTACTTACGAACGAGGTATGTTCCAGAAGTCTGTTCGTAAGTCGATTTGTTCGTAAGTCCAACTTTACTACTGTCGATTCCAAACGTGTTGTGCGGCATGTACGCTAAACACGGGGAATGTCTTTACAAGTTGTATAATAATCTCCTATAGATGTAGATGCCACTGATTATTCACGTTCTGCAGATGTAGATGCCAATGGTTCTTCATGTTCTGCAGATGCCACTGGTTCTCCATGTTCTGCAGATGTAGATGCCACTAGTTCTGCACGTTCTGCAGATGTAGATGCCACTGATTCTTCACGTTCTGCAGATGTAGATGCCATTGGTTCTTCACGTTCTGTAGATGTATATGCCACTGGTTCTTCACGTTCTGCAGATGTAGATGCCACTGGTTCTTTGTTCTGTAGATGTAGATGCCAATGGTTCTTCACGTTCTGCAGATGTAGATGCCACTGGTTCTTCATGTTTTGTAGATGTATATGCCACTTGTTCTTCACGTTCTGCAGATGTAGATGCCACTGGTTCTTTGTTCTGTAGATGTAGATGCCAATGGTTCTTCACGTTTTGCAGATGTAGATGCCACTGGTTCTTCAAGTTCTGCAGATGTAGATGCCACTTATTCTTCACGTTCGGCAGATGTAGATGCCACTGGTTCTTTGTTCTGTAGATGTAGATGCCAATGGTTCTTCACGTTTTGCAGATGTAGATGCCACTGGTTCTTCAAGTTCTGCAGATGTAGATGCCACTGATTCTTCACGTTCTGCAGATGTAGATGCCATTGGTTCTTCACGTCCTGTAGATGTAGATGCCACCACCGCCATATTTTGCGTGGCGGTTGAACTTACGACTCTCGGTCTGAACAGGCAAATGGACATATGGACAGGTTTGCTCGTATCTCTGAAAGTTCGTAAGTAGAGGAGTCCCTGTAGTTCGTTGGCAGTGTTAACACAAATAACTCAACGCATTCGTAAATAAGTGGCTTTAAAAATAAAAAATATATAATATAATACGCGACGTTTCGGGAAATGGCCCTTCTTCAAAGCATATAATCACATGTTATCTCCATCGCAGTGTAACTGAAGATCGTTTATATATACTGCCCGTGAATTATATATAGAATGACGATACCTATATAATGATAATGTATAAGTAATAATAATATTACATGTAATTCACGGACCGATTGTAGAATAAGAATTCATCATCTTTATTTATCCTGGAGAAATCCGATTATCTATGAAGCTCTTTTTTTCCACAGATGCCCAGGAGTATGCAGCAGTCCTTCACCTTACCGCCGGCCGTTTTGATACCAAGCCGTTTGGGGGTCACTGCATAGGTTCGCATTCACTTCTGCAGAGTGCAGAGCGACACTCACAGTTATACGCCGCGCCCACTCACCCTCTCGCTCACCCACCCGCTCACCCGCCTGCTCACCCTCCTGCTCACCCTCCTGCGCACCCTCCCGCCGACCCTCCCGCTCACCCTCCCGCTCACCCCCCCCCCACTCACCCGCCCGCTCACCCCCCCCTCACCTGCGGGTGAGCGTGCTCGTGCTTGGACACGTGCAGCTCCACCACGGCCTTCCACTCGTCGCCCGTGGCGTGGTGCTTGGCCCTGAGCGCGAGTTGGTGGCGGTGTTTGTGCAGCGTGAAGCTCTTCGCCACGCGCACGGAGCCGTCCTGTAGCACCTTGAAGTGGGGGTCGCTGCTCAGCAGCTGCACGTTGCTGCGCTGGCAGCTCTCAAAGGGCACTGCGGGTGGCCGGGTACACGGACAAAGACAAAGCTGCAGCCCCTTGCCTCCCCCGCCGTCGCCCCGTGTGGCCTTCTGAACGGACTGCTTGCTGGGGCGAGGGCTGTCGCCTAGCGAGCCCCTCGCGTCCCCGCTGTTGATGTTGACACAGCGCACCGGGTACTCAGTCTATCATTCCTGCGCGTTCAATCAAATAAGTAGCGCCTGTGGGGGAGAACAAATCAAATCGGCAGTGGTTTTCTCTCTAAAGAGCATTGTCCTGCCATAAAAATTAGGAATTTCTGCCAACAGAGACGAGTGCATATCCCATCACTCATTTGGCAAATAAAAATACGTTATAATTCTGTAAATAACAATAATAACAACATTACTATTTGTTTAACCGGAAAGGCTTTGATTAGCGTTAAACAATTGGACAAGGAAAGTCCTGGATTAGGATACGGGTTTAGATCGACTGAGGATGTTTGGCGAATTCCTCACGGAGTGTGTTGACCTCATGTGGAAAGAAAGGGGAGCACCTGAAAGTAAAAACAGAAATCCACAAAAAACTCCACGCAGACGGAGCTTTTCAAAAACCTACTTGCCGTACTGCCCCATTATCGTCGCCACCATATACCATCACGCTGTAGGCGCGTGTCTCACACAGACAGCGCCTCCCCTATCTATGGGCGATCCGCCATCCCTGCCGCTAATTTGCTACATTAGTCCCATCGCCGCCACACCGCGCCCTGCCCACACTCAACGGCGCCGATGTTTGCTATGAGGCTGAGTCGATCGCGACGGCGGTTTGGGTCCCATGACTTCGGTCCTTCTCGGCCGGTGCCGGCTCGCAGAGAGCACATCGACGAGGTTGTCCCTACCTTTCACGATGAACTGCCCTTCGTGAAGGTCCATGGGCACCTTCACGATGTAGTGGTCTTGCGAGAAGGATGCTTTGCAAGCTCGCCCCGGTCTCCATATCGCCTAGAGGCCACCAAATGAGACCAGAGAAACAGCGCGTTCATAGGCGTTCACAGATTCGTGCGTTTTATATAAATACACACAGGGCGCTTCAAAATAAATGTTAACACCTCTGAAAATTTGCAACAATACCACGGGAAATGTGCCTCCGGATTCTCGAGACCACCTGGAGAAGATTACAGGTACGTGTTGACAATGATGGCGAACAAGCGGAGACTTTTTGAAGCTATTGACATTACATTTGTTACCATGTTACAGTGTATTGTAAGTGTTAACATTTTTTTGAAGCACCCTCCAAAATGTGATCCCAACGGTGCTATCGACAGCATGTCACGAGACGAAGAATCCATTCCGTCCTGCTAGAGAACGTCCCACGGAAGCGAACACCAACAGAGTTACTGCAACAACAACAAAAAAACCCCGCAATTGACCTCTGCACTACACACGGTTGGGAGACCGAATTGTGGCCACCGGCTTTGCCCAACGAGAATAATGTTTCTTCGCCGCATAAAAATCAAACGGCTACTTAGGTGTCAGCGCTGAAACGCAGTCAAACGAAGTGCGGTTACCATGTTGAACGTGATGATTGGTTTTGTTCAATCATTGGAGGCTGGCCTGGCATCATCAACAACTCACTGCACTGGAGGGCCCTGTTTGATAACCGGCGGGTGAAGCCTGCGGTCGAATCCAGGTTCTGAGTAGTACCCGCTCAACGCACTGATCAATGAGCGACTTGACTGTCAATTAATTTTATTAGGGTTGGAGACGTCAACCGTTAAATCTTTCTCAAATTATGTTTCATCCGATGTATTTACCACGTTGTTTATTCCCTCAAGACAATTATCTGCATTATCAGCAGGTGGATGAATACAACATGGAATTTATTGGTAATTTTTCGTTAATAAATTACCCATAAATGTTGATTATAGTGCTGATAGAAAATGGTGTTGGTGGAACATCTGAATTAATTTGTATTTGAATTTTAGGCCCTAGTCACTCATGTAAAATTGTCCCATATATACTGTTCAATAAAATACGTGAAAAAAGTCAGGGACTTTTTTATGCATTTGTCACTTAATAAGAATAATTTCATTAAAAACAATGAGAGTTTAATGTCATCTTTATTGATGTGATATTTTTAAATTCGCATTTTATCCCGTCTGTTAACATTTAATTCACTATTTCAGTCTAACAGTTTTTGTACTTTATATATGTTTTACTATAAAGCACCTTGGGACAACTTGTTGCGAAAAGCCCAATTCGATATGCATGATTAAACCACATGCTGGCAGCAAACGGCCCAGCATCTCTTACCAACAGCAGCACCAGGGTGGTGCTCAATTTGCAGGGCATCATCGCTGGGACGACCGCCGAGCAGTTGCCCTCTCTCCCCTCCCACGCACGGCAGAAGGCAGTGCCACGAAGCCCCGCGTTATATACGGGGACCCCCAACAGCAATTATTGCCGGGGGCCGTGACACGTTCGAGTGAGTGAGAGTGAGCGGCTCCCTCAAAGGCCAGTTTGTTTGGGGTGTGGTCGCAGTAGCCAAGCTTATGTAATTTCTGTTCAATAATCCTGGGTGGGTGCTCCCACAAGGCATGCTGTTCAGTACTAAATGCTCGGTGAGTGCCCGCTTGCTCATTCGGGTGGACGCTCAGCGTAATTGTGGCTCGGCGTGGCGGTGTTTATTTGTGCGTCTCCTTTGTGAACTGAAGTTCTGCGATTGCACAGGCGGTGTGGTGGACGTTAAGTGCTTGTTGAATAATTCACCACGGCCAACATTAACTACAAACCCTCGACCACCGGTTCCCAGCCTGCTGGTCTGCAAGGCTGCGCGAAGTGGTCGCCACAACAGCTGTTGTTTTTTAAATTAAGAGAACTTCCATTGTTTTACTGCACGGTGGTCCGCAAAAATGTGAAGGTTGGAAACCAGTGCGCTCAACAAGCACAATTAACATGTATACATCTCCACCTGCAGCTGCCTGCCACCCCTGGAGCCACTAGAGGCCGCTATAATCACCACATTGTGAACATTTTTTATCAAACCATAACAATGCATCCATAAAATCAGTAAAATTGCCACTGACGGATTTTTGCAGTACTAGACTGCCTTGCTGAACTCTATGGCAGCCGTTGCTAATGCAATGATATTGTGAAAGGCTAGTAGATGGTTGAAAAAGATGAGGATGAAATGTATGCTTGATGGCACACTTTTTTTTTTATTAAAGATAAATGCGTGCTACTGTTTGTTACACAAATTATTTGGCAATACTGTTGCGTTGGCAGTGATGCTCAAGAACAAACAACATCAACAACACCACTCAACGCGTCCGTCAACAGCACTGTGGCCTTAACATAAAATAAAAGTACGCTATGATGAAGGGCGATTGCCCGAAACGTCGCCTCGTATCATTTTTTTTTTATTGTAAGGCCACACGGACGTAGAGTGGTATCCACACATGTGCTGAGCTGTCGTGTTCGTCACTTCGCCGTTCTACGAGGGTACAACACAGCACGCAAAGGCCTCAGTGAAATCACACACACACACCCGGTGCGAGCGTGGCCATTTGTGTCCGTTCCCGAACAGCTTAAGGATAGTTAAACTAACCGAGCGCGCCCACAGCAACAACAACACAAATGCTCTAATTTAAAAATAATAATCATGATGATGATGATGAGGGTGCTCGCTCTGTTTACTAAATCGCAGCGGAGCATTAAACGGCCGCGTGTACGTGCCGCGTTCGTGACCATTACGGACCCCCCTGGGTGCTGGGTGTGTGCGTGTGGGGCCACTTTCAGTTGGCGCCGGTGGCTGACATAGCAGCGGGCTCGTGTTTACAGCCCAGCTGTACTGCAAATGAACATCATCGTCACATTCAGCCATGGCCAATCCACTGCTTGATCAAGGCTTGGTAGCTCAGTGCTGGCTCTGTGTTATCCCATTCCGCGGGCCGTTGCCTCCAGTGTCAGGTTGCGATGCTCTGCGAGAGATCTGAAAGGTGATCGCATCCCACGACAACATTGTGATCGTGGAATTGAGATCAAATTGGGGGAAATTTACAACAAAGAAAATATGTAATTTGACTCAAGTTAACCCACATTATCATTTATCGTTCCGGATTACCGCTGAAAAGTATGATCTTGAGTTTTGATTATCGTGTGCTGATCTTTAAAGGTGTATTGAAATGTTTTAATACTGCTACTGATACTCCTGCTGTTATGGAGTGGCTGATGCAGCCAGCTATGGCTGCAAAGTTTGGTTGTACATGTTATGTATATCGTTTATTGTTAAATTTTAATCACAGTTCCTATGATCACTGTTAAATTGTTTTTATAGCTTTATTTTGGTGATGTTGAAAAGTTATGGTTTAGCCATGTTTGTTTGTTGTAGTACAGAGTTAGCCTGATAACTTAAATATAAATTGTCTTATGGTTGTTATTGTTTGACTTGCATCTAACTGGGATATTTGCACACAGCGTTGAAATATGGTGTTTTTTGGAAGACTTTGCTGTTTTTTCCTGGATTTTTCTGTTACGTGAAGTCACTTTAAAATGTTTCTTGTTCATGTTTTTGTTTGTTACGGTTGCACCCGAGTCAAGAGCCGCATGACTCACAGGGTTATACCTAACGAATGAAACTGACATTTTTTTTTACAAAAATAAATATGCAGACCGTATCGCCTTCACGTATCCGTCTCGTCATTTAAAAGTATTGTATTTATATTCTCCACAACGACGCTCATTCCGCTGTTTCCATTGGCATGCAATTAGCACGGTTCGCAAAGCACTCATAGATATTAATTTCGCATTGTTTATAATAATTAAAATTATCCTTAATTATTATTGTATTGTCATAGTTATCACAGTCAAGAGGTCGCCGGTTCCATTCGATCTCCCGGAGCGGGAGTTGAAACAACGGTGCAAAGTTTAGTTCCTTAACTCCCCTCCACCTCTGTCCACCACGGTCATTCAGCAAGTGTGGGTGCTCCCCACGTCTGCCCAAGACGTCTGACCAGCGTGGAATAGTAGGCCAAATACCTACGAGAGGGGCTCTCTGTAGCTCCCTAGAGCTCGAAATAAGTTCAACATACGGTACATACAAGCGATTGCAGGTTCGCACCTTTGCCACATTGTGGTGTAGCTACACAGGACTTCCGGATACATTGATGAGTCCTTATCTGATGTCCTCTGCCAGAGAACGATGCATTGTTTCATATCATGGCACAACCAAATAATTGTAAATAGCTTACAAATAAAGTGTTTATAAAAAAAAATAAAGGCAATTTTTATTTTCCTAGCCAGGGCCACACCAATAAATCTTGGTAACTGCGTCTGGCCTGTGACTCTCCGAGATTGACCCAGTCTCAAATTAGTGACATGAAAGGCGGGCAAAACCCAAGGTAATTCTACAGGAGACCCTTGAATATTCCATGAACGTACCCCCCCCCCCCCCGCGCGATATTCAAGGGTCGCCTCTATATTTGTAGTGACGTCAAATGGATCACGACGGCGCGTAGCGCCAAGTGCCGTTGAAACAGGCGCAGAGGCTAACACACCACGGAGCAGTGCCACTCAGTGGGCCACTATGGGCATGGTACTGGGTGCGAGCAGGAGGAAGTCTGATGAGTCCTACCGACAGAGTAGGGGGTTGCAGCCTCCACCAGCGCCGCGGGGAATCACCACAGAGCGGGCCGCTGGGAGAGTGGCGGCTGGGGGCAGCTGGTGGTAGGGGTCATGTGAGGACGAGTCACCCCGGCACCGGGTTAAGCACGTGATGGGCGGGGTGAGTAATGTGGGCCAAAGGTGAACGAGGGGGCACGGGGGATTAGCTGAGAACGTCTGGAGAGTTCCCGAAGGGGGCACGGTTAAGGGCGGAGCCAGAGAGGGAACAGGTGCTGTGTAGCCTGGAACCGTCGGGAATGTTCTGGACGTAGGGCGCGGCCGAGGGTGGAGCCAGGCCGCGCCGAGAGAGATAAAAGGGAGCCCCGATCACAGATCCGGGCTGTCTGCAGGTGAAGTGGAACCCAAGTGCTACGTCTACGTCTCCGACATCGTGGGTCAGGCAGCACGTTGGCTGCTCTGACCCGATTATAGTTATCCCGTGTGCAAGAGAAATAGGTGTATTGTGGTGCCATGCGTAACAAGAGTGAGAACATGTGTATTTAGCCCCGTGTGTAACGGTGTTGCGTAAAGTGTAGAATAAACGTTGTTGCCTCCTAAATAGTGTATCCGAATGACTCCCTACATATTTATAGAGCGCTGGTCGTAGCTTACAACGCCACAGCGGAATGGGGCGGTTTAGTTGCCAGGTGCGAGCTACGAGGATTGAGGAACGAGTGACAGCGATAGAGGGCAACTTTTGGTCCACGAAAAAGGTTGGGGGAGGGACGTGAAGGAGTGGAGGGGCGATGATTGGCATCATCAGAAGCAATGCAGGAAAAATGCAGCCCAACCGGATCGTTGACGCGCTCCGCTGGTGTCTCGGCGTGAGAGCGATTATCTCGCAAGTAGAACGCTGGCGATTAAAGTCCTGGCTCCGTGGTTGACTCAGCCCGCATCCCCCCTCCCCTACCCCCCGTCAACAAGGTCACGCTGCTAGGTTGCTGTTTTACGTGAGTTGATGTATGTTTAGTGCATAACACATCCCAGAGTACTGTACAGTTTATATATTGTTATTGATAGGGCCGTCCACAGGGGGGTGGGAGGGGGGTGCCGGGACACGGGGCAAACCCACACCGTGTGGGCCCCCCAACTCCTCCAAACTAAACCCGGAGCAATGCATCTGATACCGTGACGTCAACGCGCGGGGCCCCCCCCCCCCCCCCCAAAGCGTGGGGCCCGGGGCTGTCGCCCCATTCACCGTGTAGCCCGAGAGACCACTCTGGTCAATGGGTTGTCTTGGGGAATTGTGGTGGCTCTTAGCTGACGTGCTGCTGCTGCTGATGCTGCTGCTGCTGCTGCTGATGATGATGATGCTGCTGCTGCTGCTGCTGATGATGATGCTGCTGCTGCTGATGATGCTGCTGCTGCTGCTGCTGATGATGATGATGCTGCTGCTGCTGATGATGATGCTGCTGCTGCTGATGCTGCTGCTGCTGATGATGCTGCTGCTGATGATGATGATAATGATTGTTTGCGGTGCTCTGATTCATTGCGCTTAATCCTCGTTCCGATCGCCCTTTGGGACTTCTATTACACTCGCCCGGGGCGTTGGATCAAGCGCTACACGATGATAATTACATTCAATGTTCATGTACCGTTGGCTTGCGCTGAATATATATTTTTTATATTTTAGTTTGCGGTTGCGCTGTACAGCTCTCTGATGTGCTTTCAGAGTTGTACCGCAGTTTGTTCAGCATGATGTCCGACGTTTCGCTCCACGTGCTGGGAGCTTCTTCAGGAAGTGAGGCAGCTCTCTGAACAACACGTGGGGGTGGGGGCGACATCGTCGAGCGGTCGCCCCCTTGTTGAAGAGGTTCGAACCCGGCAGGCCGACCTGGTTAATACTGCGGCTGTATTTAACCATAACACATACCCTGCGCCGTCTGCTTCACAGTGGACGTTACCGATGCCCGTGACGGTCATTCACGGTAGTAGGACATCGCGTACCGCCGTAGCGGTCGGCCAAATATTTGGCAAATTCGAAACATTACAATCGAAAATTACCTAATTGGGACTACGCATCGCAATTCTCTCTCCCCCCCCCCCCTACCGGCAGACGATCGCCCTCTTGCAGACCGGTACCAAGTCCCCTTGCATCGCAGAGGGACAGCTGCCACCGGGGGGGGGGGGTGCCCTTTGGAATGTGCGAGGCGAAGGGTGATGCAAAGTGCTCAGACTTTTACGCAAGCACCATATCAATGCGAAACATCGCCGTCGTCATAAGGGGCCGTCCATAAATGACGTCACGCACCTGGGGGGTGGAGGGTCAGACATTTGTGATGTTGTGTGACGAGGGGGGGGGGGGTTTGAGAAATGTGACGTCACATCAAAATGCGCAACTTGAAATAAATATAGACAACACGTTCTACTTAATTAAATAGACGTTTTAATAAATGTTTTCTCCTACAACATCAGAGTGCAGCGCCACATTAAATACGCACTACAATGACAATAGTTTAAAGCGATGTTTACATACCGCACCAGGTACTCATTTGAGGCTGAGTCGACCTAAGCGAGGCCCAGGACCGGTTTAGGATAATCGTCACCGGTGTTGGCCGTGAGAGGAAATCGAACCAAGGTCGCCACACGCACACACACAAATGTAGAGTCACAAATCGTATCTAAGGCGACCGGTGGTGCCATTGTATGCGTCCAGGGGGTGTCGCATGAGACCAACACAGCCAGGCCCCGCCTCAACTCCCTCCACCACGACAAGGCGGCGCGCATGGGTACCCACGACATTGTAAAGTGATCATAACAACAACAACTCCAAACCACCTTTGAGCTGGTGGTCGTGTGGACGTGGCTGAGAGGGCTTCTCTCGAGCAGCGTGACTGCGCGTCGAGAAACCTCGGTGGCGTCTTTGCAGCAAGCCCAGCCGTGCACCGTTTTTGTATTTGGTGGCCACGGTGTGTGCGTTTTTGTTTTGTTGTAAATTGATTCCGCGATGCAAACGAACAAGAGCGCCTGTCATGCTGGTGTACACACGCGCATGCTCGCATTACCTCGCATTGGGTCCGTGAGATTGTGTAAATACGGTCTTTGTGTGCAGGAGCACGCGTTTGAACGAAGCTTGGAAACTGTCTTGTTGTTGTTGTTAACGCACTATCTTGTGAACGCCAACATCGGGAATTATTATTTTGCGCCGACTAAAATTGTACCGGACAGACCTCGTTGGCGGTCCACGGCTCAGCGAGCGACACTCCCGCGGGGGGGCAGGGGGGTGTTTGACCATACTTCACCTCGATGGTCGGAGTGGGTTTGTGAAGCGGCCCCCTGGAACAGCGCAGGCGTCAATCGCCGCGGGTGTTCTCTCTAATTAGCGGTGCAGTGCGCTAACCAATGCGCCACTACTCCACTATATATAAAATTAGTTACTGTAAATGTAATGGATACAAGCGGGCGAGACTTTTTTGACGTAAAGTACTTCAATAACGCAGACCAAAGATTATATCCCAGGCAACAACAACAACAACAAAAAGAGATACGTGCCTCAAATGCCAAAATACAACTTCTCGATTTATTGAGGCATCTCATGACTCGTGGCACGAACAGGGGAAACGTGGCCGCCCAACACGCTCTTGTTGTTATTATTTCATCAGCGTGGGCGACGATGGGTGTAACCCGACAGGATACAGAGAGGACCATATCGTCTTGCACATCCATTATCATATCAGACAGGGCAGTTCATTGAGACAAGGAGCGATATTTCAATAGTGACTTGAAACGTCTTCGTCTTGTGACATGACGTCAATCGATAAACCCCAATTGTACAATAAGTTAGTTACCTGTGAGCAACCTCAATGGCCCTTATTCAGAGTGGCCGAGCGAGGGCAGAGACACTGGCTGACTTACAGTGTGAAATGTACACTTCACACTGAAGTGAGGAGTAAAAGTCTGCACACTTCACACTGAAATGAAGAGTTAAAGTTTGCACACTTCACACTGCGGTCCCTTAAACTCGTTGAACAAACTTGACACGGCAAACACTTTGGAATTGATGTCATCGTTTTTGTTTTACCATTAAGAGACGTTGAGCAGAAAACATTACAATTGGTGAAGAAGTCACGCGCACACACTTTACGTGTATATAGACAGAGTATTTAATTGACTTTAGCAGCAATTTAACCATTTTGGATTTGGACCGTAAAAGTAGCACCCAAACTGGCCCACTCTGGCACCTGATGTCACAGGGGCATGTAAGCCTCATTAAAATAAACAAAAACGGTTATACAAAGTGTCCCATCGTTGAGGTGTGACGGTCCCCTGCGACAACAACAACACAAAATCGGTGGCTCCAGGAACCCAAACACTGTCATTTCAACAGCGGGATGCCAACAACGCCATCTCGCTCCCGTGGACGTCCATGGGAGCGCCTGGTGGTCGCTCACCCTGACAGAGGTCGTGACCCCATCGAGTCGCACTGCCCGCCACGAGCGCATCCTTCTCCCTCACTCCCGCTGCTGCAGCTGCTGCCCCGACCGTCTGGGTGCAGCTGCGCATGGCCGCCTGTAATGCAGCGCTGTGTGGAGGCAGCAGCGAGGGATGGAGGATCACCGCACCAATGTCGTGAAACTCCCTTCGCGTGGGCGACGCGGAGGTGCTCTACCCTGGCTTGCCGCGAGAAGGCAGTGCAGCAAATGTCGACTCCATCTGTTCCATCTGTACGGGATTCAGTGTTGCACCCTCGCGTGCGTGGGCTTCCCCTGGCTGATCCGACTTCCTCCCATACGTGTAACTCATTGCTTGGCTTAAAACATCTGATTATAAAGAGGACCGCAGAGCTTGGCGTCGGCTCAACGCGTGGTTGCTGCCTTCCTACTTGTCTGTGAGCCCTCGCACCTCTGATTAATTCTTTCTCTTCAGGAGGCAAATTGAGGTTCTTACTAGCAACTGCTGTTCCACTCAGTTCTGTCTCCCGTCCCTTTCCTGCATTGTTCGCGTCCAGATGAGCGTGGTGTCTAACTGACTTGGTCTAATGCAAACCTGCGGTGTTACCGTGTTTAAAATGGTTGAGGGGAGGGAGGGAGGAAGGGTGAGGGGGAACCACAAACCCAGTGGAGAGCAATGCCACCGTCAATGGAAACAAACTTTGAGCTCGCGTTAAATGTTTAACAGAACGCGTAACGGGCACGATCTGCCTTGTCCGCCGTGGAACTCTGTTCCAGCTCCCACCCCAAGTATATATATTCCACTTATATTTTAGCGACGGTAAGAATTTGAACTAAACTATTGTTGTTGTTTTACCACCAGGTAAGGCCCACTGAGCTATCCATGTACCGCAGCTCTTTTTACGAAGCGGCCTGGCCACCAATGATAGCTCAGCGAAGTGGCTTATCACGTGGACATTTACAGCAGGCAAATACTCTAAACGCGTGATGTTGATTCTAAATGTGGAGGGAAAAACCGGAGAACTCGGAGAAAAAAATCCACGCGACCACGAGGAAAAAGAGACCCACGCGTCGTTGACAAGCAACTGCTACTTTTAGTCCTTTCCCATTCCGATGACGTGCGTGTACGTCCATAGACGTACGTCATCGGAACGGGAAAGGGTTAATATTGAATGTCCCGGGAAGACTTACAGATGGACCCAGTACAGCTACCCTCAACAAGAGGACGATTCTGGCGAAGGAGACAAAACCCGGACAGGATTGCACCCCTAATCATATGAGGCAAGACGGGGTATCACGCTCCCGTTTTTTGTGAGCTCCGTCCGCTACCCTGACTGTAGTTAAGGGGATGAGAAGCAACTCCGGCAGCCGCGCTGGCTAATCCTTGCATCTGTGTTACGCGTAAAACACACGCAGCCATCTGCTGCTTCCAAGTGGATGCAAAGTTTGCGTGACCTCACTGGACAAAGAGTAGGACTCGGAGTGCCAGCGTCATGGTCCACATTTACCAAATTGCTCGCAAAATTGCTTAATTGTGAGAAACGCGTTGCAATCATCGCCCCCCGTACTGCGACAAAAATGTGAGCAGGACCCAGCGGTTAAAAGTGACTTGGGATTCAGTGAGGCTTTACCTGGATAAGCGCGGGCAATGCAAACGCTTGTCAAGGTTCTAATGATAGCTCAATCGCGGTAGCAGACTGCACATTGGCGGTAGAGGAGCTGCTACCCTTCGGGATGCTCCCGGCTCTCCGCTGCACCTTTGACCGTTTCTTTTATTTCCGTCGCAGAGCAACGTCGCGAGCTTCTCCTCAACCACTCGGACACAGCGAACGCGTCCACGCGTTTATTGTTGTTATAAATATAGTCCTCCGATTTAGCATGGTTGGCTGCGAAAGAAGTTCAACATACATACACACACACACGTAGAAAGGGAATCATCCCATGCCCGACAGGTGGCTGATTCTATCTCCTGGCACGGCCGTTGAAACAATGGTGCAGGTTTCTCCAAATCCTCCCATGCTGCCTCTGTCGACCCAGCCGCTTTGAATGGGGACACGGTCGATGGGCAGGCCGCGTGTGGTGGGGTAACCACGTGTGGTGAGTCCGGCCAGTGTGGAAGAGTAGGCCAAAACGAACCTTTTGATGGGGCTCGTTGCTGTTGGCGTGAACAAGTCGTTTGCAGGGCTGCACCTTTATCTTATCTTTTTTTTTTACTTTGCATTTGGAGGCCGTGACACCGAAAGTCGCACGTGGGGGGCGATGGAGGCATTTGGAGGCACGCGACGGGGAAGTTCCTCATCTCCCGTCAGGGTCGGAACTGGGGAACGCAGCCAGCGACCTCCGCCCTGGCCGGCCAGCCGGCGTACGCGTTGCTTCTCTTGTTGTTTTCGACGAGCTGCGAAGCGGGACGCAGGCCACAGACACAATTTGGCGGACGGCAGATAATTTTTACGGCAGGACGATTATGGGCTCAAAGGTTGAAATAAGAGGCGTGCAATTGCCGCCCGAGCGGCGATAATCGCACGAAGGTTGTGCCCACGCCTACATTCATAAAATAAAAACTGGTGGAGGGGGCCGGGCTTCGGGGGGGGGGGGGGGGCTCTATCCAACGAATTATTGTCTGTTACTTAGACGCACATTATGAGTCAAGTCTCTAACAATGGTAGGCACCTCTTCATAGCGTGCATCACGTGGGGTGTGAACGTACACATACAGTAAAGGCAACAAGGAAGGGCCATTGTTGCTTCCTACATAATTTGCTTTGTTGTATATTTCTTGAGTCCTTCAGCCGCATGGCTTTCGAGAGGGACAATATCCAGCTGTATTTAAACAAACACGTTTTCACAACAGTTGCGCAATGTGCTCCGATGCAGTGTTGACATTTGGCATTGAACAGCGACACATCTTTGAGACACGATCAAGCTGCCGGGTACCTAATATCGCCTGGCAACCACGGCCGCACTTTTGCTCAGCAAGTCCGACTGTGCGGATGAGACCCAGGAATGGGGAAAGCCAATATAATGTAACAACAAATTCAAATAAATGTGTAGAGATTAATGGATATTCATTTAGAGTGAATCATCGATCATCCGGCGGCTTCGAGGGAGAGAGGGTGATGGATTTTCAAAAACACCGGATATTTACTAATCATTATTTAATGTAGCTTATTTTTTGCAAATTCTTGTATGACATGTTTTTAAGTGTTGTCATATGTTGTTTAGTGTTTTAAATTAGTTTAATATATGTATATGAAATTGGCATAAATCAACACGCTAATAGACAAAACTAAATATAATACTTGAAAAAGTGCTTGAATTTACTGCACCGTACTTACCACTCCAATCTGGACGACTCGGCATGTGGTGATGTATATACGTGCAGTAGTTTCATATTTTGAGTTGCATGCAGTGTATCGTGTGCTGCGTGTAACATTCGACACTGAAATCAAGCGTAGCCACTTTGTTTCGTCACGCGGCGCGGTGCCCATCGCCGGACTGGTCACAGCCTTTGGAGCGGTGTTGCAATCAGCAGCCCGATAATCATTATCGATGACCACCTGTATTCACCGAATGACTCACAATGCTCCGCGCCAATGGACAACGAGAGTCTTGTTTTTTGTTGCGCAGCGTGCACCGTGCGTGTGCGTGCGTGTGTCGAGTCTATATTATTTATTGATGCACGGCCTCCGCGTGGGTGCTGCAGGGCACCTGCTCAAAGGGACTTTGTCCGTTCACGCCCTTGGCTCCGAGGAAGACCCAGCTGTCTCGGAACTTGAGCGACTTGGACTGCGTGCTTCCCAGCTCCGAGAGGATGTCTCTGATCTCGCCGTCCATGCTGCAGCGGGGCGGACACAACGAGAGCGTCGATATCGCGGCAATGGTCGCGGGAGAGGGAACACGATTTTACGCCAAAGCATCGACGGTGAAGTGGGGAATGCGTGAATAATTGGTGCTTTCGAACGTGCGTTTATATGCAGAAGTATTTGATTGGTTGAACGGGAGCAGACGACGGGGAGGTGTTGGGTCACCCTTTCGTTCGATTGACAAAAGGGTTATAAATGATTATTGTTCCGAGAAAGATATTCTAAGACAGTATATTCTTCAATGAGCTATGCAGCACGTGGTGACTGAATGTGACCTGGCCATGGATCGCATCAGTGACGAAGTATGGTCAAGTAAACGATACTACGAATAGTCACGTAGATAGGTTCAAATAAAATAACAAAAAACTACGACGTTTCAATCGCAACACATCAAAAAAGGGGTCACTTTACCGAAAGACCCAAAGAATATGAATTCCTGCAGTCACGAAAGCTTTAAGTCAAATTTAATGATAATACGAATAATGATCATACAAATAATGATACCACAAATAATGATAACACTAATAATAATGATAACACGAATAATTACAACACGAATAACGATAATACAAATAATGATGACACAAATGATAACGCTTTCAGAATGTAAAGCCCTGCTCCGGATCTGCTCCTCACTCTGGAAGCGAGAGAACAACTTTGAGGCTGAAGGGGAACCACAGACAAGCGTGGAGGCAGCAGCACCGGTGGTAAACCGGTGCCGACAATTGCCCGAGCTCTGCGCTCCTCTCTATATGAAGATATTTTCAGCCGATCAACAAGCGGTGTTTACATGTGGAGGGAAAGCAGAGTGCCCACAAAGAACCCATACGAGCTGGGGGGGGGGGGGGGCAACTCTCTATCCCGTGCAGATGGAAAGAATGGAGTCCACACTTTCTGGACCGCCTTCTCCTGGCGAGTGAGGGCACGGCACCTCGATGCCCACGAGAAGGGAGTTTCACAACGTTTGTCCAGTGACCCACCAACCCTCGCTGCCTCCGCAGTGCTGGATTACAGGCCACGTGAATGGCCACCGGCTGCAATGTCGTAGATCGCCACGTTTGCGACAATGAGGAGGCCGAAGCCCGCAGGCGTTACGTGGCGCGCCGCCCTTGAAGGACGTTCTCATCATCCTTGTTCACGCCAAGAGTGCGACGAGCACACGCAGTGCGACAGAACACGTGAAATGTAACAACGTCGGAGTGAGTTCGGGAAGCTGACTTCGCGATCATCGGCATATCGCAACGTCGACGACATCGAGTCGGAGGATGAGCGACGGCATTCGCGGAGTCTCTGGAGCTGTAGCGCCGCCCGCTCCGCCCGCTCACCGGGTCGCGACGTCGTCGAACGAGGCCACCACCACGATGGTCTTCTCCTCTATCGCCCTCAGCAGCTGCAGGCACTCCTCGGGGTCTGCAGCAGTCATTGTTATTGCCGTTGTTATGATAATAGGTAATATTATCATTCACGTTGCGTGCTCAAATTGACAAAGAGGAACGAGCGCCCCCGGGTAGAGCCCGACACCTGGCCACACAAAACTTGAGCCTCCAACGTTCTGACTGATGGCCTCGACTCTGCAGTCGCAGAAGCATCGAGTCGCATAAGTCCAAATACTTCTCTGCAAAAGAGGATAGGCTTTTACCCTTTCCCGGCAAAGAATGCACGGAAGCGTTAAGATGTTCAAACACAAAATCACGGGAGGGATCATGTCTGCATTAACCACACGTGCTTGGTGGCAAACCGTGCCAACAAACATGCTTTAGACAATGTACGCATCGTCCTTGAAACTGATTGGCCTACACCAGAGGCAGCCTCCTCTGTTGCTAGCCACACCAGTGGTAGACCGAAGGACAATGGCAAAAGGTGGACAGCACAATGAGGATGCAGATATGAAAGCATTCATAGCTCGGGTTGAGCAGTTGTGTCTACACTTCGGGCAGTGCCGTGCTTTTGCGTGTTGAAGGGATTTGGAGCACCCAGAGAAAATGCTCACATTGCAGAATAATACACATAAAAACAATCCGTATAGCGAGGTCGGAGACCTACTTGCTATGCTGTGTTTTGTACCCGCCCACCTACAAATTCCCCCAAATTTATTGCGAATTTGCATCCTTGGCGGCATGCCATGAGATGGAGAATCGTTCTTTCGTAACTATGATCCCAGCACTGCATCACCCCGCGTGCTCGTGAATGAGCGAAGAAGGAGGTATCCCAGCAGTGCTTCCGAGATCTCGTCAAATGTACTCCTTTACAGCCACCAAGGGGCACACGCTTGCGAACCCTGAGCACGGAGAAGTGTTCATTGCTTGGCAGTTAACCGATGTTAATTTTGGCGAGTTGAGTGAGCGAACTAAAATTAATGATGGGAGTTTTGTTTGTGCTGTTATCAGTTACTGGACATTAATTTGCTCCACTGCAGAACCCAATTTAACCACAGGCTTCTGACGCTCCTGTTAGAATCCATGATCTCAGCAGTGCTGGCTCAGTTTATTTGACCCCTGACACACCCATCATACTTGCCTAGGCTTCTGTTGATACTTAAGCATAAATGTGAGTCACCACAAGTGATATGCGAGTCGAATCACCCACCTCCCGAGTATAAATTAAATATCCTCCTGTCCATGATTGCACCATTCATTCCTGAAAGCAATAGTACAACAACAACATTGGTAATTCACGTACAAATAAAATGTACATTAAGCTTCTTGTCAGGCGATAAACTAATAATAATAACAATGTAAGCCATGTCGGTCACGGGCTAGTTTGATTAACACATTCCTGCGGAGGGAGCTGGTAGGAACGTTGGGTTGCTCGGTCAATGGCCAGGGTCAACGGCGGCGTGGTGTATTCCGCAAATATGCCCGACTGTGAGGGCGGGCACAAGCCGGCGTGAGTAGGTTAAACGTTGAATTTTATAAGGGCACCACGGGGTGACCAGCCCCTCCCCACCCAGCCCCACCCCTCCCACCCCCAACCCAGCACCACCCTCCCCACCCAGCCCCTCCCCACCCTCCCCACCCAGCCCCTCCCCACCCTCCCCTCCCCACCCAGCCCCTCCCTGCACGGACGGACACAATAATCCCCTGTGGGCTGGTGTAACCAGGAGGTTCCTACCAGTAATACTTCACTAGACTGGCAAGTGCAGAATGGCAGAAGGGGGCAAAGGATTTAGTTTGGATATCACTTTTCCACTGATGTTGATTTTTAGGCAGTAATTAAACTCAGGTTATCAGGTACATGGCAAGCATCAGGTAATGCCGATTACATTCTGCGCATTCTTTTTTCGTTCTTTTTGGTAATTTCCCCCCAATTTTATCCTGACTGTGTGCTAATGATATAATGTATTATGACTCATTAACTGGCTCAAGACATTGTAACATATAAAGAGGACAGCAGAGCTTGGGGAATTGTTGGCACCGGCTCCCCGCCTGGCTTCCTACCAGCTCGTCTCAGGCTCCTCAAAGCGTATGAATTCCAATTTGCACGAATGAGGCTATATACAACTTAAACATGATATTATTATTGTTGTTGTCATCAGACAAAGTATTCGGTCAGATCTCTCGCAGCGGAGTCCATTCCTCTGTGCTAGGGAATGGCCCACAGAATTAAATATCACAGAGCCACCTTTGATATCCCTTCAGGTAACGTCTGATCAACACGACATGGAGCAGTACTTTTGCACTGCCTCTGCCATTGTGAGAGTAACGTTCCTCGCATGACAGTTTAACATATACATCCCCATATGTTTCAATACTCGCAGTGGGAATTGGCCTATAATAAATTAGCAGAACCAAATGTAATACGGTAGCTTCTTGTGCCGTTATTGGTGGCTGGGCAGAGGCCATCGACAGATTCATTCCAGGCAGGTTCCTGGACATGAACCCATGGGCCAGCAGTCCCAGATCAGTGCTCTAAGCCACCAGGCCACCCCTCGACACAAGATGAGTGCTTACCATTGATGAGCAGCACACTGAGACCTCCTGGCATCTCGCTCAGAGCTGGCATCGTGACGCTGGGGCACACGGACCGGGAGAGAAGGAACGGCGCTTAGTGCAATGGCCACGCACGAGTGCTTCGGGCCACATGAACCACCGCCGGCCAATACATCCCACAAATGTGTGAAACGTTCCCTGCGAATTACTACACGGGGGATCACACGCAGCAGCAGCAGCATCGTCCAGCTGCTGCGAGCACTTGGCAGGACCCTCCCCGAGAAAGAGTCTTGAGACTCGGAGAGCCAGCGCAGTAACAGTAATAATGATGATGACACCGCCACCATCCAAAGTGTGCCTGTGCCTGAAGCCACGGCTCGACATTGTGGTGCCCAACCGAGTCTCATTTTATGGCGCTGCTGAGTCTCTTCGTTTTCACCGATTCGGCTGCCCATTCAGGCGGCGTTCCCTTCGCTGCTAGGGGTTGCCCCCCACGCTCGCACCCACTCGGCCCACTCGCCCCCCCCCCCTTGCCCCGGCACTTGCTGTGCCCCCTACCCCCTAAAGTTCCGAGCGCAAGCGTTGGTTCAACGCTGAAGCACTCACATCGCGTCCTCCCAGCAGATCTTGCTTGCGAGGACGTTCGCCGCTCCGCTCACGACCTTGAAGGAGAAGTGGCCGGGCGGGCACGGGGACGTCAACCCGCATTTGAAGAGCACCTGCTCATCTGCACGGCGCGCACGCACAGATGCACGCGCACCGCACGCGTCGCACGCGTCACACACATCACACGCGTCACACGCCGATGACCCCTGCATCGCAAAGACAGCAGGGTGTGCTGACCGTCACACCACGGCAAGTGGCGTCACCCCTCCTCCCTCCCGGACAAAGCGAGGGCGTTCACCGTGTTGCAACAAAAACTGTGCTCGTCCCCAATCGGGCCGAGGCCAGGGCGACTACGCACGCGTCACGGCGGAGGCAGCCGTCGAGTCGACCGCTCTCTCCGCGGCGCTGACGAGGGGCGCGCTGCGCTCGCTGTATCCTCTGATCAGCAGCCAGGTGAAGGCGATGCTCCCCGCCGCAGCGAGGACGCAGTAGATTCCTGCCGGAGACGACGGGAGAGGACGCGTGAGCCAACGGAGGGATCGGTCGTTGAGTCTCGCCGGGAGAGTCGCGCGCGCGCGTGCGCCGATGTGGATTTGGTCCTGCTTGTCCACCGACGCATCCGGGCCGAGCCCAGCACGGGACTCTCACGGTACGGGGTGGGGTTTTTGTTTTTGTTTCCCACTCGCTATTTTCTGCGCCGAGCCAGAACCAAGGCGCGCTACACTGGGCCTCGCAATACGTTTGAGTCGGGCTGGGAGCCACACAGAGCCATCCATCGCGTGTGACGTCGGTCAGTAACGCTGCGAGGTGACACTCGTTCGTCGCATCAGCGGCACGGCTCGGCTTCTCCAGTGGGAAAAGAACACAATCAGCTGCTCCCTGAGCTGCGCCGAACTGACTGTAGGCGCAGTTCGATTTGTGCGATGGCAAATTATGTTGGAGTACCAGGAAACATGTGGCCACACATTTGAATCCAGGAGCCTGTTTCCCAAATGGCCTCTTGCTGATTCTCTAGAATACAAACCAAATTCCATATCTTATAATTTTAATAACAGTAATTTATCCAGGGAAGTCTGACTGAGTCTGCGGACTGTTTTTTTCTTTTCTTCTGAAGGGTCCTGCATTTGTATGTTTGACCAATTTCATTTCAAAGAGAGAAAACCAGACCCATGGTAAATGATTGTTATCAGTCCCAGATCGGCTCAAGAACCCACTGACTGGACTACCTTATCTTGGCCACTTCGCAGGCCAGCGAATGTAAGCGTTTCACAAGTCTCCGCGATCCTCCAGCCCTTGCCGCCAAATCTATCGATGACAGCCACGCTCACCCACGTCCGATGTTTTTTGGAATCCTGACTCTATTTGAAGCCAATGTAGCAGACACGTGCTTACCCAGTAAACATCCCAACGTTGAGTCAACGTTGGCCCGACGTTCCATGTTTATCGAATAGCTGCCTGTGGTCACAGATTGGAGTGTTCATGTGTATAAAACATTGAATGCAGGTAGCCGTCTGTGATTGAACTGAGTTTTCAGGTATGGTGAGTTGATGTTAGCAGCGCGGTCACCATTGACTGATCATACAAACCATCAGACTAATTTTGCTACACTTCCAGCTCTGAGAAATGTAAATATCAGTTTGACTGCCGTGCAATGAACGTGTGACAGGGACATGTTGAATGTATCTCAGAGGTAGCTCTAGGATATCAACTTCTCTCAGCCGAATTCGTCTCACGACACGAACGCCGTTGAGCAAACTCGGGATTGAAATCGCAGGAAATGTTTCCCCCAAAAATATCTGAGAACATTTCTACAACTGTTTTTTTTCTTTATTTCAGTTTTGGTCCAGTAGCCTCCTGTGCGCTGCCGAGGCTGTGGCCTGGTATCTGACGTCAAGCCCAGTGCTGCCACGTGCTCCTGACCTCGCAGATTTTATGTCTCCGTCTGCAAGAGGAGGAAACACGTTTCCAAACACAAATGATGCGACGTGTGTCTCCTGATGTTCTAATGCCTCCCAAGATCATTTACCACCACACCTAAAGTGGGCAAACTGAGAACGGTCCCTGGCTACTTTAGATAACGTGGCACTTAACGTAATTTACTGAATGTGTGAATGTACACGTGCTTAAGTAGGGACGCAACACATCTGCCAGTGTACGTTGTGTAGCTAAGCCACATGTGATGCTTTCACACGACTGTATATTTACTGCACAGGTGATATCCATGGTGATCCATGCCCCACTGATTTTCAATGACCCTCTTTTTACTCTCTTCTCACTCGCGACAGCGATGGCTCTGCATCTTACACAAGATCTTCTCCCGTGTAGCCTGAACAGAATGTTGGGCCAAGTGCTGCTAGCGAGTAGCACCTATGAGTGGTGTCACGGCACACGAAGAGATGGGTGGCCAGCATCACACCCGGCCGCATTTGTCTCCCCAGTCCTGATCTTTACACACCGCACCAGGAATTCGCTTAAAGGCTGAGTCAACCTAAGCGAGGCCCAGAACCGGTTCAGATGTTCTTCGCCGATGTTGGCCATGAGCGGGAATCGAACTCAGGTTACCTGGTTTGTAGTGTCGTGGGCTAATTGCTACATCACCGCGATGTATGCCAGAGGTGAGTGATAAACGATTGAATACGGGACAGGTATGAAGATTGCTGGGAGACTTGTTAGGTGTTTGAAAAGAAAACGTGAATCTCTCTAGTATTTTTATTCTTTTAGTGGGGTACCTACAACTAGATAAGCCGCTGAAATAAACACGTGACTATAACCGTCACGTGTTATTTAAAAAGTATCAAAATAACAGAAGGATACATTGCGTAATCACAATTTACACTTCACGTGCAGAAATGTATCGGTTAGAAATACGGTGCGGCGATGTTTACATGTCGTACACTTTATACACAACCAAATTTGACATTACAAGCGTCGGATGACAGCGAAATTACAGCGTGTGGATAGAGGCGTGCACTCATAATTCGTAAACAAATATAATTGTACAGCGCTTCACACTGCGTGGTTGAATGATGTGATTAGATGAAAAGAGATGTTTTCCAATACTGATAAGTTCAAGTCATCTTCAACGGCTCATTACTCGGGACGAGAACAGCCCAAAAGACTGCCGGCGGTGTCGGTATTACCAGGACATTGCAAGTGGTCAGTGCCGGATTAGGACAATGCAGGGCCTGGAGCATATGTTACAAAGGGGCCCTAAATAAAATAACATAAAACACGTAAATATTAAAACACAATATTTTTTCTTGCACGGTAATGTAATTATATTTTTTCATTTGATAAACAGCCAGATAATACGACAAATCGCTAACCTTAAACACCTAATCGTTCGTAAAAGTTGAAGGCGGTATAGTACTATAGTAATAGAGCAAGTGCAAAATCACTGAACCGGAATTGATAGCTTGAAAGCATTTAGCGCGGGGACCTTGAAAGTGCGGGGCCAGTGGTGCGTGTAGCAGCTACTTGTGCTCCTGGGATAATCCGGCACTGCAAGTGGTGTGAATGTTCAAACTTAAACATTGGAAGCGATCTCAGCGGAGAGGCTGGCACCACCTGGAACGCTCCAATCTCGATGTTACGGAGAGTGCAGCACGTGGAGGTGTACAGTCGGTGGTGGAGCCCATGGGATAACATCTTCACGGTCATCAGCGAGCGTGCGTGTGGAGTTGTATTGACCAAGGTTTCAACTGGTGTCTCATTATACACGTCGTTAATAATGGATGATGCTGTTATGGATTCCCGATGCGATCAACTCCCAGTTATCGGAAGTAACAGGGACGGAAGTGTGATCCAGATAAAAGTAAAAACACGAACAATTCAAAATGCATTACAAACTATGACATTCAAGGCATATCCATTGCAGAAGTCGATGTTTTGGCCGTACGTTTATTTTTAGAGCACAGAACATTCTAACCAGTTTGCTTGTTGACTTAGAAAAAAAAACAAGCCATGGGTCACTGCCCTCCGACGAGTGAGGAACGGCTACCAATATTATCCATAGAGGTTTTTGGGTTAGATCGCGTAAATGTAAATGCGTCTTCTTGGTTCTTTCGGTAAAGTCACGTCGAAGGGAAATAATAATACAAATTCTCACGACGTCTCGATTGCAACACGAGCAATCATCATCAGGTGTGAAAACCACACCTGATAATGATTGCTTGTGTTGCGATCGAAACGTCGTGAGAATTGTATTGTTTAATTTTTATTATTTTATTATTTCCCTTCTACGTTACTTTACCGAAAGAACCAAGAATATGAATCCCTGCAGTCACGAAAGCTTTAAATCGAAATATAAATGCGTCGTTAAATCCGCCACCACCGACACAGGCAATTAGTAAGGGTTGTCACGTAAACAAAACGTGGCAATTCGCTACTGGCTCAGCACGAAGCGGTTGTTTGCTGGAGAGTGAAACCCAAAACATTTACGATTCGAGCACCGTGACGTGTCTCCAGTAATTGCAACAACAACAACAACCACCACCAGCAGCACCACCACCCGCATCATCAGACGGGACAGCCGGAGACCAACTCGGATACCAACAGCACGGGCTCAGCCGTAACTCGGATACCAACAGCACGGGCTCAGCCGTAACTCGGATACCAACAGCACGGGCTCAGCCGTAACTCGGATACCAACAGCACGGGCTGAGCCGTAACTCGGATAGCAATACACACAGTTGTGCAGATCAAGCGATAATTGTTCAGCAGCAAAAAAAAACAGATGCCAATTTATTTGATTGGGGTAGTTGCCCCAACTTTACCAACTCCAGTGCTCGCGACACCGCCATGGTGCTTTTTTTTATCACCCCGGTGATTAACAACTATCAGACGCGTGCAGCGTGTGCATGTGTGTCCCGTCAGTGGCGAAACGGGGTGACCGTGGTGGTAGAGAGGGAGGGGTGGGGGGTGTCACGAATATTGGAGTCGATAATCATCACACCCCGCACGCTCGCGAGCGTCACGGTGGTGGCTATCGTACGAACTTCACCCGTCCCGCGCCATGGACATCCACGGGCTCTCTGCTGGGAGGTGGCGACCAAAGTTGCATCGAGACTGGGGAGTGCTGTCCTCCAATCCCTCTCGGGAGATGTCGCCTCGGAATGCTGCTGTGGTGTTCTGCTGCTTCAGGTCACTCGGAGCTTTTCGGTTTTTGTTTTTGGTTGTTGTTCGGCAAAACCACTTTTTCATTTCACCCAATCCCCAAATTTCAACCACGCAGCTGAAACCGCTAAGTTACACTTGTTCACATAAACGTGACCGCCGTTATTGGACAGCCTTCAATCTAGCTATCGTACGACAAGTCACAATGTCAACCCTTGGTAACGTCTCAACGTCCTTACACGACATGCAATAAACTTCGGGAGTGAGTCCCGACTCGGGACTCTTTACGTACAATTTGCACGAACTCGGGACAGGAAACAGCCTTCGCTCGCCCGCCGCGCGAAGGATAGGTCGCCGGGCGGAGGCACGCACCGGATGAAGCCTCTCTGCTGCCCAGGTGCACGCGAGCCAGGCTTACCTGGAGACTTCATGGCTCACAGCGGAGGTGGTGGAGACTGCTGCTGCTGCGACTTTTATCCGGACGTCAAGTCAAACCGGCTCACTCAGCCAAAACCTCATCTTCATCGTCGTCGTCGCAAGCAGTAGCTGACAGGTATAAAATAAAAACCCACCTAAATGTATGATCAAAGAGCACGCGGCAGGAGTCAACCAGAATTGCTCGCCGTACGCGTTCAACGACGCGGCGTCTATGAATAATGCGTCTCGAGCTGCCTCGACGGCGGATTGCGACAGCGTGACTCGTGCCTCGCGTGCGACAGACGGGGGTTAAAGACCAAGGCCCACGACTCGGTGGCTTTGTTGGGTCCACACTGAAAATGAAGCCCCCTCGAGCGAGCTGCAGGTGAAGGGCGTGGCCTGGCTGGTTGCAGGGGGCACGCACGGTGACGCCACCCCCCCCCACTCACTCTCTGCATTGCGACACGCGTGGTGCGTTCGACGGCGTGTCGTGTGTGTGTGTCGTGTGTGTGTGTCGTGTGTGTGTGTCCTGTGTGTGTGTGTCGTGTGTGTGTGTGTCGTGTGTGTGTGGGGTGAATGACGCGACTCGGGGAGCGGTGGCGCAGTGGTAAGCGCGCCGCGTTACGAAAGCCGGCCAACCGAGTTCGATTCCTGCCCAAGACCAACATTGCTGACAAGTGGCTATCTGAACCGATCCTAGGGCCTCCCATGGGTCGGCTCAGCCTCAAAATGAGCATCCGTTGCGGTGTGTGTCTGTGTGTGAACATCACCACTGGGGAGAGAAAGACGGCCGGGTGTGGTGCTGGCCACCCTGCCTCCGTGTGCGGCGTTCCAGCCTTCACAGGTGCTCGTTAACAGCGCTTGCCCCAACAGTTTGTTGAAAGGCTTTACGGTGGAAATGTGTCTTTGCGTCGCGTGAGAACGGATGTCCATGCACCTCACCCGTGATTGTGGAATAGTGGCCTGGCCTGTTGTCCCCAACTTTCTTACCGAGCGGCACGGACCAGCGTGAGGAAGTATGGTCAAACGACTTCCATGAGTGGCGTGGCGCAGAGGAGGCCCTCATCCAGCAGTGGGTTGACAAAAGGGCCGCGCGTGTACTGTGCCCACAGCAGGCGCCACTGTTCCTGAGCATAGCCACTCACCCTAAAGTGTAAATACCTCACGCCTATAGACCCTAACCCCTAACGCTATACCCGAAGCCTAAAACCTAACCCCTAAACGCGAACCCGAAGCCGTAATCCAGAAACTATAACCCTAAATAGTAACAGCTAAACAGTAAACGCGGCAATAACCCCTCACCTTAACCCTGAAAACCGAAGCCCCCAACTCCAACACCCCACATTCTTCTTCTTCTTCTCATTATGACACTCGCTGAGTCTCAAGACTCTTGTGCAGGAGGGTCCTGCCACGTTTTCTCAGTCGGGGAGCGATGGCTGCTGCTGACAAATCCGAGCGGAGCAGTTCTCAGGCAATGTTCTGTAACATACTCTTAGGTTTGTTTCTGTAAAGTCACGTAGGTAAAAAATAAAAATAATAAAAAACAATAATATAAATAAAATTATTATTTTTACCTACGTGACTTTACCGAAAAAAACCTAAGAGTATGAATCCTTGCAATCACGAAAGCTACAAATCTAGTTCTGTAACATATTGAGGATGCTCGCCCACTACCAATCGCACTTCACGCTCGCTTGCCGTTGTTTGGGCTCTGGGGAGAAAACCTGATAACCCGGAGCTAAAGAACACAAATTGAGACGCACCGAAATAAAGGGACTAAATAATGCGGAGGAGACCCACGCCGAACAGTGGGGGAGAAACACGCAAACTCCACACAGAGAGGCACCCGAGTGGGGAATCGAATCGAGGCCTTTCTTGCTGTGAGGCACGAGTGGTAAATCGTTGACACGACTCTGCCGTCCAATCCGTGACCATCGTCTGGTCTGCAAATGGGTCAACAAAAATCAGCGGGAACAGAGGCGCTCTGGACACAGGGTTACGTGCAAAGAAGCTGGGTACCCAGAGCAGCAATTTATCCGAACTGAGCACTCATCACTTTCTTTGTTTACGTATTTTTTGTTGTAATTAAAGAGACACAGGGGGGGAGGGGGGAATGAAAAGGTGTGGATCAAAAGTTGTGAATGGAAGTGATAAAGAAATGTCCCCTCGTCTCGGCTATTTTAAGCTGAGACCAACCCAAGGCTGTTCAACAGCAGCAGCAGTTTAATGTCACGGTGACGCGCAAAGAATGCCGGTAATCTTGTTACGTTTTGGCTGGCGAAGGCAACATATTTTGCGCGTGAGCGCTGCCCCTTTGAGGTTGGCCACACGATGATACCGTGTACTGATTGACTGGCTGATGTCAGTTCATATGGTACCTATGCCCTAAAAGGTTTAAAAAGCAGAAATGTTGGCACAAATATACATGGCTCTATTTAAAAACAAGGATAATACACAGACCTACATTTTTTTCATATTTGGCAGCCAGAAAAATGGCCCTGAGGTAGTTTAGTTTCACTCATAGAGTCAGCCTGAACTGTTTTGAGATTTGGCATTACTGATAAAAAAAACTTTTTTTTACCAGGTAAGGCTCACTGAGCGATGTGGCTCTTTTTCAGAAGCGACCTGACCACAATTGATAACTCAACGAAGTGGCTTATCACGTGGAGATGTAGAGCAGCCAGATACTCTGAACGCACGTTTCTAAAATGTGGAGGGAAACACCGGAGGACCTGGAGAAATATCCACGTGACCACGGGCAGAGAGACACGCAAACTCCAAGTATACAGGCGTCATGGTCGGGATCGAACCCATACGCTCCTGTATAGTCTGCGAGGTGGTTAACCCTCGCCACGGATTTCAGCCGCCTATGATTAAATCTGGTTTTCAGGTTGCAGTGAGAATTGATGGTGTCAACCTGGGCACAATGACTGCTGCACACAAATTCCATCCTGTTGACTTTGAGTTTGTTATAAATGTGGCTACAATCGCAGCTCTGGGAATAAAAAAAAAAGATCCGTCTCTCTGTCACTTTGCGGAGCTTCGCTGAAGCATGGCAAGTGAGGAAGTGCTGCACCCTCGTGTGCACACGCGGGACCTAGAATCGATTTCAGAGGTAGATCTGCGATCTCTCCTTCCGTAGAAGATTGCAACCAACATGCAGCATGTGTATAATAGAGGTGGTTGTGGTTGTGATGTCTGGACCTTATCTCGATTGTGCTTACTTTTTAACCTACTCTGTATTTTCTTTCTCACTTGACTGTTGAACACGGCAATGTTACAAATGACACACTTGCTGTTGTTATTATTATGATTATTAAAAAACATGTTGAACTATTTTCTCAGGACGAATGTGAATGGACAAAAGCTGGATAGAAAAGTAATAACCTGAAAAAGAGTTTATAACATGAATCAGTAGCAGTGCTACTCATAGCGAACCTTAACATTATTTGACGCTTTATAAACCATTACCCTACAGTCACCATTTCGTGTAAAACGGTATTTTTTTTGTTAAAGTTACATTTAAAATGTGTCTGTGCTTATTGCTTCCCACTGCGAAACCACGGAGCTGCCCAGCTACTTCATGTACAAGTCTCCACCACCTTGGGGCTCACTTGTTCTGGATGACCAAACTTTGGAGTTTGTGTGTCTCTCTCATTGTGGTCGCCTGGATTTTTCTCCGGGTCCTCCGGTTTTTCCCTCCACATTTAAAATCAACTTCACGCATTTAGAATATTTGGCTGTTATACATTTCCACGCGATAAGCCACTTCGTTGAGCTATCATTTGTGGCGAGGTCGATTCTGCAAAAGAGTGTATAGCTCAGTGGGGCGTACCTGGTAAAATAAACTAAAAAAGACCTATTTTATGGGTCTTTCGGTAAAGTCACGTAGATAGGTTCAAAGAAAATAACAAAACAAAACTACGACGTTTCGATCGCAACACAAGCGGTCGTTTTCAGGAAGACGACCACTTGTGTTGCGATCGAAACGTCGTAGTTTTTGTTTTGTTATTTTCTTTGAACATATCTACGTGACTTTACCGAAAGACCCAAAGAATATGAATTCCTGCAGTCACAAAAGCTTTAATCATAATCAACGTTTTTTGGGCGAAAGCCTACGTGTTAAACTGAGCTTTAAGTCGAGATTTAAAAATAGACCTGTCACACTCAGAGCTTAACCCTGCTTTCCCATGCAGCTTATTAGATCTGGGCAGCCTCTTTAAGTTTATGGTCTGCGTTGCCGACTGTAAATTGGGTTCAGGGTACGTATTTACCTTTCATCAGCAGCACTGATAAAAAATCAACTAAATAGCCAAAACGCGCCCTTTGAATCCGTACAACAGGGCCTGGTAATATCTGGCCCCCGTAGGCCTAATACCACTCACAGCTTGGTTTTCATACGGCCTGTGACTTCACGTCACATGGTCAATGGCCACATGAGTCCTCCACCATTTCTAAGTGGCCTGCAAACGAATTACTAAGCAGGTAGTGGACGGAAATGCGTTTGTCCTGCAACACCACGTTTTTTTATTTTAATGCGCTCATCATTTTCATTTATACCAGGGGACCGGCAACCAAAATAACAACGATCCATTTTTCTGATAATTCAGTATGAAAAAAAAACCCGTCAATGTATAAAAAATTATGACGGTCACGAAGCAGTCCTTTTAAAAGAGCCACGTGCGGTTCCGGAGCCGCAGGTTGCCGATCCCTGACGTGAGTGTAGTGCCAACGATTCAGAGACGGAGTTTCTAGGTGGCACCTTCTTTATTAACACCTTTCACAGTCTCGTCCGCACACTCTCCACTGTAGCTCAGCCTCGCCTGTACACAACCCTAGCCGTCAAATACTGACGGCGCTGGCTGAGACAGCCAACAACTTCCAGCAGCGCAACATCTAGCGAAGACGGCAGCGACGACGAGACGAGTCCACGCCCAGAACCGGCAGCCTCGAGCCCCCCGCTCTCAGCTCCTTTTATTCTCCCCAGCGCGGCCTGGCTCCGCCCTGACCGCGCCTCCCTTCTCGAACCCGCTAGCAGGTTCCAGGGGCCTCCAGACGGGGTCCTCTGTGACCCTTGCCCCAGTTCCTCCCTCTACCCACACCCCGCGCACGCCCTCACCGGCGTGTGTGCTGTCTGTCCACCGCAGTTGCCGCTGCTGTCCACCAGCCGGCGCTAGTACACTACACATATACAACGCCTCCCAGTGCAGTGACAGAAGTGACAGAGAGGCGGCACTGCGAACACAACAACAACAACAACACTTCAGAATAAACAATTTCCCGGGGGCCCCCACGGTGCTCGCCACCCGCGGCGCTCCCTGGGTGGGGGGGGGGGGGTGCGGGTGGTAGCGGGGAAAGGTCACACGGCCGGTGCCGCCACAGCGGTGGCCACGGCTGCGGCCCTGGCAGGCTTCCGCTTGGAGGGGCTGGGCACGTAGAGGAGGGGGATGTCGGCGAGGGGCCGCGCGTGGCCGTCGATCCAGGGGAGCAGCTGCGGCGCGCGGCGCTGGGCGATGCGCAGCAGCGTGAGCGCGTCCGTCTCGGCGTTGTGCAGCCCCGCGGGCGGGCCGCGTCCGAAGAACAGCTCGTACAGGTCGCTCAGACCGAACTTCACTCCGCCGGCCGCCACCACCTGGCCGGGGTTCAATGGGGGCAGGGTGGGAGGAGAGGGGGGAGGGATTGGATGGCGTTGGATTCATTTGGTTTTGATTTTCTCTGTGTGTGGGTGTGTCACTCCTTCTCCCTGTGCCCAATCACCGTGTTCGGCCCTTCTCCCTTCTTGCACCCCTCTACTGGAATCAACTTCCCTTTGTACATTCAGCAGCACTGCACCTAGACAACACTGCACATAGACTCAACACTGCCCATAGACTCAACACTGCCCATAGACTCAGCACTGCACATAGACTCAACACTGCCCATAGACTCAACACTGCCCATAGACTCAATACTGCCCATAGACTCAGCACTGCTCATAGACTCAACACCGCCCATAGACTCGACACTGCCCATAGATTGAAGGTCTTCAAAGTGTGGAGCGAAGCACCAGTCTACAACTGCTCGGCTTTAGTCTTGAACGGGGCTTAAGTTGGCACTGAACATTTGTCCGGGTCGTTGCTGGACTGGATTTCGTGTTAGAAAGTGTACGGGAGAGGTGCACGAGTGGGTATGGTGTGAATGTATTAAAATCCATGATAAAATAATATTTTTTTCCGGGTCACGAACATTGACAGCCCCCGGCTGCAAATTAAGCTCCGATCTTGAGCGACTCCTTCGGGCCAGCAGCTGTTTGTGCGAATGTCAAATCACAACCTGACCAGTGGCTCCACGATAGCCCCAGCGACTCGCAATTTAAAGGTTGCGAATTCAAATTATGGTCGGTGGTTGACTCGGCCCATCATCACTTAGAGGAGGAGGGGGGGTCGATAAAATCAGTACCCGTTTGTGGGGAAGTCAACGGTGGTTGTCTGTTGATGTTTACACAACGCACCAGGTACTCAGCCTATCATTCCTACATGGTCAATAAAATACATACCCATCTGTTGTAAAAAAAAATCAAGTCAGCAGTGTTGACTTAAAGCTTTCGTGACTGCAGGAATTCATATTCTTTGGGTCTTTCGGTAAAGCAACGTTGATAGAAAGAATAATAATAATAATAATAAAAATAATAACAATATCACGACATTTCGATCGCAACACAAGCAATCGTCTTCATCTGAATCGTCTTCATCTGAAGACGATTGCTTGTTGTTATTTTTTATATCTACGTGGCTTTACCGAAAGACCCAAAGAATAAGTCAGCAGGGGTTTGCCATGTAACGAGACTTGTCCTGCCATGGGAATGCCTAATTTCCACCACGACCTCGTGGCTGTAAAAGAGGCGACGAGGGGACCTGAACGCTCACGCGGAAGAGAAGCATCACGAGCAACCGCTCGACGTTCGCGTTTCACGACCACCACCACCACCGCCATTGTCGCTTCTGCCCCGTTTGCTTTTATGATTTCGTTCGAATCTCCGCCGCGCGTCTCCGTCACCTCCTGGATGGCCTCGTCGGAGAGGGCCCCCGCCGCCTCGCCGCCGTCGGCCCTGAGCTTGCGCTTGCGGCCGCGGACGCCGTGAGCCCCCCCCGGTGGCGCCGCTCCTCCGCAGGGCGGCTGCCACGCGGTGTTGCTGGCCATGATGGAGCGCAGCGCGGGGAGGGTGTCAGCGCAGAGCGTGGCGGCCGGCAGGGAAGCGCCGACGCGAAAGAACTCCACCTGCGGCTCCCACCACCGGGTGTTGGTTAGTGCCGCGCTGAACTGTTGGTGCGGCTCTTGATGCGCGTGGCGATGTGCATAGCAGTCATCGCGAGGTGAATAATAACACTGTGTAACAAACATTGTGTTGTTTTGTTCCTGGGTAGTGAGTGTTATTTCCTAATTGCTTATGCCTCAAAAGTACAGAAAATGGCTATTATTATTCCCTACAAACTTTGCTTTTGTGACCAGGACAGTGATATTTTGAAATGTAGCTATTTTCAAGGAGAAAACGTGGTGTGCATTTGTGTCATTCCTTCACGTAAAGCCCTGGTCACAAAAGCAACGTTTGTGGGGAATAATAGCCATTTTATATACTTTTGAGGCATAAGCAATTAGAAAATAACACCCAATACCCAGGAACAAAAATCGTGTTACATAGTGTTGACTAACTTCTATTAAAAACACAATCAATGTCGCGAGTTTTCCTGGCTGACTGGCTGTTAGTGGCTACCGCGTGGTTAATGCTGCCCGGTGGGTTGCACTGTTTATACGGCTGAGCGCATTCTTTAGAAGGCTGTCTCTGGTGTAGGCCAATCAGTTTAAAAGACAATGCGTGTGTAATTATCACAGAGTGTGTGTTTGCATGTTCACCGCAAGGTTCGTGAGCTTAATGCAGACTTGATTCCTTGCAAAAGGTACCTGTTTGAACATCTTAACACACCTGTTGTATTGCCACAATGGGTAAAACCTATTGTTCTTTTTCATACTCTGATACTGGCAAAAATGTCCAGTGAAACACCATCCATGTCTCGAGTTTTCCTGGCTGGCTGCTGGCTGGCCTCCTCTCCACCACCACCACAACAACTCTGCTGTTAGTGACTACTGCAGGGCCGTTGCCACCAAAGCTAGCTGGGTAACTGGCTACGCGGGGTGTTCCCGTGTAACAATCAAAGAGCGATTTGAAATGGCGGAAGAATTTCGGACAGACGCGAAAACAGATGACGCCACTTGCTCTATCTTTTCCACGTGTGCTCCTATTATTATTATTAATGCGATTATTTCGCCAGAATGTTCTTTATAATTAAATAGAACATATATATCTTCTTGGTTCTTTCGGTAAAGTCACGTAGAAGGGAAGTAATAAAATAATAAAAATAAAACATAAAACAATTCTCACGACGTTTCGGCCACAACGCAAGCAGCCGTCCTCAGGTGAAAACCAGGTCCGTCGAGGCGACAGAGTCTGAATGAAACAGCACACGAGCTTGGAGCATATATATAAGCTGGGCGCATTGACAAAGGAATTTGCATATCAAAAGGAATTTAGCATATTTATGGGAAATTCAGGAATGTGATTAGTACTGCATATGCATGTGCATTATGCAGGATTAACAGCATCAAAGGGAGCTGCAGTTACTGCTGCTGCAGCAGTTGCTGCTGCTGCTGCAGTTTCTGCTGCTGCTGCAGTTGCTGCTGCTGCTGCACTTGCTGCTGCTGCTGCACTTGCTGCTGCTGCTGCACTTGCTGCTGCTGCTGCACTTGCTGCTGCTGCTGCAGTTGCTGCCTTATCCATTTTAATATAACACTATGTATTATTCTACCCACCCTAATGTGTATCATACTGCTATATGTTTACTGTACAATTACGACACCATACATTACTCTGCACACTGCACCATGCCAGTGAGTGGAACGTGGTCTGAAAGTCACCGTAAACGTGAACACAATCAGTTAAGATCCGAAATGGTTTATTACGTCCTTCCAATGATTGCTAATAAACCATTTCGGATCTTAACTGATTGTGTTCACGTTTACGGTGACTTTCAGACCACGTTCCACTCACTGGCATGGTGCAGTGTGCAGAGTAATGTATGGTGTCGTAATTGTACAGTAAACATATAGCAGTATGATACACATTAGGGTGGGTAGAATAATACATAGTGTTATATTAAAATGGATAAGGCAGCAACTGCAGCAGCAGCAGCAAGTGCAGCAGCGGCAGCAAGTGCAGCAGCAGCAGCAACTGCAGCAGCAGCAGCAACTGCAGCAGCAGCAGAAACTGCAGCAGCAGCAGCAACTGCTGCAGCAGCAGTAACTGCAGCTCCCTTTGATGCTGTTAATCCTGCATAATGCACATGCATATGCAGTACTAATCATATTCCTGAATTTCCCATAAATATGCTAAATTCCTTTTGATATGCAAATTCCTTTGTCAATGCGCCCAGCTTATATATATGCTCCAAGCTCGTGTGCTGTTTCATTCAGACTCTGTCGCCTCGACGGACCTGGTTTTCACCTGAGGACGGCTGCTTGCGTTGTGGCCGAAACGTCGTGAGAATTGTTTTATTATGTTTTATTTTTATTATTTTATTACTTCCCTTCTACGTGACTTTACCGAAAGAACCAAGAAGATGAATCCCTGCAGTCACGAAAGCTTTAAATCGAAATAGAACATATATACACGAATATAAAAACCATAGGTGGAGTTTGACTTCTATATTTGGGAGGGGGGGGGGGGGTTCGCTTTGTCCATCACGTTAGGAACCGCAGGTGCATAAAATTAATTAATTATTTTTTATGTTAATTGAAAACAAATTCTTTTTTTAAAAATAGAGGGAAGGGGCTTGCACCCCCCCCCCCACCCATGATACAAACAAAAGGTCACAATCCATATTATTACGTTGCAATTTTATTTAAATTTACAACGACAACGAAGCTGATTACTCATTAGCGCTCCGAGTAGACCAGGGCAGGGAGACGATGGCAACTGCCTCTTATTTCCCCAAACGCAGAGCAAAAGCAACAACAACGACAACAACAACGACAACAACAACGACAATAACAGCGTGGAAGTCGTCGCCGTCTCCCGCTCGCCGTGCCCCCCCCCCCGCCCGCGTGTACCTTGAGCAGCGGGAAGTCGAACTGGATCCCGTTGTGCGCCACGAGGCACACGGGCGGCGTCTGGCGGGCCAGGAAGCCGGACACGAGCGCCACGGCGTCGCCATCGAACTCATGGCGCCGATTCTCCGCCAGCTTCTCGTTGCTCAGGCCCGTGAGCTGGTAGGCCGTGTTCGACACCAGCTTGCTGGGGTCCAGGCAGAACTGTTGCGGGCAACAGCAGCAGCAGCAGCCAAACAACAACAACAACAAACAAACAACAGAAAACGCACGGGGGTTGATAGAATTATGACGTCACAAGGGAAAGGAGTCACCGTAATTGATTGGTGATCGAGCACTCGCTGATTCACTCCACGCACTCTCCTACCTCTCCCCTCTCATCTCACTCTACTCTCCTCCACGCACTCTCCTACCTCTCCCCTCTCATCTCACTCTACTCCCCTCCACGCACTCTCCTACCTCTCCCCTCTCATCTCACTCTACTCCCCTCCACGTACTCTCCTACCCCTCCCCTCTCATCTCACTCTACTTCCCTCCACGCACTCCCCTACCTCTCCCCCTCCTCTCATCTCACTCTACTCCTCTCCACACTCTCCTACCTCTCCCCTCTCATCTCACTCTACTCCCTGCCACGCACTCTTCTACCTCTCCCCTCTCATCTCACTCTACTCCCCTCCACGCACTCTCCTACCTCTCCCCTCTCATCTCACTCTACTCCCCTCCACGCACTCTCCTACCTCTCATTTCACTCTACTCCCTGCCACGCACTTCCTACCTCTCCCCTCTCATCTCACTCTACTCCCCTCCACGCACTCTCCTGCCTCTCCCCTCTCATCTCACTCTACTCCCCTCCACGCACTCTCCTGCCTCTCCCCTCTCATCTCACTCTACTCCTCTCCACGCACTCTCCTGCCTCTCCCCTCTCATCTCACTCTACTCCCCTCCACGTACTCTCCTACCCCTCCCCTCTCATCTCACTCTACTCCCCTCCACGCACTCCCCTACCTCTCCCCCTCCTCTCATCTCACTCTACTCCTCTCCACACTCTCCTACCTCTCCCCTCTCATCTCACTCTACTCCCTGCCACGCACTCTTCTACCTCTCCCCTCTCATCTCACTCTACTCCCCTCCACGCACTCTCCTACCTCTCCCCTCTCATCTCACTCTACTCCCCTCCACGCACTCTCCTACCTCTCATTTCACTCTACTCCCTGCCACGCACTTCCTACCTCTCCCCTCTCATCTCACTCTACTCCCCTCCACGCACTCTCCTGCCTCTCCCCTCTCATCTCACTCTACTCCCCTCCACGCACTCTCCTGCCTCTCCCCTCTCATCTCACTCTACTCCTCTCCACGCACTCTCCTGCCTCTCCCCTCTCATCTCACTCTACTCCCCTCCACGCGCTCTCCTACCTCTCCCCTCTCATCTCACTCTACTCCTCTCCACGCACTCTCCTGCCTCTCCCCTCTCATCTCACTCTACTCCCCTCCACGCGCTCTCCTACCTCTCCCCTCTCATCTCACTCTACTCCCCTCCACGCGCTCTCCTACCTCTCTCATCTCACTCTACTCCTCTCCACGCACTCTCCTGCCTCTCATCTCACTCTACTCCCCTCCACGCACTCTCCTGCCTCTCCCCTCTCATCTCACTCTACTCCCCTCCACACACTCTCCTACCTCTCCCCTCTCATCTCACTCTACTCCCCTCCACGCTCTCTCCTACCTCTCATCTCACTCTACTCCCCTCCACGCTCTCTCCTACCTCTCCCGTCTCATCTCACTCTACTCCCCTCCACCCTCTCTCCTACCTCTCCCCTCTCATCTCACTCTACTCCCCTCCACACACTCTCCTGCCTCTCCCACTCATGTCACTCTACTCCCTTCCACACACTCTTTACTCCAGTAGCCCAGGCTTTATGTCTCGAGGCGCCATTCAACCATTTTCGTGGGGAGGTCGCTCATTCTCTTTCTGCTGAACCTCGTCCCCTGGAAACTCTCTTCCTCCAGTCATCCTTCCTCTGCCCCCTCTGCCTAATGGCCGACTGCCTCTCTGTAGAATAAATATGCCTTACTTTATTATCCTTACAGCGTCTCGAGATGCAGTCGCATTTAGACGCTGTACGAATCCACATTACATATTGGTCTTGCGCGCGACACGAGCACTCGATCGCCAATGCCACTGAAGGATCCTCGTGCAATGAATTAACTTCGCCCCCCCCCCCCCTAGCATTGGGGCGCCACGGTGGTGAGATGTTAACTCCCTCGCCTGGTATGCAGGAGGTCGTGGGTTCGATCCCGAACACGACGCCTGCTGCTGCTGTATATTTAGAGTTTGCGTGTTTTCTCTCCCCGTGGCCGCGAGGATTTTTCTCCGGGTCCTCCGGTTTTTCGCTCCGCGTTTAGAATCGCGCCTTTAGAATCGCGCGTTTAGAATCGCGCCTTGAGAGTGTCTGTCGCTATACATCCCCGAGTGACAATCCGCTGCGTCGAGCTGCGATAGCCGCGTCGCTTTGTGACGACCGGGTCGCTTCTAAATAAAAGAGCCAAAGCTCAGTGGGGCATTGCCTCGTGAAGTATAAAGTAAGTTTAGTAAGTAGTAGTTGTTGTTGCCGTGTTCGTGTACCGCACCGGGACATCGCACGGTAGACGAGGCTGGGGGTGTGTGGGTGCGTGGGTGGGTGGGGCGTGGGTGCGTGGGTGGGTGGGTGGTGCATGGGTGGTGTATGGGTGGGTGGGTAGTGCGTGCGTGGGTGTGTGGGTGGGGCATGGGTGGGTGGTGCGTGGGTGCGTGGGTGGGGCGTGGGTGCGTGCATGGGTGGGGCGTGGGTGGTGCGCGGGTGGGTGGGTGGTGGTCACCGTGAGCTTGTCCCGGACGCGTGGCGGTCTGGGCAGGCCTCCGGGCCCGTAGTTCACGTTCTCCAGGGCGAAGCGGTCGGTGGCCACGAGGCACAGCTCGGTGATGCGCGGCCGGTCGCGCGCCACCCCCGTTGCCTCCGCGTCCATGAACACGAACGTCTGGGGGGGCCCCGAACCCGGCCCCCCGGGCTCGCTCCCCCCCGCGGGCCCCCCGCTCTCGAAGGCGGCCGCGTCTCCCATCTCCGACGCCCCCAGCAGGTGCCCCGACTTCTCGCGCGAGTTCAGTTGTGAGTTGAGCGAGCAGGCGACAACCACGTTCCCATTATTATTGTGATGCAATCGTGCAGTTGTTCTGTGCTGCGCAGTTGTTCGGCGCTGTGCACAATTCACTTTATCCGAACCAACAGCGTTTGTAGGCGCCATAGGCTGACCACCCCATAGGCTGATCATCCCATATGCTGACCATCCCATAGGCTGACCACCTCATAGGTTGACCATCCCATAGGTTGACCATCCCATAGGTTGACCATCCCATATGCTGACCATCCCATAAGTTGACCATCCCATAGGCTGATCATCCCATAGGCTGATCATTCCATATGCTGACCATCCCATATGCTGACCATCCCATATGCTGACCATCCCATAGGTTCACCATCCCATAAGCTGATCATCCCATATGCTGATCATTCCATATGCTGATCATCCCATAGGCTGATCATCCCATAAGCTGATCATCCCATATGCTGACCATCCCATAGGCTGATCATCCCATAGGCTGATCATTCCATATGCTGACCATCCCATATGCTGACCATCCCATAGGCTGATCATCCCATAGGCTGATCATCCCATAGGCTGATCATCCCATAGGTTCACCATCCCATATGCTGACCATCCCATAGGCTGACCATCCCATAGGTTCACCATCCCATAAGCTGACACAGGTACACGGACACACACACAGACACTGACACTTAGACACATACACGGACACACACAGACACTGACACTTAGACACATACACAGACACACACACAGACACTTAGACACATACACGGACACACACACAGACATTGACACTTAGACACATACACGGACACACACACAGACACTGACACTTAGACACATACACGGACACACACACAGACATTGACACTTAGACACATACACGGACACACACACAGACGTAGACACGATGAGGATTCCCGGTGTGATTGGAGGTCACTAGAGGTAAACTCCCACAATGCAGCAGCAGAGTGCCGAGTATTGTGGGCAGGGCCGGAAGTTTCACATCCGACACCTTGACGTCGAAGCGCGCCCTCCCCCCGCCCCCCAAAGTGCGGGGCCCGGGGCGGTCGCGCAGATTCGCCGTACCCAAGGGAAGGCTCTTGGTTGTTGGGACATGTGGAGTTGGCCCGCTGACATAGCCGAGCGGTGGCGCGGTGTTACAAAGAGGTTCGCGGCACGACTCCAGCTGGTCGCCCTGGTCAACACTGCCGGATTATTCACCAAACATTCGCGCCGCCTGCTTCACATTCGAAATGAGTTGGCCATCGTGTGCCGAGATTGTTTCATTGTTTATTATTACGTTTGTTTTCAGTTGTTAAATTGGAAGAAACGTTCACGTGCGTCTCCCGTTGTCGAGTTGTTTTTGTTTACGAATCAGTCAAGGTCAAGAGGTCATGGTGACCAATGCCTGTGATGTCACCACACCCTGCCGTGTCTTCCTTGCACAGGTCACCACTGCCACACGGGCAACAACATCGTCTAAAGACTGCTCTTACAGTCCCACCACCACCAACAACAACAGCAGCCGCCATTCACCTCTCAGTGGCGGTGCCATGCTCGGTGCACTTTGAGACAACGTGAAGTGTCAAAGGCCTGCTGACAGGCCATGGATCAGACCAAGGTGCCATGGGTTGACTGACTGAGCTGACTGACAGATGGCACCACCTGTGCTCCCAACTGTGCCAACTTGCTGCGTTTTATCCGTTCGGCGCTCCGCTCGTTGTTGTGAGCGTCGCTCCTCTGCCCTCCGCTGTTGCTGGAGGGCGACTGTATGTATGTTGAACTGGTTTCGCGGTGTCTGGTCTAGAGTGCTGAATTGTGGTGAGGTGTCTACGGGACCCGCTTATTCATCATCTAGATACCGGCAGAGGAGGCTTGACCATATTTTACCAACAGCATGTATTTAACATCAAGCACGTGTGGTGAATGCAGCATTGACGCCTTGCAATAGGGGTTGTATTCGTTGTTTGAACATCTTATCACATCTGTTACTACACCTCCGATTAGCACGGTTGGCTACGTACGGTGAGAAAGAAGTTCTACATACAGAGGTGACTGGTTCCATTTGATCTCCCGGCAGGGACTTTGAGAACCAACGGGGAAAGTTTCTTAACCACCCCTCCTCCTCTCTCTCCGCCGCCTCTGGTCCACCCATCAGTTTTTTTCTCCGCCTGATGAAGCCCGCTTGTGTTGCGATCGAAACGTCGTGAGTTTTTTGCTTTTACTTTAATGTAATAAACAAATTCTATCTACGTGAATTTACCGACAGAACCAAAGAAAACGAGGTACAATACCAATAAAAGCAACAAGCATGTTATTGTGTTCATCATGCGGTGAGGTGGTGTGGAGCGCCATCTGGTGGATTGTGAATGTGGCGCATGGCGCTCAAGTGGTGCTGCAGGACTTTCGGTGGGTGGGTTTGGTGGCGGTGGTGGGGGAGTAGATGTCTCTCAGCCAGTGGCTCTTAACCTGGGGGTACCGCACCCCCTGGGGGTACCGCACCCCCTGGGGGTACCGCACCCCCTGGGGTACGAGAGGCCCTTTTTGGGGGTGCGAGACGTGGCCAGACTTTTTTAGAATAATCGAAAACACAAATTAAGCCACGGGTACGTAAGTACAATTACTTCAGTTTCATCAAACCTATGTTTAACATACTTTTTTTGTACGATTGAAAACCAAAGGGGAGCAAGGCTGCAGTAAATAACCACTCCCATAGGTGCTCCACACATCAAATCTCCAGACCCGAGAGAATAACCAAGGGCACGATCGCGAAACGCCCGCCGTCTCATCAGAATTTGGTGGATAGTGGAGACGTCCCTCCCCCCGCCATCCCCTGCGGGTGGACACTGCAACTTCAACTATGAACCCGAGTGATTTCCAGCCACGGAAAACATCAGTGGTGGGGTGATATCTGGACTGGTCCTGTGCCGGCTCAACCGCCGTGGAGCAGTGCGCTCCAACATCCACCCCCGTTACTGACAACGCGAGGCATGTGGTGGCTTTCATCGAGCAGTGGATTGACAAAGGGGCTGTTATAAATGACTTGCAGACGTCGTAGCAAGCAACGGGACCATGTACGTACCTTTAAAGTGCTCCAAGCGGCGAGCGTTTTCAATCTTCAGTCGTGGAAATTCATCGTAGAACAACTTGCATTCGTCATTGTCGAATGTTACGGTCAACAATCGCAAACCAAACAGAGAGGTGACACGAATGTGCACACGCTTCAACCCGGTCGCGTTGGCTGGGTACGAGACTGGGGTTCTGTTCAAAACTTGGGTCCAGTGTGCGAGTGTTTATCTCACTCGTCAGCTGTTTCTCAAAGTCCAAAACCCACTTCCCCTTTCAACGTAATAATCGGTTGACACGGCTTGCAAATGTGCTGATAAGGACTTAATTTCCCAACGGTAAAACGCACAGCCCTTATGGGCAAATCCACATGCTCATCGTCAACAGGTGCATGTTGCGACGATCCCTGCCTAATTTACATTTGCCAGGTACAAAGGGGCTCTTGGAGACGTGACACACGATGTTTGCATCATGATTATTCTGGCTGAAGAGCCAGACTGCGGCTCTATGACGACCGTTAGGGTGATAGGTGGGCGAAGGATCTTCTTTGTTATTCAGAAGGGACAATATTTCAATTGTGGTCTGAGCCTTGACACTCCAACAAAGTGCTTGATTCGGGGTGCAGTATTTCTCTTGGTTTCACGCGTATAGAAATCACTTCCAGCGCTGTCTTTAGACCAGATGGGTTCGGATGCAAAGCGTATTATCGATACATCCTCAGTACAGGCATACAATTGCGTGTAAACGAGTCAATTCTTCGTCGATCCCTATTTACACGCACTGCGTTGGGTGGCCTTCATCCGCTACTGAACGAGGGCCCACGCCATCCATGTAGGACGCGGGCGTTAATTGACGGTACATCAACGTCGCTGGTCAGTGCGGGGCTGTGAAGACTCGGGAGCATCACCACGGAGCAGGGCGCTGCTCCTCGCTGCCGAGGCCTCGCGTCTCCGTGGCAGCCCCCTGCCGTGTGGAACGCGGCCATCACCACCATCATCATCATCATCCCTGTTCTTGCTGCTGCTGCACATTCACAGCAGCAGTGCGACTCGCAGCCGTCTTCTGCAGCTCTCTACACCACGGGGCATGGCAACCCCAGCCGCGTCTCTCTCGGCTCTCCTCCTGTCTCCCTGCTGCACCACAACTCACTGTGGAACTCCCGGCAGCAGTGGCAGCAGCAGCAGCAGTGCGACTCACAGCCGCCGCCTCCTGCTGCTGCTGCTCTCTACCCCACGGGGCATGGCTGTCCCTGCCAGGGGCTCGCTTCTGCGTGGAAGCCTCAGCCGTGTGGAACGCGGCCATCATCACCATCATCACCAATCCCTGCTGCTTCTCCTGCTGCTACTGAACATTCAGAACAGCAGCAGCGTTCGATCTGCACCGACTTCTCAGAGGCACTTGATCACAGGTGGCTGCCTGGATTCGAACCCAGGTGACTTGGTCAGCGGAGTGAGAGTGTGTGCCTCGTAACACTCGTACTTAACACGTGCACGAGATGCGACGCATAACGTCAGTGGTAGGTTCTTCACTAGTATCTTTATTCGAGGGTCACACGAGTTTTTTTTTTACAATTTGCACGGCACAGCAAATGACTTGGAGACCGGAGAGAGGAAAAAACTAAACCCTTGACACAACCTTGCCTGTACTCGCACGGGCATCAGCAATGCACACAACATGAACAACATGATTGACGAGTGACGCTTTACACACAAACACGAACATCTATAGCAAGTCGACCGTGGCGTGCGATGGCAAGTCACGGCTAACGGAAACCGAAACAACCTCGACATTACTCAGGGGGGTCCTCTGGGACCTTAAACGTCGGACGTTGACCTCCACAGCACTGCGCTATAGATATTGTTGTGTTACGCGTACACACGGGGTCCGATCGCGGGAGTCGTTTTTCGTGTTTTTGTTAAAGTACTGAAACTCCAGCCGGGTGACACATTCGTGACGGAATAACGTCAAGATTTGGGGATGACTTGCGGAATGTCTTACATGAGTCACGGACACAATAACACCACCACCACCAGCCCTCCCCCCAGCCCAACTCTGCTACAAGCGTCACGCTGTCCAAACCCACAGGAGCCACGCTGCGCTTGACTGCACAACCGCGCTACGCCACCGCGAAGTGGGACAAAGACGGTGGAGACGGTGGGACCTGATAACCGCGAACACGACGAGACGCAGCACAGAGCAGCTGTGCGTCACATTGTGTTTAAACACCACGAAAGGGTTTTGTTGTTGTTGCTGTGTACGGTGCTGTATGCGGTGTGACGATATCCAAGGCGTTGATGGGCAAGGAGATTTGCATCAGACTGGGGGTCGTCAAACTCGCCAGGGGGCAAAGGGGGTGGCTGGCACCAGAGCAGGATTATATCCTCGTAGCAAAAGTAGCTACTACATATGTAGTAGCTACATATGTAGTAGCTACTACATGTGTAGTAGCCACGGGTCCCGCACTTTCAAGGGCTCCGCGCTAAATGCTTTCAAGCTATCAATTCCGGTTCAGTGATTCTGCACTTGCTCTATTACTATAGTACGACACCGCCTTCAAATTTATGAACGACTGGGTGTTTAAGGTTAGCGATTAGTCGTAGTATCTGGCTGTATAGCAAATGAAAAAATACAATTACTTTATTATGCAAGTTAAAAATGTATGTGTTTCAATGTTTATGGGTTAAAAAAGAAAAATTAGGGCCCCTTTATAACATATGCTACTAGCTTAATCCGGCACTGGCTGGCACTAGGATTTCTGTACATGCGTCGTTCCAAGGCGAAAAGCAGGTCACCCTCGGAGCAGCTCCCTTCCAGGTTCTACCAATTCTTATATTCGGTATTCAGTGACATCTATTGCGTAGCTAACCTTTGACAGCGGTCGATATAAAACTTTGGTTTGAAAAAATAAGGAAAGCCACGGACCGCTCACTTCAGCCGCCGAGATTTACTTGAGAAAACTAAAATAGCTTCAGTGTTGTCCCACAGCGGCTTCTCCCCTGCACTGTCTGTGGTGGGAGGGTGACGTTAGCTGAAGATGGAGGGTGAGGTTCACTGACGATGGTGAGTGAGGTTAGCTGACGATGGTGTGGTTAAGTGAAGATGAAGGGCGAGGTTAGCTGAAGATGGAGGGGGAGGTTAGCTGAAGATGGAGGGTGAAGTTAACTGAAGATGGTGACGTTAACTGAAGATGGAGGGTGAGGTTCACTGAAAACAAATGTCAAAAGCAGCAGCGGTGAAGGATTCCGTTGCTGCCGCGTGGTATGAAGGGAGCGGCAGGCGCGAGTGGAGTTCAACAACACGAGGGGGACCCCCCCCCCCCCCCACACTTTAAAGTGACAGTGTATGATGATATGTGGCTACGTCGGTAGTTCAGTTCACGTCGAGCCTCAGCCCCCCCCCCCCCCCCCCCGTGGTGCATTGTTCTCGAAGCATCACGAGATGGTTCACTGGCCTTGACACAAATGCAGCGCCCCCCAAACACGTTCCCTCTCGCCGACACACCGAGGAGCGTGACCACCCAGGAGGTGTCTGCCAGTTTGCGAGCCTTGGCCCCGAGGAAGAGGCGCAAATGGCGCGCGTGCATTCGCCAACGCGCGCGCACAGACGCGCGGAACGGCACAAACATTGCCGTGCAATGCCACCCACGGTTGCACGAGACCGTGGCACTGAGTGCAAGAGTGGGGGGGGGGGCTTGCGTGACACGGTACTGCTTGACCTCAAGGCAGTCTTGGATTCAAGAGGGTTGGGGGGGGGGCAATTGTCGAGGCCAGCAGCTCTGAGCCGAGTCGTTGTGAGCGGAGGCCCACAGCGAGGAGGTCGAGACAGAGAGCCGAGGCCATGTGCTGGAGCCGGCCTCTAGGGCCCACAGCTGGACCCAAGGACCCAAGACTGCCTTGAAGGATCGTGAGCTCCGAGCCGTAGGTCGCCACTCGCTCACCACGCGGGCCTCTCGCAGCACTACGGGGACTGGGCGTGCAGTCTGTGGTCTTAACAACAACAAAGTCTTGGATGTGAAAAAGACAGTAATGAAGTGTTTCGAACAAGAGCAAACGAAATCTCTTCAGTACCTATGCTAAATACATAAATACAACATCGGTAGACTAACATTAAGCTACCTGGAGAAAGGGTTAGAGATTTGTGTTTTTCTAATGCATAAAAGGAACTTAAATACCCATGGATGCTAAGAACATTCAATAAATCTATTTTTTAATCAAATCATATTATTCAATAACCTGTCAGCTACCAATCATGATTTGTACACACACATCCGTTACAATTTGAATACATGTCTACAACGCATACAATGAACACCAAACCCGACCCTCAATCGTGTATTTTCTTTACAATGAAGATACGCAGATGCAGTTTGTCCTTACCCTATCTTACATTTCTCTTTCTTTAATTAAATGTTTTTTTTTTGCATGAAGTTAAATCGTTTGAGCGCTACCACGTGATTTTCGGGTCTCGTCTCCTGACTATTCCGGCAATGTCCCTTTCACCCCACGCGCAGGGGAGTTCCTTCTGTGCCCCTTGTTTGATGTTATCTACATCTAGGGTTTAATATTATATACATCTAGGGTTTGAAGTTATGTACATCTAGGGTTTGATGTTATGTACATCTAGGGTTTGATGTTATGTACATCTAGGGATAAAGTGGGCTGGTACGCTAACCGTGAGACATTTTCCCAATCGTAGAGAATTTAGCCGTGTGTATTTGTTTCAGCAATGGCTTTTTTGAATTTGTAAAAAAATTACGGTTACCTATCGGTAATTTGGATTTTTTTTTTAGTAAGTGGCATCGCCATTGACTTGCGGAGAGATGATTTGACATGTGTACAAATGCTCAAGACAACGCACGCGACAGTCACGTGGCGAGCAATCGTGAATATCGTCAGACACATCGATAGCTTCCTTCCCTAGGGGTCTGTTGTTTAAGCGAGTAGTCACTGCAATGCCTCCTTGAGGTATAGAGTATTTTCAACGTTGTAAAATATCGTAAAGGTTGGTCGCGTTTCGAGTGGTGCAAAAGTCGCCTTGGCTCTCACTGGTAAATTGTACACCACGTTAACAAAAGGGTACTTAATTTTTTCATTTAGATTTTTCTAATTGATTTTAAAACGCATTCAGTTTTATTCACCAACCAGTTTACTTGAAAACATCGACTGGCAGATGTCACCATGGTTTCATTTGTCACGCAAAATAAAACTATCATCTGCCCTCGGCTAAACTCTTCATTTCACCAGGTAAGGCCAACTGAGCTATATTCGCTCTTTTACAGAAACCGGACCTGGCTATCACAAATGATAGCTCAACGAAGTGGCTTAACATTTGGAAATGTATAGTAGCAGCATCCAAATACTCTGTTCTGAGCGGGGGGGGGGGGGGGGGCTGCAAGCCATCAAAGCCTCCACAACCTGCCCCCTCCCCAGGACCCTCCACAACCCTGGAGCTCAGCCTCCGGCTAAAATGAATCCCCAGGCATTGTGCACGAGGTATCGTTGACTAATGTCATTCGGAGTTTCAAGTGACTGTCGGGACACTGGGACTATTCGACAGAGCTTAAGACGGTCACGTGTTGGTAAAGTTCCAGCCTACTCCCTACGTGCCGTGGAGTCCAGCCAGGCCAACTGTTCGGGTTGATGTTTGAGTGAAGACGAAATTGATTGGTGAACATAGACACCAAAAAACGAGGGCAGTGTTTATACAACGTAACATATGGTAGCATACACGAACAAAAATGATTGTGGGCAAGAGGGAAGTTCAGCCAAATCCATTATTGCGCTGTACTTCTCTGCTCCCACATTCATGCTCCCCGCCTTCATCGCTTTGTATACCGACCAACATGGTGAAGAGCGTTTGTCTAAAGATCCACACGACCCACGTGGGGCGATAGAGCGTCACCCAGCGATGAACTGACATGATATTGTAAATTCCTGGGCAAAAGTGGTTGGATTGTAGTGAGTTGGCCGGCTTGTCCGCCTGTAACCAGTTCAGTGGCTGTCCAGTCATTTCGGTAATGTACGCACGGTATATACGGCGCGAAAGAAGTTCTGCATACATTCGTACTGTCCCCATGTGTACCGTAAAGTTTGTGCTCGGATGTTGTAAGACGAGACGAGGGGGGCGTCGTCGTCCACATGTGCAGGCTATTCTTGTGCATCACCTTCAACTAGTTATGGACATTTCTGAAAAATTGTAAAAGTACCGATAGGCGAAAGGATTCGCCACCCACGCAGGCAAATTGGATGGATCGCCGCGACCTGGATACTTCATATTCGACACTGAGCGAATGTAGCGGCCACTAGTGGCCGCAGGCGTTGCGTGAACCCTACGGCCCGTGACTTCGAGCAGAGATTAAAAATAACGGTCCCTGCTTTGTTGCAAGCATCCGTCGTCCAAAGCCAGCCGCTGCACTGGTCAACACTGCCTGTGCACAATCCGAAGGAAAAATATCTAAAAGTGATATCCAGTCTGCTTCAGAGCACACGTTAAGATCCGGTGGTGGCATTCCAAGAATGGTAGGCCATTGGGTGCCGGCGTCACGATGCAAATGTTTGCAAATATTTGTACATTTGCAAATGTCATGATTGGGCGGGGGGGGGAGCCACCTGGCAAACATTTCCCCCTCCTACAAAGCCACTGCAGCGGGCCCTGATGGTCTTTGAAGCGATGTGCACTGCACGGGACTGCACGAATACCAAATGCACCGCGAATATGATCCGACCTGTGCGCGAGTTGCATCGCGTGCGTGTCGCGAGCCGAAGGATGAATTGACGGCAGCGTCGAGTGAAAATTGCTTCCTTCTGCCATAGCCGTTGGAGTATGTTGGGGGCAGTTTTCGTCACTGCAGTGTGCGGACATGCCAAGAGGGTGCTCCGTTTGCCAGAGCATCGCCTGGTGAATCTTGAAGCGTGAATGCAAGTTAGGACGGGTTCAAGCGGGACGTAACGCCACTGACATAAACCACACGTATTGAACGTTTCGCTGCTAACATTAAGTGTAAGTGCTTCGTGCCAAGCTTTGCTGATGGGTCAAGACAGGTGCTATGCGATTTTAGCGCCGCGTTTCACGGAACCTGGATTAAGCTTTTGTTCGTGAAATTATTTTGCACGATTTAGTTTTTACGCGGAAACACACAAAGCCGACACAAACTCTACTCCATTACTTCTCCACTTTAAAGTCTCTCCCCTGGCACGCTTTCCCGCGCGTCCTCACGGACTACACAAGAGAGGGGCGGGAGAAAAATAAAGAGAGACAAAAGCATCGTTTGCATCTTAAGTCGGCATGGAAAGGTTAACAGTTGCAAAAAAAGTTGACTTCTAAAATTCAGGTACAAAAATATATATTAGACTTCACAACACTTTGCTACTTATGTGCTGCTCGAAAAAGTCTTCCCAGATGTTCCTCGTCCTTTTTTTTAAACCGTAGAGGATCCTTTGTGGAATTCAAACAAATTAAACATCCTCTGAGGGTTCAGAGAACTCCCTTGATAAGGTGTTATCGGAATATCAAGTGTCACCAGAGCTGTATAATACAAACGTGTTATGACATTATTGAATTTGGAATTATAAAATGCAAACATTGCACCCGATTGCAACAACAGTTGTGCGAGAGCCGTCGCAACTCCCCTGACGCTTGCTTGGATTATTTTCTTTGTGGGGTGGCACGGACTGCGAAAGCAGGCCAGCCATCCAATACACCTATCGTGCTGTGACGGTCCCACCTGAAGACGGAAGCTTGTGTTGCCTCCGAAACGTCGTGATTTTTATTTTATTTTACTTTTATTAATTTAAATTTTTAACCTATGTGACTTTACCGAAAAAACCTAAGAATATGAATAAGCCATCCAAGATGCTACTCCCTGGCAGCGACGCCTAAGACGTGAGGTGGCGAGTGATTATCTGAGCCAGGACTTCATCCATAGAGGCAGTGGATTGACAACACAGTTCTGTCAATTGTAAATGCGATTTAAGGTGTACAACCAAGCCTCGAGTCATGGCAGTTTCCGTGTTAAATTCCACACAGGATCGCGTCATACTTTTATACAGCATCTACAAAACGGTTATTATTTCAAGGACGGATATTTTGTTAAAAATATTTTAGTTTTTTTACCAGCAAAAAAAAAACATTACCAACAAGTACCTTCCAGGCGCTTTAAATGTCGTTCTATTTAATCCAAACACTTAAAAGGTTCAGTGGCTTTAAAATCTGGAGAGGTTCAACAATTTTCCCCGTGACAAACCCCGGGACTTCACTGCCCAAGTTGTTCACGTTTTCAAGTGTGGAGTCCTTTAGCGTTCTACGTTACTCCACGTGTCGCTACTCAAAGATAATTTTTTAAATACTCTCGCATGATTAGAACTGTCATCGTGACTGCTAGCTGACATCTGTTTTCAATAACAGTAGCAATATTTGTAATACTTATAATATTCATGAGTTCTGATTACTTTATATAAAAAAACACATTCAACACGTTTGTCAAAAACACTGTGGCCTTAAAAACGTTTAGTTTGCTGTATTTTTGTTGGTTGCTTTTATTATTTTCAATGTATATTTATTTTACATTTTTTTTGTTGGTTTTCTGCTTTTATTATTTTCAATGTATTTTTATTATTTTAATTTTACATTTTTTATTTTTATTTTATTTTTCTATCGACGTGACTTTACCAAAAAAATCAAGAATGTCCTTCCCCCGATTGAGCACGGTTGGCTACGTGCAAAAGAGGTTGAGCGTGCATACAAAAGGAAATGTATGTAAGAGGTGGCGTGTGAGGACAAAGGGTCTTAATAGCTATCACAGACGTTGATGATCTTAATAGCACATTCATCATCACATGTGTGCTGTGAAGCAGGGCCATTGTCTAAAACGTTGCTCAGCATATATTGTTGTCCTTTTCACGGCCGCAGTGTTATTTGTTAAAAGCCATTTTACTTGTGCACCACTGCCCATGCAGTGTCACCAAACCAATTTGCTTAATTACTCCACACCTCTGGCGTGATATCTGCTAAAACACACTTACAGTTTAAGTCTCTTCCCCTCCCTTGTTTTTAAATAATGACATTTTTTCAAACGACAAATCTGGTCAATGCTGCTTAAACGATACCGAACAAGAACACCATTCAAACGTCTTCTTGTCACGAGGCGGGAGGAGGACACAGTGAGACGGGGACCTCCGGGGTGGGTGGGTAACGGGGTTATTGCGGATGGGTCCCTAGACTCGCAGGGGACACGCTACCCACGGCGGCGGTGGTGATGGTGGTGGTGGTGTCAACGGGCCGGCACGCCGGACTCGCACTCCAGAGGGGTCACCGGTTCACATCTCCCAGCGAGTGGTGGCAGTTGAAATGATGGGGGGGGGGTTGGGCAAGTTTCTCACCCTCCCCACACCCTCACCCCCCACACCCTCACCCCCCCACACCCTCACCCCCCCCACACCCTCACCCCCCCACACCTGGAATGCCGAGCCGATTGGTCGGTCAACATATCGCATGAAGTGGGGAAGGGTGACTTGTGGGTAAGTACACCCGGTATAAAAGATGTTTGGCCAGTGTTATAAGAGGTGGCCAAAATCCCCTCGCAGGGCCCTTCCTTGGCAGAGAGGGCCCTCCCCTGCCAGCAGGTGGTGCGTGCAAGGATATTGCAGGGCTGGTGCAAATCTATCCCCACCTCGATTTTACAGCGAGCAAAAGAGATCGCGTCTGCAGTGGCATCTGAAACCCTCGTAGCCCAGAAAAAAAAGATCCTGGTGGAGGAGAAAAATATCCTCCATCCTCCAGTAATTTCAAGACTTGTTGTAGGACTCCTACGTGTCGGATAATACACGTGCTTGCTTACAGAATTCCACTTAAGATTTGTACAAAAAAAATACTGCAAACTTTTGAGGAGGAACGGATTCTAACGGGTTGCCAGAAAGGGGGTGGGGGGGATAAACAATGAAATCCTATCATGGGTTGGAGGTCGACCCAGCCCACCCTACCACCAGGGTTGACAAAAGAAGTACCGCTTTGTGTGGAAATGAACGGCGATCGTCGTGTGAGTCTCGCCCAGCAGTTTGGAGGCTGGAGGCGAGGCCTCCCACGGGGGCACCGAGTGGCATCCCCACGGGGACCGCGGTGGCGACGGTGGTCACGTGGGGTGTGGTCACGTGGGGTGTGGTCACGTGGGAGTTGCAAAAGCTGTGTTGCTCTAACCTCTGGCCACGAGCAATTCCTGCAGTTGTGCTCGTAGGTTGTGCGGCATTTGAATTCCATGTGCAGCGACCGACGCGGTACAGTCTGGGGTGAGCCCAAGCGGCACGGATAGATGGGAGGAGGGGGGGGGGGGGGTGTGAGCTCGACAAGCAATGTCGGTTTCTACACAAGGGCAACGGAAGCGAGAGCGGTGGGAGGACTGGAGCTGGGGGTGCGGGTGTTGAGGATAAAAGGGGGCACAGGGAAAGGGAGGCGCGGTCCGTGAGACGCGGATGGGGAGAGGGAGATGCAGCATCGAACGCCCAGGGCGTGCAGTGACGACTCTGCATGTCCGCGCTGGGTGAATAGTCGCATCCTGAACATATGTGCCACTGAATAGTGCCATCATACAGGACAGTGCTGTCTGTGACCATTGAGACCTAATGTCTGAAGACGCCTACCCCCTTGCAGAGGTGCTGTAGCGTACACGCTGGCGCTGTGTTCATTTGAATTGTTGGATATGGCTACTCTCGAAGAGGGCTGTGGAGCCGGCATTGTTTCAGTGGTCGCTTGTTGGGACCAGTTCAAGGTTAATGGACTTTGAGATGCTCTGGGTCGCTACACGTGCAACTGATAAATGGAGGGGGGGGGGTAAATGTGGCTTGTAAAGTCTAGAACCTACATGGTGGCAGGAAGCAAGCGGACAGTTGAGATGGGGCTGGAAAGGGGAATGCGACGAGCAATAGGTTGGGAACCACTGGCCCAGCCTCTGCCACAGTGGTAATGTGGAATTTCCATACCTGGCTCTCAAAGCCACGGAGAGATAAAACGCTGCTTCACAATCCTCATTTGAGCAGGGGGGAGACACTTTAACTTTTTCGACAAAACGTAATAAACGTTCAACTACCAATTTGACTCGACAGAAAACCCTGTTTTTTAAATTTTCCGCTTAAAAGAGACATCTTACCCTCGAGCGAGGGATCAGAGTTGATGTAAAAGGCTACCGTGTTAAACTAAAATATAGGGGCCAAAACTCCCTGCAGCAGACCTCTGAATCCACACGGCAGGAGCAGCGGCAGCAGCTGCAGCAGCAGCCGCCCTCCTTGTCCCACGTTTGCTGTCAAGGACCCGGATGGGATGTGGCCACGGTGCTTGGTGCAGGGAGGTAGAGGTGGAGCAGGTGGGGCGGGGGGCGGACAACTAGTGGCCCCCTACAGAGCCACCAGCCTCCGGGGAAACCCAGTTGTTGATGAGGAGTCCCAAGCTCATCACCATGAACGCCACACCCAGAAGCCCAAAGATCGCCGCCTGGGGACAGTCCAAGAGAGATTGATTGTAGCTAATACAGCGCGATACATTTAGGCTTAAGAGTGAGACAAAATAAACAACGCAAACAGAAACACGTGGTGCGTGTGCCCATGTATATGGACAGGCGTGGAGGTGTATGCACACGTGTGGGGATTGGTGGTGCAGTGATTGGGTCGCTGTGCTACAAAACCAGTGATCGAAGTTCAATTCCCACCCACAACAGTAGCAAATATTTGAACTGGTCCTGCCCCCCCCCCCCCCCCACGTCGACTCAGCCTTAAACAAGTACAGAGAGTCCTTGATTTACGAACACCCGTACTTACGAACCAGAGGTTTAGTTAATTGGGAAAAACCACGTAGCAACATAGCGATTTGATTCAAGGCTGGTGCTGTGTGTACGCCTTGTCCACAATGGTGGAGGTGGGATCACCCTCGGGATGATTGCCACTGACTGTGGTCCCCTTCCTCGAACCTCTTTGTTCAGTGGCAAGCCGTTGCGAAACAATGGCCGGGGGGAAGCAGATATCCCAGAGCTACTTCTGACATCCCTTCAAGTGACCTCTGGTACACACGGTAGGGGGCAGCGCTGCCTCCCTCTCCCTGCCACCGAGAGTAATGTTTGTTGTATGGCAGTCAAACTGATGGAGTATTTGGTGTTGCCGCATTTGCATTGGCGCAAAACTCAACACACGTGCCAATAGCGCTGCCTTTCTAAAGTGTACCATAGGCCACGTGTGTTTCATGAAGTAGGCCCATTGCCCGTAACCTCGCCTATTTATACATATTGTTTCCCTTTTTAGGGACGTGTTATTGACGCACGTGATATTTTTAAAGTGCAGAACCAAATAAAAAGTAACGTTTTTTTTTCTCCCCTGCAAGTCGTTGGTGACTGGGCTGACACCATCAATTCCACCCGAGAAGCCGGTGTCATCGTGGGGTGGCTGAAACCTGGATCCAAACCCAGCGGTGACACCTCCACATTCTGCCGCTGCTCACCCCGATTTTCTGCGGTGACCTCATGGGTTCCTTGTCTTCGGGCACGTTGCGGATGTAGAAGATGGCCGGGAAAATGAAGATGAGACAAGGAGCGGAAGTGGAGCCTGGGGTGGAGGAGGCACAGACGGCGGTTGATGGATCATCGGCTCGCACCCATTTCGTTTCAGTGCGCATCATCATTCATGTAACCATCTCCTGTTAACGGCCCTGGGCCAGAGGTGGAAATTACACCTTCCTATGGCAGGGGCCAGTATATCCATAACTTCCCCACAAAGTTATACACGTTTAATTTACTCCGGAGGAAGGATGGGCCGTGTTATTGCCCCAACCACTTGTCCCCCACCATAGAAATATTCCACCACCGGCTCAGGGCTGTTAACAGGTGAATGAGTGGCGGGCGAGTGGCGGGCGAGTGGTGGGCGAGTGGCGGGCGAGTGGCAGGTGAGTGGCGGGTGAGTGGCGGGTGAGTGGTGGGCGAGTGGCGGGCGAGTGGTGGGCGAGTGGCGGGCGAGTGGTGGGCGAGTGGCGGGCGAGTGGCAGGTGAGTGGCGGGCGAGTGGCAGGTGAGTGGCGGGCGAGTGGCGGGCGAGTGGTGGGCGAGTGGCGGGCGAGTGGCGGGTGCGTGGCGGGTGAGTGGCGGGTGAGTGGGCCTGCGGGTGAGTGGGCACGTGAGCGGCGGGTCGGTGCGTTAGTGAGTGAGTGGCGAGTGGGTGTCTGTGTGTGTGTGTGTGAGTAGCAAGTGGGTGAGTGAGTGGCGGGTGGGTGTCTGGGTGTATGTGAGTGGCGAGTGGGTGTCTGTGTGTGTGTGTGAGTAGCAAGTGGGTGAGTGAGTGGCGAGTGGGTGTCTGGGTGTGTGTGAGTGGCGAGTGGGTGTCTGGGTGTGTGTGAGTGGCGGGTGGGTGAGTGAGTGGCGGGTGGGTGTCTGGGTGTGTGTGAGTGGCGAGTGGGTGTCTGGGTGTGAGTGGCGAGTGGATGTCTGGTTATGTGTGAGTGGCGAGTGGGTGTCTGGGTGTGAGTGGCGAGTGGGTGTCTGGGTGTGTGTGAGTGGCGAGTGGGTGTCTGGGTGTGTGTGAGCGGCGAGTGGGTGTCTGGGTGTGTGTGAATGGCGAGTGGGTGTCTGGGTGTGTGTGAGTAGCGAGTGGGTGTCTGGGTGTGTGTGAGTGGCGAGTGGGTGTCTGGGTGTGTGTGAGTGGCGAGTGGGTGTCTGGGTGTGTGTGAGTGGCGAGTGGGTGTCTGGGTGTGTGTGAGTGGCGAGTGGGTGTCTGGTTGTGTGTGAGCGGCGAGTGGGTGTCTGGGTGTGTGTGAGTGGCGAGTGGGTGTCTGGGTGTGTGTGAGCGGCGAGTGGGTGTCTGGGTGTGTGTGAATGGCGAGTGGGTGTCTGGGTGTGTGTGAGTAGCGAGTGGGTGTCTGGGTGTGTGTGAGTGGCGAGTGGGTGTCTGGGTGTGTGTGAGTGGCGAGTGGGTGTCTGGGTGTGTGTGAGTGGCGAGTGGGTGTCTGGGTGTGTGTGAGCGGTGAGTGGGTGTCTGGGTGTGTGTGAGTGGGTGTCTGGGTGTGTGTGAGTGGCGAGTGGGTGTCTGGGTGTGTGTGAGTGGTGAGTGGGTGTCTGGGTGTGTGTGAGTGGCGAGTGGGTGTCTGGGTGTGTGTGAGCGGCGAGTGGGTGTCTGGGTGTGTGTGAGTGGCGAGTGGGTGTCTGGGTGTGTGTGAGCGGCGAGTGGGTGTCTGGGTGTGTGTGAATGGCGAGTGGGTGTCTGGGTGTGTGTGAGTAGCGAGTGGGTGTCTGGGTGTGTGTGAGTGGCGAGTGGGTGTCTGGGTGTGTGTGAGTGGCGAGTGGGTGTCTGGGTGTGTGTGAGTGGCGAGTGGGTGTCTGGGTGTGTGTGAGCGGCGAGTGGGTGTCTGGGTGTGTATGAGTGGCGAGTGGGTGTCTGGGTGTGTGTGAGCGGCGAGTGGGTGTCTGGGTGTGTGTGAGTGGCGAGTGGGTGTCTGGGTGTGTGTGTGTGTGGCAAGTGGGTGTCTGGGTGTGTGTGAGTGGCGAGTGGGTGTCTGGGTGTGTGTGAGTGGCGAGTGGGTGTCTGGGTGTGTGTGAGTGACGAGTGGGTGTCTGGGTGTGTGTGAGTAGCGAGTGGGTGTCTGGGTGTGTGTGAGTGGCGAGTGGGTGTCTGGGTGTGTGTGAGTGGCGAGTGGGTGTCTGGGTGTGTGTGAGTGGCGAGTGGGGGTCTGGGTGTGTGTGAGTGGCGAGTGGGTGTCTGGGTGTGTGTGAGTAGCGAGTGGGTGTCTGGGTGTGTGTGAGTGGCGAGTGGGTGTCTGGGTGTGTGTGAGTGGCGAGTGGGTGTCTGGGTGTGTGTGAGTGGCGAGTGGGTGTCTGGGTGTGTGTGAGTGGCGAGTGGGTATCTGGGTGTGTGTGAGTGGCGAGTGGGTGTCTGGGTGTGTGTGAGTGGCGAGTGGGTGTCTGGGTGTGTGTGAGCGGCGAGTGGGTGTCTGGGTGTGTGTGAACGGCGAGTGGGTGTCTGGGTGTGTGTGAGTGGCGAGTGGGCATGCGACCGAGTGGCGGGTGGGCGAGTGAGTGAGTGGCTGGTGGCGGTACCCACCTATGAATCCGAAGATGTCGCGGATGTTGGGCACGGTGATGACGAGGGTGACGATGACCGAGAGAAGCACCACGGCGATGAGGACGTGACGCACCCAGCTGAACGGCTTTCCCGGGAACAGCATCTCCAGGATGGCCTTGCGCACCTGGAACAACGGCACAGGCACACGCGTGTGCTTGCCATGCCTGTTCGAAATGTTTAGCATACTTCCCAACATGCTACAAACTTGAAATTTGGCATGTGGGCAGTTTCCAGACTGTACACAATGCAAAAAGTATAAAAATAGACTTTTGTATTTTGGAGGGGGGGGGGCGCAATAATGCATATAATATATTGCACGGCAAGTGAGCGGTGACGTCAGATTTGTGATGTCACCCGCATGCGGCAGCGTCACGCAGTGCGCCTGCTGACGTCACGCATCCCACCCACCCACCCTCCGCGTAGGCCGTGTTCTAATCCAAGACAAGAATCCAAGTCCAGGGGTGAAGCCGGGTAGTAAAGCTAGTACATTAATACAGCGTGTTACATTTAGGCTTATGGACGAGACAAAATAAACAACGCAAACAGATACATGTGGTGCATGTGTGCCCATGTATATGGACAGGCGTGAAGGTGTATGCACACGTGTGGGGGGAGTGGTGGTGCAGCGATTGGCTCGCTGTGCTACGAAACCAGTGATCAAAGTTTAATTCCCACCCACAACAGTGGCAAATATTTGAACTGGTCCTGCACCCCCCCCCCCCAGGTCGACTCAACCTTCAACAAGCACAGGGAGTCCTCGAATTACGAACACCCGTACTTACGAACCCGCTTCCACGTGCGAGAGCGAGCGTAGTACCGGGAAGTGCACGATGGGCACGGTGAGCGTGACGGCGATGAGCACTGCGAGGCGCACGCACAGGATCAGCTGGTCCTCCTTCTTGTAGCGGTGCAGCAGCTCGTCCTCAACCGTCTCTGTGGGCGGGGGGGGGGGGGGGGTCACGGGAACTTCCATCACACGCTACACATGGGTGGTAGTGCTGGTGGTGGTGGTGGGAGGCGCTCACAATCCGCTATCAACGGCTCCCGTTACTCGACCTGTTGCTGCACGTTACGGATGGTTTCTTGAAGTTTAATCCGGGCCGGCGGGGGTACGGTAACGATATTTCGTCAATACACACAAGCTTTACAGTACAGGTGTCCAATAATCGCGTGCTCGAGTCGGTGCCGTGTGCTCTACGTTATGGGTTCAAGCGAGGTCAAGCCACCCCCTATGACTGACGTGATGCGAGGAGGCATTTAACTCAGCAGTGGATTGGCAAAGGGGGGCTATGATCTTCCTTGTGTGATAATGCGTTCAGTTAACAACTCACAGCCGCTAGAGGCCGCTACATCCACCACAAGGTAAACAGAAAACTGAACCTAGACAATCCATCAAACCGCCACGCCGGTGGAGACTGTTTATTGCGATGATTATTATTAAAGAGCATCTTCGATCAAGCCACCGCTGACGGCCTACCTGGAGACGTCGCCATTTCTGGCGATGAATCGTTCCCATGGTCTACAAAGCGGCAACCGTGGTGTACCGTAGTATACGTGGTGCACGTGGTGTACGTGGTGTATGTGGTGTACGTGGTGTACCGTAGTATACGTGGTGCACGTGGTGTACGTGGTGTACCTGGTGTACGTGGTGCACGTGGTGCACGTGGTGCACGTGGCGCACGTGGCGCACGTGGCGCACGTGGCGCACGTGGCGCACGTGGCGCACGTGGCGCACGTGGCGCACGTGGCGCACGTGGCGCACGTGGTGTACGTGGTGTACGTGGTGTATCCTGGTGTACCCTGGTCTACCGTGGTGTACCGTGGTGTACCGTGGTGTACCGTGGTGGCGACGCAGCCGTCCCACGGGCGCGGGTACTCACGGTAGAAGGTGAGGTAGCCGAAGATGGCCGTCAGCAGGTACATGATGAACATGGTGAACACCGACAGGTTGGCCACCTTCTGCATGCGGCGACGAGTGGGCCTGGGGAGACATCCCAGCGGTCAGCATTGCCCGGCCGGCAAACGGCGTTGCTTCCGGGAGCGAGCTCGGCTAACGAGAGACGATTTGATTCTGCACTGGCAGCGGTGAGCGAGTGACAACTCGCTCGCCACGTGTTATTAAGAGACTCCACAACATCTCCCGTGACCCGGTAGGTCACGGGAGAGGCCCGGAGAACCACGGGGTTGGACAATACAGACTTGCTGCCCGCTACTAAACCGAGTTCTCAGGCCAATTATGGTCTCAGCCTGGTTGCCAGTGAAAATTGTTCAATTACGTAGCATAGTGAGCGTGAGAATCTATTTCACAGTCCTGTACTTGATGATTTGCTGCCAAGTCAAACACCGCCGTGTAAAACTCATTCCAGGAGGGGGCGCTGTTGCATTACAAACCGCATTTAAGCCACGTGGCAAAAAAGTGGGTGTCCATGCATGACAACGATAACCAAAATACAGTGTATATATAACGGCAACCTTTAAAACTACAATTCCCAATGGACAATAAGGAGTTGACCATGAGTATAAGAGCTCGCTATTGTAGTAAAGTCGTTTATGAGTGGTGGTGGTGGTAGTGGTGGTCAGGTGCTTAGGCACTTGAGTAACAAACAGCGATCCAAGTAAAATTCTCTGCCGGGGGGGCCCAACGTCAATGGCACCGGACATCTGGACCGGGCCTGCATGGCTGCCCCCTTCACCACCGTGCTACCAGTCAGCGTGGTGGCCCATCTCACACAACCACCCAAAACCTCCAACGACAATTTGTGGTTCCCTTGACACAGCGGCGAACAATGTCTCAACAGCGCGACAGGAGGAGCCCCCTTTGTTTCGCTTTTCAAAAGTGAGAATATGACGAGTCACTGCGTAGCATGCACGTGCAATGAATGACCACGTTAATGGCAGCAGACTGACTGTCACAAAAACGTAAGCAAAGGATTTTATGCAACGGGCTAGAAGGTTTGGTGGCCGGCGGTGAACACGAAGGGATTCCAAGGGAGGGACAGCATCCACCGCAGAGAGGATTACCTCGTGTGCAGGGTGGATCGTGATATCGCGACACTTTGAGTGATGGCGATGGACCCGGGGAGGCCTTCATCCAGCAGGGAATGTATCACGGCTTGCGTTATTTTATTATTTTTATTCACCTTGGCTCTACCGGGGTTTTGCAGTAGGGGTGGCAATGTTGCGAGGCGTTATGTCCATAGGGTAAGTTGTTGGTAATTTTATTTGTAAGCATTTGGGTGTTTGGCCAATACCGCCAGGTGCAGCAATTCGTTTTTGTAGCTATGGGAGAACCCAGAAGTAACCCATTGCGGAACAATGATTATAATGAGAACGGTGTTGATGTCTTGGTGTCGGTGTGTCCGTGTGTGTGTAAGGGAAGTGGAAGTGTAGCGGTTAGCGCGTGTGCTCTACAAACCCGGCGACCCGGGATCAATTCCCGCTCACAGACAACACCAGTGACGATTATCTGAACCGGTCCTGGGCCTCCCCTAGGTCGACTCAGCCTCAATTGAGTACCTGGTGTAGACAAAGGCGGCCGGGCGTGGTGCTGGCCACCCACCCCCTCGTGTGCCGTGCCTGCCTTCAGCACTTGCCCCAACAGTCTGTTCAGGCTATACGGGGGATCTTTGTGCGTGTGTCCGCGTGTGTCCGCGTGTGCCCGTGTCGCAACTTACTTTTGCAGTTCCGTGTATATGGGCAGCACCTCTGGGTGGCAGACGAACGCGAAGGCCAGGATGGGCACGGTGTAGGCCGTCTGCGACAAAAACACAAAGATGGGCCCCCACCCCTCCCACGTTTAGCTTCAGGTACGGCAGCGGCGGCGGCGAGCATCGTCGTCGTCGTTGTACATCTACGGCCGTTTGCCAATCCACTGCCGGACGAGGGCCTCCCCGCGTGATGCCGGTTTGGGTTTTATTGACGATACGTCGGTCGCCATGGCGGTCGGCGCGTGTTGGCGGGGGCGTAAGGAGAGCAGCGGAAGGCTCGGGACCATAGACGCGCACGAGCGCCGGTGCAGCACGGGCCCCGCGGCCTACAGCGCCTGTTACGCACGGCGGTCGCCCATCCGAGCGCTGTCCGGGCTCAACCGCGCTTAGCTTCTCAGGTCCTAGGGGTCAAATCGGGGCGCCACCGCGGGTGATGTGGTCCACGTGGGTGGCTTCATTGTGTGTTTGTACATTTCACGTTCTGGGTGAGACCACCGCCCTCCCCTCCCGCCCCCCCACATCGCCGGCGGCTCTCGGGAACGACTCCCGTGACACCCCCCCCCCTCCGCGCGCCACGTAACGAACGGCGCCACTGAACGCCGCCGGCGCTCCAGTAGGCCCGTTCCGAATCACGGAAACAAGTTCCCCCCACCACCCCCCCCAAGTCAAACCCTGACACCGTTACCCCCCCCTGCCCCCCCCCTTCTCCCCCGCGAGAGCCGACGGACAACACTCGGGACGCGCGACCCTCGACATTCCACGTCGTAGGCAGCAGCGGCACCACCGCGATGGTTCTCGTTAACGCGCGAGGTCTCCCCCCCGCACCCCCCTCCCTCCCGCCCCTCCCTCCCGCGACCCCCGCTGCTCTCCAGTCGCATCTCAATTCATCGTCGCCACGGCGGCACCACCGACGGGACTTAACGTCCCCCCGCAGCGATTCAGCCAAAAAGGGGGGCACCCCCCTCTGCCTGGGCCCGCGCGTGATGCTGGCACACGACGGTCGACGTGCGCCCGCGGTGCCACTCACGGCGTTCACGCAGCCCCTGCGGGGTTCACCGGGGTGGCCGCCGGGCTCGGATAGGGAGCGTCTGCAACGAGGGGGCGAAGGCGCCCCCTGCTGCTGGGGGCGGCCGCGGTGAGCCTGGACAGTGGCTGCACCGCCGTGCATAGCAGGTGCTACAGGCTGCCACTACTACGGGGGGGGGTCTACTTTGTCAGCAGAGGGCAGTGCGGAAACATCCGTTGTCGTACTGCACTACGCTCCCCCGTCCATGGCTCCCCAACGTCTCTAACCAACCTGCGCTGTCCAACGTGGTGAAGCGCTGTCAAATAACCCCAGCGTGACCCCGGCGCGACCCCCGCCACGACCCCCGCGACGACCCCCCGCGGGAGAGAATGTGGGGGGGAGGCCCCTCGTCCAGCAGCGGATTGGCAGAGAGGGCCGCACACGCCCCCCCCCGAGCGCAAGCATCGATTTTAAAATCAATGTCACGTGACCCACTAAACAGACGACCGGCCCCTACTCCCTGCAGTTATTGTGCACTTTAAAACAAGTGGTTATTGTCTTAAAAAAAAAAACTGCAAACTTCCGGACTCCCAACGCCCCCTAACTCTCCACCAATCACACACCTTGCCCTCGACACACACCCACACACCTGCCCCCCCTCTCCACCCCCCTAAAACACACGTGTGCCTTCGCAAAGACAAAGATCCTCCGGATAGCCTTAACGGACTCTTGGGGCAAGTGCTGTTACTGAGCACCTGTGAAGGCACACCAGGGGCGTGGGCGGCCAGCACCACGGCCGGCCGCCTTTGTCTCCCCAATGGCTGAGTCGACCTAGGGGAGGCCCAGGACCTATTCAGATAATCGTCACGGAGGGGGAATCGAACTCGGGTCACCAGGTTCATAGTGGAGCGTGCTAACCGCTACACTACCGCTCTCAACACACACACCTTCTTCATGTGCTATGAAGAAGGCCCATTGCTTGAAAAGTTTCCTATCACATATATACTATAGAAAAACATTGGCCCTTTTTCACAGCACAAAGAGGCCAGAGTGGATTTGATAAGAACTAAATTGTAATGGATGTTTCCTGCACAACAGTTTTGTTCTTGTAACACAACTCACTTGGTGACACACTGCAGGGTTTAATCTCGCGAGTTTGGTCAATTAGTGTGGCTTCACGCCGCTCTCCCCCTCTCTCTATCCACGTACACTTTGCCCGCCGTTCGGCGGTCGTGTCTGAGTTGCCAATGGGAAATGAGGGTCAACAGCTCCGCACGCAGGGTCAGTAGTCGCCCCCCCCCACACACCTAACGGGCTCTTCATGACCGCCACCACCGCCGCCTTTACGCGTGCGGTACCCACGGCGTCCGCCCGGTACCCGCGGCATTCGTGACGCACGGCGGCGACGAACGCCGTAGCTTCGTCGCCAATAGCCGACGAACAACACCGCCGCTGAAAGAGAGGGACGCCCTTGGTAAGAGAAACTTGGCCGCGCGATGAGCACACGCCGGCCTGTGGCGCACACCGGACCGGGCCGGCGCGCCCAAAACCACCTGACTCAACGTGGCACCAGCGGTCCGCTCTTCGACGGGGGTGCCACGGCGCGCACCACTCGCCGGTGAACGCCGAGTCTTGAGGTCACACGGTATACGCGCGGCAATGAACGGCGTGTGCGCACGCGAGTCAAAAAAAAAACTTCCTACGATTCGCAGGCTGCGTGCCGGGCTATGCAGTGGGCAGCAGCGCAGACAAATCCATTATTGTGCTGCGCTGCCAGGGCTATATATACTCCCAGCTTTCCCCAACACGCGGTGGCCGCCACGATCCACACTGCATGGCGAGGCCTTCATCCAGCAGTGGATTGACAAGAGGTAAAATTGTAAAATACAATTGTGAAGATGATGGCTTAACCAAGTAGCTCTTGGCAGCAGACATTACGGCTCGCAAATTGATTTTGGGTCACTGGCTCACTTGGTACTATGAAGACTCCGCACCACCCAACAGAGCCAAAGCAATCGCGCGGTGCACACGCACTCAACTACGCATGCCAATCACAGTGGTTTAGTTTGTTGTCCTTCCACCGCACCTCCGATTAGCACGGTTGGCTATGTACGGTGCGAAAGAAGTTCAACACGTACATTACAAACGGAAGAACATATTCTCACAGAGCCAGTTTAGCAACGGCACAATTTCGGCCAAATCATTGCGTGGCCTAACCCAATGATTAATTACGAGTGATGATCACGACGACGACGAAGCAGAACAACGAGTCTACTCATTCTTGATTTGAAGCTTTCGTGACTCTTTGGTTCTTTCGGAAAAGTCACGTAGGTATAAAATAAAAATAATCACGGCATTTCGGGCGCAACACAAGCGTCCATCATCAGGTCTACTCATGTTCATGCCGGAGTGACGTAGACATTGCGCGCGGAACCACTCGGCACACGGTCGGCACCGCCGCTCCGCGCGTGTGTCCGCTCTGTGGCGGTGTCCCACGGTCGCACCTTGGCGTTGATGGTGACGTACTTCGCCACACACTGCTCGCTCCCAGCGTCGGGCGACGACGGCGGTGGCGTCATCAGCGGCACCGCCTGAGTGACGTTCCAGGAGGTCGTCTCGTTGAGGTACGACATGAGATTTTCCTCAACCTCCGGGCAGGCGATCTGGAACTTCTTGTAAATCACCTGCGCGTGTAGTAGTAAGAAAATCAAAGGTCAGGACAGCGTTTACTCCGAACCGTGCTCAACGATGAACGGAGTGCAATCCCCACTCTTGTCTCCCCACCTTATATCTCATGTTTTATGACTCGCAGATGGCAGTGAGGTGGTGGTTGCAGAGCTGTTGGCTACGTGCAAACTGTCGGCCCGCTCTCCAGGTGAAGATCATGCCCTCTGAAGAAAGAAATTTAAATTTTGGAAAGGGGGACACGTTTCCCCAAGATTCGTGGCGTATTCCTCATCCTTGTTTTTACTTTTGGTTCTCTGAATGATGGACAAACATTTTTCATTAAATCGGTCATAAGATCCATATAGTAGGATGGCGACGATGTCTTTGGGTTATCTATTTTGGTCACGCTGTTGCAGTTTTGATGACGATGACGATGGTGGTGACGACGATGCAACTGTGAACAACAGTTAGAGTGATGATGATGATGATAAATAAATAAACGCACTAACAATGTATCAATGGAGAGGGAAGCTGAAACTGGCACACAATTTAAATGCGTCCGTTCTGCTCGTCGCGCGACGCTCGTTGCTAAATCGTAACGACGGCGCTTCTTGAAAACAACGGGGCGAGCAGGACATTTATTGAATTAATTAAGTACACCACGACACACGCTTAACGTCGCTCGTTGAAGCACACGGGGGGTCAGGGGCGACCGCGGCGCGCCGTGACCCGGCCGCTGCACGTATTCGTCCAGACATTTAATTCCTCGTTAATGAGCCCCAGCGGTGACCGCTATTGCCGCTGGGAGGGCTCCACTGTTTTGGACCGTAGGTATTTGTTCCACTGGAAGGAAACATGGGTGGGTAATTCGTCGTTAGTTTAACCATGCAAGTGGGTTTTTATTCTTTACTTTGGCACAGTTTGTCAACCAATTTGGACTGTGAATCAGACAGGAACAATTAGTCCACCTTCCTCGGGAAGGGATAGATAATATTCTTTGGGTCTTTCGGTAAAGTCACGTAGATAGGTTGAAAGAAAATAACGTTTCGATCACAACACAAGCGATCGTCATCAGGACAAAAAAAGTAAAGCTGATGAGGCAGACTGTTTAAAAGGTTTAGAATGGGTGTCGCCCAAGGGTCATAAACAAAGTGGGCAGGGCTAGTGATGTTAACGTGAGACATGAGCGTGTCAATGTAAGATCGGAGGACGACGTCCACGACGGAAGGCGCGGAGGTGGCTGTGTTGACGTGAGAAGTTTTACCTGTTAACGTAAAACCAGAGAGCCGAAAATAACAACTAACATCGGAAGGTGGCAGGGTGGAAACATCACAGCCAGTTATGACTTAAACTGGTTGATAACGTCCTTCCAATGATTGCTCAGCTTGTACCCATCTTCTCGGTTGAAATTGTGTCTGTGTCTATAAATATGGATGGCTTCATGAAGGAATCTTTGTTGATAGCCAGTGGGTTTGCAAAGTACCATCGTCTTAGAGAAATCAATTTCGTGTGAGCCCACCGCATTAAAACAATGATCAGCAACGGCAGAGGTATTGGTCCTACCGTGGTTCAGATCTCGCTTATGTTCACGAACACGGTCCGAGACATGTCGCTTAGTTTCCCCAATTGTAACTACTGCCGCAGACACAGCTTAGTTTGTAGACGCCAGGGTATTGAATATCAGGGATCACATCCTTCACAGACGGAATCAGATCACAAATTGTATGTACTGTGTTCAATCGAACCTGGATCTTTAGTTTGCTCATGATTTTGGAAATCTTTGCGGTGACCCCTGCTATGTATGGCAAGGTGATGATTTTGATTGGGTCCTCAGATGGTTCTTTCCCAACGGTTGGGGTGATAGCTTTACGGATTGTGTAGTCTGAATATCCATTCAGCTTGGTGTACGTGTTCCAGTTCACTGGCTAGGTGATGACGGTGGGAAATACATCGAGCTCTGTGGTGTAGAGTTTTGATGAGGGAATTCTTCTGGGATGGATGGTGGTGGGAGTCAGGTTTTAGGGAGGCATCCGTATGGGTGGCTTTCCTGTAGACAGTGTCCCACTGAGCCATCAGGTCTCTTTTCGATTAAAACATCCAGCAATGGTAGCTTGCCATCTTTTTCCACTTCCATGGTGAATTTGATGGCTGGGTGTAGTTGAGGAATTGGTTCAGAGCTGGTAGGCCATGTGGCCAGATGACGAACGTGTCATCTATGTACCTCTTCCACAAGGACGGACGTAGAGTGGATGCCTGGATGGCATCTGTCTCGAATTTTTCCATTAAAACATTGGCTACAACTGGAGATAAGGGAGAACCCATTGGGGTGCCTTCAACTTGTTTGTAGAATGTACCATTCCAGGTGAAGTAAGTGTTGGTGAGGCAGTGTCTCACCAGGGCCGGTACATCAGCATTCAGTCCTTGTTGGACAAAATCTTCAATGATTGCGACGGTGTCAGGCACAGTAACTTTGGTAAACAAAGAGACCACATCGAAACTAACGAGCAGATCACCTGGAGATAGTGAGATGTCCTTAATGAACGATACCAAGTGAGCTGAGTTAAGTACAGCTGAGGTGGTCTTACCAGTGAATGGTTGTAAGGTCTCAGACAGAAATCGGGCCAGTTTGTAGGTGGGTGAGTCAATTGTTATCGTAAGGCAAATTAGAAACTCTGCCCGTGATGTGGCCTACTTTGCAGAGCTGCCCCATCACCGCTGCCCATAGAGGGACAGAGCTGCCCCTGCTCAGCCTACAGACTTTCCCCGCACGAGCTGGAGTCCCACAACCGCGTCCCAGCGGGGCCGGGCGTCACTCACCACGATGAGAAAGAAGACCATGCACATGAGCGAGAATCCACTGGTGTACCCGAGGTAGCCTGCACGGCAGAGAAACACGACATTCAAACTCTGTCGTCAAACCTAAACAAAAGAAAAATCTGTCCAAGTCGTCAGTCGCAACGAGGAGCAATGGACATGCATAACGTGAAGGCACAACAGGGCAAATGAAAAGAGAAACGTCATGATTTGATGGAAACCCGCGTGTGGCACGGCTTGTCCTGTGATATCCTGTAAAATATAACAAAACTAATATTCCTGGTTCTTTCGGTAAAGCCACGTAGACAGAAAATAAAAATAATAAAATTAAAAGAAAAAAAAATAATTATTAAATTTCGATTTAAAGCTTTCGTGACTGCAGGGATTCATCTTCTTGGTTCTTTCGGTAAAGTCACGTAGAAGGGAAGTAATAAAATAATGAAAATAAAACATAATAGAACAATTCTCACGACGTGGCCGAAACGTCGTGAGAATTGTTTTATTATGTTTTATTTTTATTATTTTATTACTTCCCTTCTACGTGACTTTACCGATAGAACCAAGAAGAAAAATAATTATTGTATCATTTTTATTTTATACCTACGTGACTTTACCAAAGGAACCAAGAATATGAATTCCGGCAGTCACGAAAGTTTTAAGTAAAAATTTAAAACAAATATTTCCCCCCCCCCCCCCCCCCCCCCCCGTGGTATTTCTCGATTCTGCAATCGGCGCCGCGTCACGTGGCAAAGAATCCCATCGGAGCTCTCGCAGGAAAGTGCAACCCCCCCACCCCCACCCCCCCCCCTTTGGGTTGGAGCACGGCCCGTGGAGGTGGACACCACGAAGCTACCTCTGAGAACCCATCAAAGTTACCTTTGGTTCACATACCAGAGGAGGGCAACCCGCTCTCCCAACCACCCTGCCACGAGACGATCCGGTTTAATCGCAGGTGGTCGAATCCAGATTCGTGCTCTGCCCTCACCTCGTGCAATTGAACACCTCTGTATCAAAATACTTCCCCGTCTTGCCCGAGGTATTCGCATAACACGCAACCATTCACGCGATTCTGGGTTTCTACGAGCCGTCGCTTCGCCACCCACGTTCGCCGCGCCTGTTGAATCGAACTCAGGTCACCGTAACCCCCCCCTCCCCTTGCTTTATATCATTAAGATTGCAAGACACAACACAGTGCTTCTGATTGCAATGTTGATTTTAGAACAAAGCGCTGACTTGAAAATTCTTTAAATACTTCTGTGCGCGTTCCGCATAAACAACCGGAACGCTGCCCTGTGTAAGGAGGACGGTGAAATGATGACGATCTCCGATGGAAGAGATATTGTGGCTGTGAAAAAAACAACTAAAACATTCTGGGGAATGTCGCGATGTGTCAGCGTGCCTCGATATCTCACGCGAATGCAAGACGTTCGGATGCCGAGTTCTGATTGGCAGGAATGGCGCACACAAACACAAAGATCCCCTGTATAGGCTCAACAGACTGTTGTGGCAAGTGCCGTTAGCCAGCACCTATGAAGGCCGGCACGGCACACGAGGGGGTGGGTGGCTAGCACCACACCCTGGCCGCCTTTGTCTCCCCAGTGGCGATGTTTACACACCACACCAGGTACTCATTCGAGGCTAAGTCGACCTAGGGGGGCCCATGACCAGATCAGATAATCGTCACTGGTGTTGGCCGTTCGTAGCGCAGCGCGCTAACCGCTGTACTACCGCTCCCCGCACACACACACACAGTGACCCCCACAACAACAACAACCGACATTTGCCACTAAGTGGCGGTGACGTCACCACGACGCTTGTGCCAGGCTATGTGCACCTTGAGGCCACGTGAAGTGTCGAACGCCCGCTGGCAGGAGGTCACGGGGCAGACCTAGTTGGCACGGGTCGACTGACTGCGACGACTGAGATGACTGGCTGATGCACCACCTGTGCCCCCTACTGTGCCAACTTGCTGTGTTTTAGCCACCCGGCGCTCCGCTCGTTGTTGTGAGCATCACTCCTCCGCCCTCCGTTGTTGTTGGAGGGCGACTGCCTCCAACTTCCCAGTAGCGTCCTTCACGAGCCTCCTCCACAGAGGTCGATCTTAACACCGCTGGTACCAGTCATCAGCAAGTCCACTCAGCTCCATATTCTCCTGCACCACATCACTCCATCTCTTATCTAGCCCGTGCCGTGCCCATTTAGCCCACTCATCCGGCCGAACAAAAGCTGTTTAGGCATGCGGTGGCTGGGCATGCGGGCTACATGACCCAGCCAATGCAGCCTTGCTTGCCGGAGGAGCTCACCGATGGGACTTTGTCCAAATCTTTCAAGGATTTGTGAGCTCCTCACACAATCCAGCCTGGTTAAAGCAGGCCACAACTGCCCCATCACCAATTGGGAGTTTGGAAGCGTGTAGTGTCCGATGGCATAAAATACCCAGGCAAGGTGCTTAGTTTTGGTGGGGCTGATGATAAGGCCCCACCTCTTAGTGGCACGCTCCAGTTTCAGCAGCAGCGCCTCCAACTCCTCCTCTGAGTGAGCGGCAATTACCAGATCATCGGCATACATAACATGGTTGAGCAATAGGGAGCCATCCCTTGACAACATCCGGGCATCGATCAGCCTCCCATTGTATCTGTACCAGATGGAAATTCCTCTGGTACAGCTATTGAAGGTTTCACGAACTACGTGGTCGAAATAGATGTTAAATAATGTGGGAGCCAGACGACATCCCTGTCACACCCCAAGGTGTGCAGGGAATGGCTCTGACTCTCAGCCAAGTAGTTTTACCCGGGCCCGCTCACCATCATGAAGGTCCTTAATGATCGTGAGCAGAGGGTCAGGGACTCCGAAATCACGAAGAACCCAGAGCCCAGGCCTATTGATGGTATCATAGGCCTTGACCAGGTCAATAAAGCAGAGATGTATGTCTTGTTGGAATTCCCTACACCTCTGCTGTAGCAGATGGACAGAAAATGGCATCTGTGCAGGACCGCCCTTTTCTAAAACCGCATTGGGGCTCCACAAGCCTCTCCTCAGCGTGCCTAGCAAGGCGGTGTTGAATAATCCTTGCCAGGACCTTTCCTGGCACACTGAGGAGTGAGATGCCCCTGTCGTTATTACAGTCTGTGTGGTCCCCCTTCTTAAAGAGGGGGACCACCAGGGCATCCTTCCAATCCTGCGGAACCCGTCCAGTGGTCCAGACTGTTGTTATGATGTCATTTAGGGCAGTCTGTGCACAAACGCCACCCTCCCTCAGCATTTCGCTTGGGAGATCATCTCTGCCAGGTGCCTTTGCTGGTCTCAAACTCCGGATCGCCTTCAGTACTTCCTCAACAGATGGCACCTCAACCAGCTACTCAAAGGGGGTGACTTCTTCTTCCAATATTTCAGGCACCGCAGCCTCAGCAGGGTCATCCCCACTTTGTCCCACATATTCCAGGCTGAGGGATTTTCCCTCCCCCAGGACCTCACAGAAATGTTCAGCAAATCTGCAAACCTGTTCCTGGGGGTCGGAGATTGGATCACCGTTTTTCCCCTAATGATGGTAATAGGTGTGGCGCTGCAGGTTACTTTTTTGATGGAGTTAAATAGTGATTTGTAATTGCGGGCCATTGAGGCAGACTCCATCTCCTCAGCAACCTGCGACCACCACCCATCCTTGCAGTGCCTCACGGCTCTCCGAACCTCCGAGCGAAGGCTGCGGTAAGCCTCCTCAATCTCTAACGTGGGATGCTGTAGACGATAAGAGTGGGCCTGTCGCTTTTTCTCAGCCAGCCTAAACACCTCCTCCGTCAGCCAAGGTCTTTGGGGAGGTCTGGACCATGTAACCAAAGTAGCCATTGCAGCTGCATGAGCCACAGTTTTAAACCTCGCCCATTTCCCCTCGACATCTGGAGGAGTGGGGGATGATGCCAACCCCAGCCGCAAGCGATGATTAAATTCTCGCTTGCAACTTTAATCAACTAGCTGGGACCAGGCCACCTTGCGATTTGAATGGGGTCCTGGGTGTACACCCACCAACGGAATGGAAGAATGGCAGGCGCATCTTACAGATGACAAGTCCATGGTCAGTGGGCAGATCAGCTCCACGATAGGTCCTGGTGTCAAAGGACATGGGCCCGCATCCACTGTTCCATCACTACGTAGTCCAGCAGATGTTCTTGCTTGGACCCGACATGCATCCATGATGTTGTGTGGATGTGCCGATGCCGGAATGGTGTGTGGATAATTACAAGCCCATAGCAGCCTCCTACCTTTGTTATTGAGCTGATCTGGCCCATGCCTTTCAATCACTCCAGACCAGGTATCAGCATCATGACCAACTCGGGCATTGAAGTCGTCCAACAGGATGACTCTATTTCGAGGGGCCACTTTAGCTAGCACCTGTGACAGGAGGTCATATAAGCCATCTGATTCATTGGCGAGCCCAATAGGGTCTGGGACTTACCACTTTCCACACCTCACCGCTATGCTCCCACGCCCCCTTCATTCTTTTGTTCAGAAGAAGAGCCACTTCCTGTTTTTTGGCAGTCTCCTGCCCCGAGTAGAGGACTGTCCACCCCTCATGGTGGCAGAGTCGGTCCACCGGATCTCCTGAATACCACAGCCGGTCCAGCTCCCGACAGAGGAGTGGCAGCTTCTCCTCCGCAGCAAGCGTTCGAACATTCCACGTGACCATCCGAAGTGGCTTTTTGTTGTTTCTGGAGGAGCCTACTGTAGCGCTCCTTAAAACAATCCCGATTTCAAGCCTTTACTAATTTTCTTTTAATTCGTTACAAATTCAATTTGTGAAATCCAGTGCACTGAAGGACGGTACGCCGCTGGTATTCACGACGACGATGATGATGATGATGACAACGATGGTGATCTTTGTAAACACTTTGCAAACAGAGGTTGAAAACCGAGGATGGCAACTGCTTAAGCGTCGGCTTCGTCTGTGTCCGTTTGTAATGAGGGGAGTTGAGGAGGGGCGGTACTGTAACCCGAGTGACGATAATTCGATGTGACAGCAATCTGTAGGATAAAGTTCCGTTGGCATCCAGAACTCACCCTAACTATTGAAAGCTGGTCAAACTGATCGCATGAACTCAACACACTCGTCAACATCACTGTGGCCTATGAAATATAATCGCCGACATTTCAGACATTGGGCCCTTCTTCATGGTATATTGCTCAAAACGTCGCCGACTATATACTTGTTGAGTTTATTTTAAGGCCACAGCCTTGTTGGCAGGGTTTCCCAAAACTTGGAAGATCCAAAACAGAGCAAAAAAAAGGACTAATGCCAAATATGCCCCATAAACAAATACGAAGACAAACGGATGTTGTAATGCTTATAATTAAATCCACACGCTCACGCAAACGACATTTTCATAAACGTTGTTTTTCAGTTGAGCAAAGGGCTCATTCTGACCGGAATAAAACCAGACCTACAAATACCGGGCGAGGGACGATGAGGAAACATCGCGTGATTTGAATGCACATCTATCATCAGTCGTTACAGAGAAGTGTAAAAAATGTAACAAAAAAAAACCATGAAAGCTAAAACAAATAAAGTGGCCAGCGATTTTGTAAATAACAACATTTCGGGACGGAGTCAGCTGTTTGGTGTCCCACAAGCGAGCATCTTTCGGCCCAGCGTGGGCACTGCGGGGCACGCCACCACCGCCTCCTCATCCCCCATGTGGCCGCTAATGTTGGTTTTGGCCAACCCTCGCGTGCACTTTGACCAAACCAACAAAACAAATATAAACGGCACCTTTCTTTTTCTCTCCGCGGCGGTGTTTCTGACATCCGCACGACCCGCATGTCGAATGCAGCGTGTGTCACGGCACGTGATTGTGCACCGTGCGTACCGTGGTACCGTGCATACCGTGCGTATCGTGCGTACCATGGTACCATGGTACCGTGTGTACTGTGGAACCGTGTTCTCTGGGCTCTGTGCTCAGGCCTGGCTACTCTGTGTATTCCAATTTAATCCATGCCCCCTGCACGCTCTTCAAGACCTGCCAATGGTGCCCTTCTACGCGAGCCTCGATCTTGGCTGCATACTTGGGGTGATCTGGCATCGCCTTATTTGTATTCAGTTTAACACGTCAGCTTTCGCGACCAATATCATTCATAACACAGGATTTTTTTGGGTTAGATCGCGTAAATATGTCGGTAAACCCGCAAAATGTTGTGGCTTTGCTCTCCAACACACCAGTGGGTGCTGTACTAGTGACGAACTGACCACGTTTTGTTTTACGTGACAAACCCCTTACTAGTTGGCTGTGTCGGGTGGTGGCAGGTTTAACGACGCGTTTATATAGTTACGCGATCTAACCCAAAAAAACCTGTATCATTAGTATTCATATTACGTGTAAATTAGTGTTTGTGTTGTTATTATTATTATTATTGTGTACCCCACTGCATTGTGGGGTTTGTTAACAGTGAGGGGGGGGGGGGTCACATGTTGCTGAGGAGTTGAGTGGAGTTAGTCTAATATTGTTTTCAGATCCCGCCAACGAGCGATCTATCATTTCAAACAACCTAATCAGAGATGAGTCAGTCAATCTGTCGTTATCGGATTATTATCTGAGGGCCCGGTCAGATACTGGGTGAGTCAGTCTATCACTGTCTGGAAAAACGAGCCAGTCGGTCTCGACTGAACAGACAAGATACATCGAGAACAACAAAAAGGAAGGAATCGTAAGCCCATAAGCTGACACGTAAACACCGCTAGCGGTAAGGAATTGTTGTTCTACGTCTCCACCGGCGGAGACGCGACGAGCTCGGGAGGGGCTCATGGACGAGCTGGACGATGCAGAGCCCAACGACGGCAAAACCAGCGGGCGCCGGACGACGCCAGCCCGTTCCGGTGAAACCGCACCCGCGGGGGAAGGTTAAACCACGTGTGTCCTTATTGACAATAAACTGTTGTGTTGCAACCAGAAATTCGAGCGCGTTCGGTGTAATTTGTGCGAGGCGCGCGTTGTCTTTGTGCGTCGTGTTATGGGGGCAGCGATGACGGCACACCGGCCCGCACGCTGCGCCGTGCTACGATTCACCACCGCCAGCCCCCCGCGTTCCATCGCCAGCGCTGATGTAACGCGGCAGTGTTGCCGATGAACGTTTGTACCCGGGCAGGCACTTCCCCTTCCGATGTCTCGCTCTACAAGGAGTACCCTGGGAAATAATTAATCGATTCGTGCTGATTGCGTACGATTGGTTGACCTGGATCAGGCGGTCGCTGTAGATTATCGATCGTCGCTCCCTCGCACGGTTGGGTTTTCTGCGGGTGCTACGGTTTGCTCCCACACGTTGATATATAGACATTAAACACCTTTATATATAGAAGACTGCAGAGCTTGGGAAATTGTTGGCTCATCGCCTGGGCACCTTCCCGCTGGGTACATACAGTTTATACGTTTTAGTTTTAATTCATGTTTATGCCCCCTAAACCTATTTTCCTCAAACTTTAAGCATTAATATTTGCGGATTTAATATTCTCCAGGAAGGTATCCCCTACGAATCTGAAGGCTTTAACCGTTTCGCACATGCCTACGGACAGCCAGAGGGAGGGGTGGATCACTCACCGATATTCTTCATGAGAGCGAGCGGCAGAATGACTGCTATCGTCACAATGACGACCAGGTAGTCGCCGTTCAGGTACCACGCACTGCGGAAATAAAGACAAAAAGATCCCACGTATAACCTTAACCGACTGTTGGGGCAAGTGCTGTTAGCGAGCACCTATGAAGGCCGGCACGGTACATGAGGGGGTGGGAGGCCAGCACCACATCTGGCCGCCTTTGTCTCCCCAGTGGCGATGTTTACATGCCGCACTAGGTACTCATTTGAGGCCGAGTGGACATAGGGGAGGCCCAGGGTCTATTCAAACAATCGTCACTGGTGCTGGTGGTGAGCGGGAATCGAACTCATGTCGCCGGGTTTGTAGTGCGCCCACACGCAGCTAGTGGTGACAACCCTGTGTGTGTGTGTGTCGGGGTTCTCCGGTGCCATCCCACACGATGCAATACAAATATAAATAAATTGTGCTCAGCGTCCAAATGCAGGACCCTCCTGAGAAGGAAGAGATTCAATGCGGCTCTGGTGGGCAAAAAGAATGGAAAATAAAAAAAAACCCAAACGTGGGCGGTTTGCACAAATTAGGCAAAGCTCACCACCAACATTTAAAAACATATTCCTGATACGTGAAGGTAATTATCTATAGGTTTAGAAAATGTGGCTCAGGAATAGTTTGACACACACATGAAACGTAACACACCATCCATTGCCACCATCGCTGCGCGCATGACGGACAGTCCGTCTGAGCACGTCCAACACCGTGCGTGGTATTTCATGAGCACGTTTGGCTACGTACGGTGTGAAAGAAGTTCAACATACGTACAGCTCCAATTGGTCGATGTACTCGGCCCAAGTACGAACGTTGCCGCATGATTCGACTACAGATGGTTATCACGGAGCGTGCGAAACGTGCGTCCGAGATCACCAAACTGCCCACGTGGCACCGTGGGGGTGAAAAGCCACTGATTCAACCCACGTGCGGAGGATTGCACACGCAATGCCAACTGTGGTGCAAGTCGGTAAACTCGCAAACGTTACACTCTGGCCGTCGGAGGACGGGCTCGGCGCGTCAAATGTCAACCGCAGAAGCGCGTGCCGTCACCTTTGCTGTTCCCTCACCGTTCAATTCAACGTGCTCTTTAATCACCTCGTCAACAACTTCATCTTCGGCATCATCATCATCAGCCAAGGTCAATTAACCGCCACATGAAGGCCTCCCCCAGGCCGCCTCCATCCCCCATGGGCCTGTGATGCAGCCGGTCCACCGGCGGTTTCATCGCTCCATCTCCCCGAGCCAACGCCCCCCCCCCCCGGGTGTGCTCCGCTCCGAACCCCCAACTCCGTCACCGGTCTTGACTGCCGGCCATTGCCCCCTCTCGTCGTCAGGGGTACTGCCTTGAGCCCGCTCACGTTTCCCCCACACCTGTAATCGTCACTACCCCTGTGCACGCTCTCTAATCCACCCGGCTCCTCCTTTCGTCTCCCATGGGCAAGCGAGCATTTCTCCGCGCTTCTTTGCGGACTGTGCAGCTTTAACAAATAAAGTCTTCACGACCGTGTTTCTGAAACCTTACGTTAATTGCAGGTAGTACACACTCACTGCCCGCCTTCATCAAGTTCAGGACGAGTTCATCTCGGAAACTAGAACTCCGCATTTCATTCGCGGCGCTGTACGGCCCTGATCATCGTGACAACAAGTTTCCACGAGGAAACAACTTATTTATTGATGTACTTACCCAGAGAGGGCCGGATGCAAAAAACAACATACGACGTGGAAATAAAGCACGCAGGTACGCACTTACACACGCCGCACGGACGCACGCACGCACTCGGCTCCCAACAGCGTAACAGAGTGGCTCTTTGTCTCCCAACGGGCGACCCACACAGCCCTCCCCAACCTCCCGCGCCTCGCTCGCTCGAACACGCACGCACGCACAAACTCGCAGAAGACGCTTGGGAAGTGCTCGCTAAGTCATTATGCCTTGCGAATGTGCGTCACACTGTGAGCGAAGGCTCTCGCTGTTGTGGCTTAGATCTGTGCTGGGCTCTCGTCCAGCCCTGCGATTGTTTGAGATTCTAGTTTGTGCCCATATCACACGGCCTTGTGCATCGGCCTCTCTCCTCCCGAACCCCACCCGCCGGGCCATCAAAAACTAGATCCCAGGCCAGCATTCATCGCCCCCCATTGGCAAGAGCCCGCTGAGAAAGAACGTCGTTGAGTGTGCGACTTTTTGCAAACAGTTTTTTTGTTGTTGTACCGTCGCTGCTCGGTTTTTTTTTGGGGCGAGTCGTTAGCAGCGCTCGATTGGTTTTGCAGCTTGCGAGCTTTGGGGCACGCACGATCGGTGAATGGGAATGTTTTTTTTTACATATCACAATAATAATAACGATGATGATGGATCCGCGCGAGACACGACGCAAATGTAACCACGACGACGGGGACGCCAGGCGGGCGCGTTAACCTCCCTGGCGCTGGGATCACGAGCAGCTTTGCCGCCACTCGCGTTGTGGCGAAAGACTTCTTCCCGAGTGCGTAATGTTAACGCAAGTAATAGCGTGCAAATTAATAACAAAACACTGCCCCAATTAGTCAACGTTTTAATTGCTGCCGAAATAATAAGTCAATGAAAAGCCACCGAGACAAGTATAAATCTGCCTCTGCCAAAATATAACTTGTCTAAAGTGACTTATTGTTCTGAGTGGAGATGTTCTCAGTGGAGACGTCCTCAGTGGAGATGTTCTGAGTGGAGATGTTCTGAGTAGAGATGTTCTGAGTGGAGATGTTCTGAGTGGAGATGTTCTGAGTGGAGATGTTCTGGGTGGAGATGTTCTGAGTGGAGATGTTCTGGGTGGAGATGTTCTGGGTGGAGATGTCCTCAGTGGAGATGTTCTGAGTGGAGATGTTCTGAGTGGAGATGTTCTGGGTGGAGATGTTCTGAGTGGAGATGTTCTGGGTGGAGATGTTCTGAGTGGAGATGTTCTGGGTGGAGATGTTCTGAGTGGAGATGTTCTGAGTGGAGATGTTCTGAGTGGAGATGTCCTCAGTGGAGATGTTCTGAGTGGAGATGTTCTGAGTGGAGATGTTCTGGGTGGAGATGTTCTGAGTGGAGATGTTCTGGGTGGAGATGTTCTGAGTGGAGATGTTCTGAGTGGAGATGTTCTGAGTGGAGATATTCTGAGTGGAGATTTTCTGAGTGGAGATGTTCTGGGTGGAGATGTTCTGAGTGGAGATGTTCTGAGTGGAGATGTTCTGAGTGGAGATGTTCTGGGTGGAGATGTTCTGAGTGGAGATGTTCTGAGTGGAGATGTTCTGAGTGGAGATTTTCTGAGTGGAGATGTTCTGGGTGGAGATGTCCTCAGTGGAGATGTTCTGAGTGGAGATGTTCTGAGTGGAGATGTTCTGGGTGGAGATGTTCTGAGTGGAGATGTTCTGGGTGGAGATGTTCTGAGTGGAGATGTTCTGAGTGGAGATGTTCTGAGTGGAGATATTCTGAGTGGAGATGTTCTGAGTGGAGATGTTCTGGGTGGAGATGTTCTGAGTGGAGATGTTCTGAGTGGAGATGTTCTGAGTGGAGATGTTCTGAGTGGAGATGTTCTGGGAGGAAATGTTCTGAGTGGAGATGTTCTGGGTGGAGATGTTCTGGGTGGAGATGTTCTGAGTGGAGATGTTCTGAGTGGAGATGTCCTCAGTGGAGATGTTCTGAGTGGAGATGTTCTGGGTGGAGATGTTCTGAGTGGAGATGTTCTGGGTGGAGATATTCTGAGTGGAGATGTTCTGGGTGGAGATGTTCTGAGTGGAGATGTTCTGGGTGGAGATGTTCTGAGTGGAGATGTCCTCAGTGGAGATGTTCTGAGTGGAGATTTTCTGGGTGGAGACATTCTAAGTAGAGATGTCCTGGGCTAACTTTCATTTGTCCTCACCCATTTCACCCTGCCCTCAAATAATAATCGGCAGAGAAGTGTGAGCCCGAGTCTGTGTGGATCCTAACGAAAGCTCCTGGTTACTGATTCTGTTTGCTTTGTTAAATTAAATTGTTTCATTTTCTTTGGTTCTTTGGGTTAAGTCACGTAGGTATAAAATAAAATAAATCATGATGTTTCGGGCGCAACACAAGCGTCCGTCATCAGGTGGCTTTGCCACCTACCTGACTTTACCGAAAGAACCAAAGAGTATGGATTCCTGCAGTCACGAAAACTTCAAATCAACACGATATTGTTTCCTTGCTTTAGTTTTGTACACGAAAACATTCTTACGAATCGTTTTTTGTCTTTTCACGTTTTTGACCGGTTTCACATTCCTGTAACAGCGCGCACCGACACCCGCCGTTTGTATCGCGAGCTACGTGACCGTCATTGTAAGCGAGATCTGTACCGTGCAGCAGTAACATCTGCACCGTCGCAAAGATGCTCGTGAAATAGAGACTAACGGATTAGTGGGCCCCTTCCTGCTCAAATAAATAAGCATCTAAAATCTATTTACATTTTTGGCACATCGCTCTCGTTGAACAATTTACAAATTTACAAATCATGAAGCAGATTTTCCACCACGGGCCAGGGGACTCTGGAGTTGTGTTCCCTGAGATGAAGTGAACGGGCGCACCGCCCTCCATCCAGCCACGTGATAAAACACCCCGTGGAATGAGATGTCTCCGAACCGCTTCCGAGATCCCCGCAAATGGCCTCTTTAAGCTGCGATTTTGTGGCGCTGCACTTTCCTGCGGGTCCTGCGAGAGTGATGTTCGTCACTTGGCAATGAAATAAAAACATTCTCAGACATGGACTTTTTGACAAATTTAGTGCACAACCAAATTTAATGTGAGGGTGTTTTTTGTGCATGCGTTGTGTGCGTGTGTAACGGTGGTTGCATAGCGGTGGGCGCGGTGCTTTATGAACCCAGCCACCCGAATTTGATTGCCACTCACGGCCAACACCGGTGACAATTATCTGAACTGGAGCTGTCTCTCTCCTAGGTCGACTCAGCCTCAAGTACCTGGTGCGGTGTGATCATTAGCACAGGGAAGACAAATGCTGCCGGGCGTGGTGCTGGCCACCCACTCCCTCGTGTTCCGTGTTGGCATTCACAAGTGCTGGCCACTCACAGCCCCCCAGAGTGTGTTTGGGCTACACAGAGGGGGTGGGAGTCTTTGCTGGCAATGGTAACCAGGCTGAGACCACGAACTCTCCAGTTGGCTTTGCTTGGAATCTAGCTCAGGACGTCAGCACTGTGAACCCCAACCGAAGCTCATTCGAACAACAGGCGGGGGACACGAACAGGATGTGCTCGCCCCCACGTTCTCCGCTGCCTCGCGTTACTCACTACAATGGGGATCGATGTCTGCTTTTCGTTCGGTACCAGATTCCCAGCTAGCCGAGCGAGGCCTTGATTGGTTGGTTGGTGGGAAGGGGGGGGGGGGATGTCACGCGGAGACGCTTCGTATGGATTACACGGGCTGGAGAAGGGGGTCACGACGCAATCACGCGTCCGTCAGTCACGTGCGGGGGAGGGGGGGCGAAGGGGTCAACGCCCACACGCGGCCACGCGGGCGAGAGGTCACCGGGCGTAGAAACGCGTGACCACGCGGGGCCCCGTCCCGGCTGCTGCCAGGGTTGGCGGATCGCACGGACGTCACCGAGACGTTCCGTCCCCCGCGGGGCCACGGGGTGGTCGGATGACGGCGCGGTTACAGCGGTGGCGGCGCTAGGAATAGCTCGGACCCAGATCCTCGTGTACAATTTTCCAACGTTGACAGCACTGCCCCGACGAAGAAGAATGTTGAGATCGAGCGAGGCTGAAAATGTGAGTGCGAGTTTTAAATCGCGACGGTGATCTATCGCGTGCACACACGTGCCCTCCCACTGATGTGTATATGTGCACATTATGTATATATATTCAAAGACAAACATCCCCCGTGTAGCCTGTTACAGATTGTTGGGGCAAGTGCTGTTAGCGAGTAGCATCGATCAAGGCTGGCACAGCACACGAGGGGGTGCGTGGCCAACACCACGCCCGGCCGCCTTTGTCTCCCCAGTGGCGATGTTTACACATCGCACCGGGTACTCATTTGAGGCTGAGTCGACCTCGGAGAGGTCCAGGACCGGTTCAGATAATCGTCACTGGCGTTGGTCATGAGCGGGAATCGAACCCGGATTGCCAGGTTCGTAGCGCAGCGCGCTAACCGCTATACCACCGCTCCCCACTATGCAAACAACCGCCATTCACCACTAAGTGGCGGTGACGTCACCACGACGTTTGTGCCAGGCTATTTGCACGTTAAGGCCACGTGAAGTGTCGAACGCCTGCTGGCAGGAGGTCACGGGACAGACCCAGGTGCCATGGGTCGACTGATGACTGGCCGATGCACCACATATACACATATCCGTGCACAAACACACACATCTATGCACACACACAGACACTGACACACAGACACTGACACACATACACAGACTGGGTACCTCTGATCGGTGGCGAGTAGCGTGCGGATCACAGTGGGCAGCTCCGTCTTCACGATGTACAGGTAGCTGGACATCGCTGTCGAAAGAAAACACGACGGTGATTTACACTGACAAAGACAAAGGTCCCGTGTGTAGCTCGTAGACACTGTTGGGGCAAGTGCTGTTGGCTATTAGCGAGCACCTACGGAGGTCCGACACAGTGACACCAGTGCCACACACACACCCAGCCACAAACGCTCACACGCAAACAACACTCACCAACACAAACATAAACGACAAAGATCTCCCGTATAACCGTAACAGACTGTAGGGGCAAGTGCTGTTAGCGAGCACCTATGAAGGCCGGAACGGTACACGAGGGGGTGGGTGGCCAGCACCACGCCCGGCCGCATTTGTCTTACCTGTGCTAATGATCACACACTGCACCAGGTACTCATTTGAGGCCGAATCGACCTAGGGGAGGCCCTGGACCGGTTCAGATAATCGTCACTGGGTGTTGGCCGTGAGCGAGAATCGAACCCCGTTCGCCGGGTTCATAACGCAGCGTAGCGCTAACCGCTACACCACCGCACACTCACTCACACGCACACACACTCACTCACACGCACACACACTCACACACACACTCACTCACACTCACTCACACACACACACTCACTCACACACTCACTCACTCGCACACACGCACACTCACACGCACGCACACTCACACACTCACACAACAAAGATCCCCCGCATAGCCTTAACAGACTGTAGGGGCAAGTGCTGTTAGCGAGCACCTCACACACACACTCACACACACACACTCACTCACACGCACGCACACACACTCACACACAAGCACACACACTCACTCACACGCACACACTCACTCACACGCACGCACACACACTCACACACGCACACACACACTCACTCACACACACTCACACACACGCACACACACTCACTCACACACACACACACGCACACACACTCACTCACACTTGACCTTCATTTATAGCCGTGAGAGCAGTTTGAGCCGTGGGAGGTTCTTAGGCGTAAAAAAAGTGTGCATCTTTTGAAATAATTACGATGAAGCAGTGCAGAAAATCTATTTGTCGGGCTGTACTTCTACGCTCCCAGAGTCAACGTTCCCCCGCCTCTATAGGCGTGCGCTGACCCAGAGCGGAGAAGTATCGCAAATAACTCGCAATGTAACCGTACGGTGCAGGAGAACACCCATCCAGTAGTGGGGCAAGTGCGAATTTCAAGAAACGTGCAGAGTGAATGTTGTTGTGAAGCCAAAGTTTCGTAATCGAATCCGTGTTAAACAAAGCCCAAAACATTACACCGTTCATTTCAACCACTGCAGCCGTTCCGCAAAACTCCCGTCCGTACACACGGCCGTGGGCCACCCGACGCGTTCCGTTATTTATTTAGCCGGAAACACAAAGCTCAAGTTCCACGAGCGGCCGTCGCTGGATCGGCCGAACGCGGAGTCCCCGGCGGGCAGCTCGGCATCGCGATCGGCGGTCTCGGCGGCAGCGGGGGTCGCCATCGTCGTCCTGGTGTCGAAGCCGTTACCCAGCTCCAGTTTCGGAACTCAAGCTGGCATCCCTGCCCTGCGCGATGAGCGATGTGACCATTATTTGCTCCAGCCCAGGGCTTGACTTTCTCACGGAATGTTGATTTCGTGGACTGTAATTGGTGGCGCGTGACTCGCAGGAGCCGCGACGAGTATGGTGCATGTGGTGAGTGAGTGTGTGGGAGACGGGGGCTAGAAATACTGTTAGAGGGTGGCCAATGTAGGCTGGAGTTGGGATACGTGACATGTGGCCACGGCTGTAGCAGGCGGCATACTGGACGTGGTGTGCTGGGGTGCAGCGAGTGACCAGATGGCAGCTGGAGAACGAGCGGCTCTCATGGGCTCAAAGTGCGATGTCCTTGCACTTTTGCTCACGTCGAAGAAACTGCTTATGATTTGTTATTAAAACATCTGATGCTTTTGTTTTTCCTCCGGGTGTTAGGGGGTGGTGGAGCGTTATTTGCGCGTTTTTCCCTGTGATTCAAACTTTTTGGCTTCGTGCAGATTTTAATACTAAAACAAACTTGGATGTTATATTTATGTGCTAAAGGAACTTGTGCCAACATATTCACCACTGCAAAAATTGTAACTTAAACACCAAGACAAAGATCCCACCCCCACCGCCCTCACCCTGTGCAGCCATTGACAGACCTCTGGGGCAAGTGCTGTTAGCGAGGGCCTATTAAGGCTGGCACGGCGCAGGTTTTCCGGAACCACATTTGGCCGCCTTTGTTTCCCCAGTACTGATGCTTGCAGGTTGTCATTTAAGGCTGAATTGACCTAGGGGAGGCACCAGAACCGATTCGAATACTCGCCACTGGTGGTTAGCCACAGCCGGTAATCGAACTCAGGTCGCCGATTTTTCAGCGCGGTGAGATAGCCACCACGCCACCACTACCAAACTTAACGGTGCACACCACAGACACACGGAGACGCACACAGATGCATAACCACAACTGTGCGGGGGAGAGGGGGGCGGTAGTGCAGCGGTCGGGGGTCAGGGCACCGAGTTCGGTCCAGTGGTGAGGAGGCATCTCAACCACTCCTGGGCCTGTGAGTAAACTAGATTCCCATGTGGGCGACACAATTCGTCCCCGTAGATTGTCCTGGCCCTGCTATGGGAAGGTGGAACTTCCACCACTGGCCCAGGACCTCCAACGGGAGTGAACGCTGACCTAACGATGCGGGAGGGCCATCCATGGGGTGGGGTGCGGGGCCCGGGGCAAACCCCCCGTGTGAGCCCCCCCCCCCCCCCCCGACACCTTCAAACTAAAACGGACGTATTTTACATCTGACGGCGTGACATCGAAACGCAGGCCCCCCCCAAAGCGTGGGGCCCCCCCAAAGCACGGGAGGCCCCCCAAAGCGGGAGAGGCCTCTAACCAGATGAAAGTGCGAGATATTGCTGTACACTCGGCGGCCCCCCCCCCCACAGCTCCCCGCTCCCCCCCACCCTCACTCAGGACCCCAGCTAAATAAAGTACGGCTTAGTGCTCTTCTTCTGCTAAGTAAACGATTATCTCTGACTGTCCACACAGACATTAAACCCCTCTGGCATTATCCACTATTCTATTCAGTGGCGTAGGACTCTGGTAATTACTAATACAAATGTTATTCATTTTCTCCAGAACATCCTCACCCCGAGTCTCACGACTCTCTTCTCAGGAGAGATCCTGCTACGATTGGGATGTCTGGCCAACTCCATTGCCCAATTGTTTGGCTTCACGTGGAAGGAGACTGGAGTACCACGCATGTAATAATCATCATCATATTATAATTGCGGTCATTTCAACTCGTAACGCACCAATCGCCGCCCCCGCCGCGTCTGCTCGCTTGCGGAGTGACAGAACGACGCAGAAACGCGAGGAGGAGCCACACTCGAGTAGAAAGGCGGCGGCAGCAGCAGCGGCCAGGCACGCAGCCGGCGCCAAATTCTCCTCCCAAGCTCTGCGGTCCTCCATATATGAAGGGTGTTATCGGCCAACTCACGAGTGTTGACATGTGGAAGGAAGCCAAGGAAACCAGAGCACCCGGAGACAATCCAACAGTGCAAGGGGGCAACGCTCTATGCCGTATACAGATTAAACTGGTGAGGTCCAGATTTGTTGTACCGGCTTCCCCTGGCAAGCCAGGGTATGAAACCTTGAGGCCCACGGGAAGGTTTCACAACGTTCGTGCGATCCACCAACCCTCGCCTCCACAGTGCAGGATTACGGGTGTGTGTAGCCACCACCACCGCCGCACACACAGGTGGATTCCACTGCCGTTACTGAGATGTTCTGGCCATCTCGCCGGCCAGGCCTACAACACCGGGAATGTGCCAGATCTTGTCAGCTTTTGTAAGCCAAAGCCCAGTGCATATGGTGTGCATGAGCTCGTGAGCAGGAGATGGATTAATTGGTACATCGGGTGACCACGAGGGATGGTGACGACTTGCGGAGGCCTTCACCCAGCAGTGGATAGATCACGGCTGACGACAAAGGTGGGCGTGCGTACGTACGTTCATTTGCGAGTTTGCGCACACGCGTGAGAGTACGTGTATGTTAGATGTAAGGGAAACGTCCAAGACATTTCTGAAAATAAGCTTTGCCGGCGAAACCTTGGTAAGCCACAAAATGCCCATGGTTTAAGGGGAATTTTGTGGCATAAAATACGTTACCTTTAAATATATAAGCGGGATATCAAGGTTTTTTTACAGGACGCACCTCACTTGTGGGTTTTAAAGGCGCCACAAGTGTGCGTGCGCATGTGTGTGTGTGTCTATAAAACACAGCAAGTTGGCACAGTAGGGGGCACAGGTGGTGCATCAGCCAGTCATCTCGGTCATCTCAGTCAGTCGACCCGTGGCACCTGCTGGGTCTGCCCCGTGACCTCCTGCCAGCGGGCGTTCGACACTTCACGTGGCCTCAACGTGCACATAGCCTGGCACAGGCGCCGTGGTGACGTCACCGCCACTTAATGGTGAATCGCCATTGTTGTTGTTGTCTCTGTATTCATAGGTGCTCGCCACGAGCATCTGGCTCAACGGTCTGTATGGTTATACGAGAGAGAACTTTGTGGTGGTGGTGGTGGTGTTGTTGCACAAATGGTAGCGATTGCACGGCGATTCGTTGAAGCGTGCCGTCGTCTCAGCGGATGCGGGTCTCTCAGTCACGCACATCGCAGCAACAGCGGCTAACCGGGGTAAGCTCTAAAGTCACGGTGCCCAACTACCACTGTGCAGCTGCTGGTTTTACTTGCAGGCGGCCCCCGCCTGTGATGGGACGGGGCCCTCGAGTGTAGCGGGTTGATTTATCCCGGTCACCGACGGCCGCACGAAACAACCATCGCGGCAAAACAGCGTTGGTTCTGCGACGTAATCAGGCAACGATCCGGGTGCGATGGTTTTCAAATATCAATTCGACCGCCATGCGAACAACCTCACTCTCATATGCAGAGCGCGTGGGAGAGTGCTGCCCTCTTACTGTGTGTGTGTGTGGGCCAGAGGTCACTCGAAAGGGAATCTCAGAGGTAGCTCCGCGGTGTCCGCTTCCGTGGGCCGTCCTCCAACACGGAGGAGGCCTCCAACACGGATGAGGCCTTGCACTTGCCCTGCGATAGGTCCCAGAGGTTGCTTTGCCTCATGAAGCGATGCCGATGGCGATAACGTTGGGGGGGAAACCACACGCAAGGTATCCACATCAGTGACACGTGGTGCGTGGTGAGTGGTGTGTTAAGCTGAGCCTAGGCTTTCTCTCAGTCGACGGTGTGGGTGGGTGAACTACAACAAGTGGGGTCGATCAATCGAGACGGGACCGCGGTGCTGCGGCCGCTTGCAGCGCCAGCGCGAATGTGTGGTCACTCGGGAAATGTTCTGGCACAGTTTGCAAGGTTAAGCGGGGAGCTTTCTCTGATCTCCTGCGGGGGCGGGTCCCAGTGTTTGCGATCGCGTGTTTACCCACTCGTCCACGAGGTTTGTCCGTCCTGTTGTTCGTTTCTGTTTCTCTTGTTTGCGTGCGAGGTTTCTCCGTTGTTATCTACGCTTGGGCACGTGTGTGCTCGCGTGGGTATGTGCGTGTGTTTACGTGTGTGTATGCGTGCGTGTTTGTTGGTTGTGTGTGTGAATATGTGACAGTGGCGAATATTTTAACTGGTCCAGGGCCTCCCCCCTTAGGTCGACTCGGCCTCAAATAATAACCTAATACGGTGTGTGTAAAAACATCAGTGCTGTGGGGAGACAAAGGCGGCCGGGCGTGGCGCTGCCCTTCTCTAGTCTGTTGAGGGGGATTCTTTGTCCGTGTGCTTGTTTGTGCTCGTTTTTTTTATCGTCTTCATTGCAAAAGAAATCCGCGCAGCCAGGCATCCGTGTGCCAATCTACCAAAATAGCCATGAATGCAATTTACAAGTGGTATTTTTATACCGGTAAGCGTGAAAATTAACATCGTTCTGTTTTGTTCGTTTTTTTTTTACGTTCTCGCACCGGGCTTGGCAACCCAGAGGTCGCCGGTTCGAGTCCACCTCCTGGCACCGCAGTAGAAACAACGGGACATGATTCCTCAACACCCACCCCCCCCTCTCTATCCACCCAGCAGTATACGTGGGTGTGCCACGGTTAGTCGATTGGCAGGTCACGTCTGGCCCAGCCTACTTGGAAGAGTAGGCCAAATACCTTAAGAGGGGCTCTCTAGAGCACCGTCGAGTGGAGGCCTTTCCGTCAACAGTGGCGTTGAGCGAGCACTTGCGGGGCTGCGCCTTTGACCTCTTTACTGCCCATACCTCCCATACAAGGGCGGCGCTGTTCCACCTCCATGAATTCTCAACGAACTTGACGTAGACTCCGTCGCGTAGGTTTTCTCGGCCGCTCGTTCTCCCGAGCGTGTGGCCTTGCGGGGTGGCCCGCGGCGTCTTTGAGGAGTTGCGGGACAATCGACCCCCCCCACCCCCCCACCCGGACCTTCCCCGTGAATGTACCAGAGCGGGTTTTTTTAAACTCGTGGGAAAAAAAACACACCTGGACTTTAAAGATAGGATGTCGCTAACTAACGACGGACTTTCCGGGAGGGTTGGTGGCGAGTGAGAGAAAGTTCAGCTGGGTCCAGCCGACCAATCGCAACGGGTGATTGCGTGGATACACCAAGGGCGAGGTTTTTTTTTACGACCGGGTGCAGTGAGCAGCCCACTGAGAAGACCTGGGCAATAATGCAAGTGGCACGAGTGGAAGTGCGTGCACGTGCACCCTCGTGAGTCTGGACTCGCACAGAGACCCACAGCTTCAAATAGAGAAACGTACATTCGCCTCGAGGATATATAGACTCACAGAAAGACCCAGAGACTCTCATAAAGGCCCACAGCTTCACACAGAGAACCGTAAGTCCACGTAGACCCCCGTAGACTCACACGGGGATACAGAGACTCGTGCGGAGACAAGTACACTTACGCAGAGTACCTGTCGATTCACATGTAGACACACAGACTCATCCATGCTTGCAAGCACAAACACACACACGTGCACGGATGTGTGCCTACGTACATGGCAAAGCTCACGATGTATTTTCCTCTGGGCTCTGTGCAATGAGACAAGGGAGATTTGCGTGCGTGTCTGTGTTGGCACGTACCTCCGATATTCTGCAGGGTGATCGCGCACCCGGCCGCCACTTTGCCTGGAGTTTTAAACGCCCCGTATCCCAGCTGCTCGTACGCACGGATACCTGCACGCCAGCGGCACAGGGGACAGAGCTCTCTTCTTCTCCCATCTCTCTGCCCACCGCACCACCCAGCACAACAACCTCACCGCACCACCCAGCACACCACTCAGCACACCACCCTCACCACACAGCGCACCAACCTCACCACACCACCCAGCGCACCAACCCCACCACACAGCGCACCACCCTCACCACACCACCCATTACCGCACCACCGCACCACTCAGCGCACCACCCAGCACACCACCACCACCCTCCCCCCACCTCCTACTGCCACGCGCTGGGCCCCTAGACACTCGCTCAGAATCGACCGCGCATAGGGGAGAGCTCGCGTCTGGAAACATCCACAGCGTTTCAGCGTCTTCTTCTTCTTTAGCCGTCCTAATCCTGTGCGGGAGGGCACGCGAGCGTGATCCACTGCGGCCCATTTTCGTGAGAACGTTTTGTGCTTCGTCCACGGTTTGACCCAGACGGTGCTGTCAGCGGGCGCGCCGCCGAGACCAAGCGGCCGTTCCGGATGTCTCGCAGAGGCGGCGCACACCCTCCCGTGATAGGGGAAGTGGACATCGCTGAAGTGGACTTCACAGAGCTACCTCTGAGTTCCCTTCAAGTGAGCTCTGGTCCACGCAGAAGAGGGCAGTTCTCTGCCAACATTTCACCGGCATTTCCCAATGGTACCACAATGCTGGCAGGATAACATCCATTGCATCTGTTTGCATATCAAAAAGTATTTATAAATATTGCTTTCATTTTGTGACAATTTGCGGTTCGGCTCACACAAAAGGGGCAGAAAAACAATGGCAGCGAAAATCAACAGAGAGGGAGGTGCGCCATGAACGCAGGCGGCCGAACACCCAGTTCCCACGTTTGTCAAACACACGCAGTGTGTGCGCGTGTGTGTGACAGCGATTGCAATCGTATTAGCAGCCGTGTGAAAGCCTCACTGCTCTGTACAATCCCACAAAAACACAAAGACCTCCCGTGTAGCCATAGCAGAATTGTTCTGGGCAAGTGATGTTGGCGAGCAGAGCACCTATGGAGGTGGGAAAGACGCACGATGAGGCGGTGTGTGGCCAGCACCACGCCCGGCCGTCTTTGTCTGCCCAGTGCTGATGATTTACACACAGCACCAGGTTCTCGTTTAAGGCCGAGTCAACCTAGAGGAGGCGCAGGACCGGTTCAGACAATCGTCACTGGTGTTGGCCGTGAGACGGGAATTGAACTCGGGTCGCCAGGTTCATAGCGCAGAGCGCTCACCGCTAGACCACCACTCCGCACTCTAAAACAATCATTCTATCTCTTGCACTCACACACGTCGCTGAACCCACACACATACACACACAGTGCATTGTCGCATATCTGAAGTGTAATGTTCTTTCATTTCTGCCATGCCAACTACACAAAACTGCAGCTGCAAAAGCCTTCCTATGATAATCCCACAATTCCCCGGGGCAACACTTACCCACAATTCCTGCTGTTTTCAGAAGCAGGTGGATGGAATAAACAGACAGCAGGGCAACGGACACGAGCAGCAGCCTGCGAACAAAAACAAGCAAACATCATTTTAAACATTTAACTAAAAAAGGCCCCACTATTATGATGACCAAGCATATACGGTGCAACGTCGCACACACGACCGCCACATATCCCCGTCCTGACCGATTAACCGCCCACAACCTGTGCAGAATTGGCACAACGGTGTAAGTGTCGACGTGTGTAGATGCTCACAAATCCGGCTTTTCAACACGGCAGTAATGTGCTCTTAATCTGGTATGGGTTTGCCGAACGCTGACGCACAGTCAAGCAAGTCCCCAACGTTCAAAGCGACGTGCGCTTTGTTTTCACCTCGTGTACACGTGGCACGGCTTTCACCTTCCACACATGTTCACGTATTTGGCTTCTTCACGAATCCACCTATAACCCCAGTATCCCAGTGAGTCGGATACGCGACGTTGGACTATTTGTGCGCTTAGACCTCCGAAGAAACGACTCAATCACAAACGTGATACAATTCACGTATATATATATTTTTTTATCCCATGAATATAAGGCACCAAAAGAACTTTACGCTTCGCGGGTAGGTCATGCCAACTCGTATTACCGTGATGCACTTAAGTGTATAACAGTGAGCTATTTTTAATATCCACAGGACTTGTCACTTCCAATGACAATGGGTGTCCGTATCAACAGATCTATGTAAATGTGCCACCGGTCGCGACCTCACAGGCACCCTGAGGACAAAGCCACCACAGGATGCTGACCAACAGGAGTACGCGGGCGTGACACTGAAAAACCATGGGCAGTGATTTCCGGCAGAATTGATGATCCTAAAATTAATAATAAATATACAAACCAGACAAACAACAGTAACATTCAATTATTCAGATAGCCAATCCATTGGCAGGTCATGCGGGGTGGGCCAAAGTGTGGGCGTTCGCACCTCTCCCATGAGGTCGGGCCAGCGTAGGCCACCAGGCCAAAAGTACGCTCGACAAGGGCCCTCTAGAGCCCCCTCTGGCGGAGGCTCTTCGGCAAGCAGTGGCGCGCACAAACAACTGCAGGGCTGCACCTTTACCTTTCACTTATTCGGATACTGCCACAAATATTTATACTGTATTTCTTTTTAATAATAACACATTTGCCCATTACCCAATCAATCTGAAGCCTGGTTAGTAGCCAGTGCGCAGGAGCCTGGCAAGTACTGGGATTGGTGACCAGGATCCCGATTAGTACTGGGATTGGTGACCAGGCAGAGCTTGCCAGCTATTGTAGGCGAGGGCCTGCAAGGGAACCAGGCCACGGCAGTGTTCAGTGTAGCCTCCTCCTGTAGGCTTGCTGGGTCTTCTCTGGGCACTTGGGGTTTTCTCCCCACATGAAGTCAAACAACGGACGAATGGAACCAGACAATCATCCCAACCGCAGGGCCCTCTTGAAAAAAAGTGTTATCGAGACTCGGTGAGGGCTGTCCGGGGCGGATGTATAATTAATTAGCGTTGCAGTTATTTTAATGAACATCTAATTCCTTCATCACCTCTCATGTGAGGCATCAACCCTCGGCAAATTAAAAATTTCGCTCTCCGCCTTGCTTTTAGCCTTCTGAACAAATGGCCGTTTATTCCAGCGCGGCGCTATTCGTTTCGCCGCTGCGCTCTATCTAATCGCTCAGTAAATCAATTAATAAAAAGTAATCAACCTTGCCCAGCACAGAAATCCGCTCGTGGCCAAGCAGCACAAACTGGAACTGTGCGCGCCGCAAGTGGCGCACAGCTCAAGCCCACGTGGGTCCCCGTTTCACAAAGGGCGAAGTGGGCGAGTTAAGTGGCAGAGCTGCCGAGTGTGCAGGCGGTGCGCTGGGCCCCCGAAAGGCGGAGGGGGCGGGGCCCAAGCGCTGGGATCTGGCAGGAGTGGGGGGGGAAGGGAGCAGGGGGAGGAATTGGAGAGGGGCCCTCATTTCATTCCTTGCACCGAGGCGCAATGCCAACCACGCCGCTAAGCCACTGGGCGGGTTGTTATTTGTGCGGAACGGGTGCATTATTTAAAAATAAATATAACGTGTTTCCACAGTTAGTCGACATCTAGCCAGAGATTTGGCCAATGTGGAAAAATAGGCCAAGTACCCTCTAGATTTCTCTCTTAGCAGTGGCGCGAAACAAGCACTTTTAGGGCTGCACCTTGACCTTGTAGAGTGGGTTCAGGAGAACATCACCCAAGTTACGTAAGGAGTGCAAAGAGTTACAGGTTAGCATCAAGCACTGGCTCTCGATGGGTGAGGCATGGGGGCTGGGGGGAGGGGGGCCAGGGGTCGGGGTCGCAGACATTGAGGTCAAAAACCAACGTTGCATGAAAGGTTACAGAGAAGTGTTTGCTGCTGCTGGCTCCACTTGTCATGTCACATCCAAAACGATTCTTTGAGATTGCTTTTCGCATCCCCGAGTCGACACTGATGACGACCAGGGTGGGAGAGGCGACAGGGCGAGGCCGACCGCAGTGGGGTCGTGCCAGCTGCTCTTGTTGCTATGGTCCTGGCGACCTGGGTTCAATCTCTGGCCGTGCAAATCACCAGTGGCAAGAGGAATATGGGAATGGGCAGGGGCTGCCTTGGATCATAATTAGTAATAATAATTCACAATCCACTGCTAAGATTAAGCCCCCCCCCCCCTATTGCAATGAAGGGCTGACCATGCCCTGCCAGTCACAAGAGGTTGTTGTTGTTTTCACCACGCTGGGCAGCGAGAGTTTGGTGATAGGAGGTGCCCGGGATCAGTCCAGAAATGACTCGCTACCGACGTTAGCCGTGGCGGGTGCAGAGCGCAGTGCGTGAACCGCTGCGCGGCTGCTCCACCCAAGAACCCAAGAGACCAGGATTGCCTGGTACCTGCCCGTGGGTCTGTGTACAATGGAGAAGAAGACAGCTGGGCATGTGTGTGGTGTCACTCACACCGCTCCCTCGTGTGCGGTCATCACCATGCCGTGGTCAATCCACTGCTGGATGAAGGCCTTCGCAGGCGGCTGCCATCTCTCAGATCCCGCGATTTAATAATCCACGATGCATTTGCTCGCGAGCCGATTCTGAAATCGATTCCGCCTCCCTGGTGGCACCTGCACCGAGATGCGCGCACAGCGCGTGCTGTGCGTGCTGTGCGCGCTGTGCGCGCTGTGCGTGCTGTGCCGCCTTAATAGGCCACTCGCTAAAAACTTCACAAAATGGCCCATCGGTTCATGAATGGAGAATCTTTGTCTTTGCCCGTGGAAATACGGCACGAGTTGACCGAATAAATGGAAGCAAATGTTTGAAACTCGCGTATGCACACAGTCGCGGCTACTGCCTGGCAGAGATGTGCATACACGCACTGGCAAGCTGCCTACAGCAATGTTTGTACTTTTTTGTCAGGGAATTCTGATAATATTTGTGCTTGTGCAGAGTGTAAAATATTTTGTCGTTTTCGCACAAAGTCCACTGCCTGCAATAGCCAGGCCCTGCACGTAAAATGGCTGAAAGAAACGTGCAGGGTGTGCGAAGGGGTCTTAATGCGACTCTTTGTTTTTATTCTTTGGGTCTTTCGGTAAAGCCACGTAGATAGATAAATAATAAAAATATCACGACGTTTTGATCGCAATACAAGCAATCGTGTCACTTTTGTGGAGCACGGGCCCAAACACGCCAGAGAGCGGGCCAGCAACAAACAGCACTGCCCAAGATGTGATAGAGGTGTTTCATTGAATTCAGCGAGTTTGTAAGAACTTGTAAAAGGAGGAAATGGGAGTGAAATATCATGGTGAGTGATGCAAGGGAAGAAGCAGTGTGGTGAGTGGTGAGTTTGTGAGTGAATGGGTGAGCGAGTGGGTGGGTGGGAGAGTAGGTGAGTGAGTGGGTGGGTGAGCGAGTGGGTGAGTGAGTGGGTGGGTGGGTGAGTGAGTAGGTGAGTGAGTGGGTGGGTGAGTGGGTGGGTGAGTGAGTGGGTGAGCGAGTGGGTGGGTGAGTGAGTAGGTGAGTGAGTGGGTTGGTGAGCGAGTGGGTGGGCGAGTGGGTGAGCGAGTGGATGGGTGGGTGAGTGAGTAGGTGAGTGAGTGGATGAGTGAGTGGGTGGGTGAGCGAGTGGGTGAGCGAGTGGGCGAGCGAGTGGCGAATGGATGAGTGAATTAGTGAGTTGTTGTGATGTGCAGTGAGGTGGTTGTGACGGTGGATGACATGAACAAGTCAGCGTCTGGCAGAGACCGAGTCCTCAACATTGCTGGAGGAATCAACGAGTGACGTTCACGGGCACAGTAATTGGCCACATACGGTTGGCTAGGTAGGGTGCGAAAGAAGTCCAACGTAAATACATACGACTGACCATCAGTTAATGAGCAAAAAACCTGAGCGAATCGCCCAGTTCTGGATCACCAATCACCCCGACTACGTGACGTTGAGTTCATTCCGGTGCGGCAGTGAGGCACCAGCTGAGTGCTCCAAGCCAGATAAGCTTCCGACTTTAGCTGAACTTATGCTTTGTGGAGGAGTAATAATATTGCAGAGGTGAAGACAAACTGTGCACCGTTGTTTGGTTTGTTTAACGTTTTTTATTATTATTCAGTGATGCGGCGAAGATACAAACGCCCCGTGTACTCTGCCCGACCGCCGTCCCTCTCCATTCACAAAACACACGGCCAGCGGCCGGCACTTGAGATCGGGTTTGAAATATTTAACGGCGGTCGGAGGATGGGAGCCTAGACAACCCAGACACGCTGCACTCCTGCTGCAGCCGCGCAGTATAACATTTACTGCCAAGCAAATCAATCTCTGAAACCTACGATTATACCTTATAAATGCGTTGTTAAACACGCCACCACCGGCTACAGTCAATTGGTAAGGTTCATCACGTAAACAAAACATGCCAAAATCTATTTAGTCCCAGTTTTCTTCTTAGAAATTGAAAAACCGAACCGTGAATTTTGTTTAAAAGGTATTTCCTCTTCTCGCACTGCTTTATGGGTAAACATGAGGGTTGCCGCTGTACGGCGGACACTACGAGACGCATTTATAGACACACGATGTA